CTAACCGCTGTGACTCATTTATTGTCACCGCTGATTAGTATTTCCTTTCACAAATAAACCACAATTTATTTTGTCATTCTATTTCAATGGACATTTGATCTGTGTCCCATTTTTTGTTAGTACCAACAATAATTCTATCAGCTTTCTTGTCTAGGTTTCTTGTAGAATTTCTCCAGAGCCAGAGTTGGCATCCCCTTTGGCCCATGACCCAAATATGTATAGATTATGAGCTAAAGGTGTGTTTTAATATTCTTCTAATTTAAAAGAAAAAAGCAAGAGAAGAATGATATCTTATGATGTATGAAAATAGGAAATTGAATGTCTGTAAATAAAGTTTTGGCGGATCATCCCATGTCATTTGCTTAGGTATTGTCTGTGGCCACATCCATCCTGCCATAGCACAGCTGCATCGATATCATCTATACTTCCTTCACAGCGTAGCCACACCACCTGTTCTGTGAGGCTTTTCTTGAGATGACCTCCTCCTTTAATTCCTGTCATACTTACTATAAAGTGCCAGTCCTTTATATCTTGTCAGTAAAACTCATCATAATTTACTGTATCGTGTTTACCACAGGAAACAGTCGCTCGGGGTTGAGACCACGTTTTGTGACACAATTGTAAAGCAGCTGCTCTACAAATGCTTATTTTTATTGTCGATGATCATGACAGTACTTTCCAAATGCTTCCCAAGGGACTAAAAGAATTTGTGCAGCTTCACAAAGGGCTAGATTTAAACTCAGGAAATAATTTTAATGAGAAAATTCGAGAAAGCTGTTTGTTTATTTGTTCAGTGAGATTTCATAAAGATCTGTCTTCTTCTAGACTTCCATGGAATTTTATTAATGTTTGTCTGCAATAATTTATTGGTATATGCTCTTATTTCCTTACTATGCTTTAAACCCTTTGAAGACATTAACCATTTCATTCATCTCAGTATTTTCCCCAATATATGCCACAGCTACCTTCCCACAGATGATATACAGTATATTTTGGATGAATTAATGAGTTTGCACATAACTACACTACCCTGTACTAGAAGATGTAAAAGCAGAAATGTTTCTTTGTCTTTTACCAAAGACAAAGCTTGTTTCAAGCTTATGTATTTTGTTTAAAGAAACAAAACAAATGCATGATTATAAAATACTGACCACATATGTAAGATTGTTGCTTACATATAGAAGATTGTTGCTAAATAGCAGATTGCAAGTTCTTATATTATCCTAAATGACGATTTAAAATTATGTATCTCACACAATTTTATAAACTACGCTCAAAAAGTTTTATCAAATTTACCTGGAGTTAGACATTTGTGAGGCATTTGTAATCTATTTTAAATAAAATATGCAAACTTACAAAAATCACATTTACTGACAGTAAAGTGAATGAAACTAATCCATTGCTCATTTGGTCATGATTTTAGTAAAATTTTGCCTAGGGATTTTTTACACAAATCTAACTTCTACTCAACTGAAGTGAGAAGTATTTCACTTTAAATTCACTTTAGTGTATTTAAGATATTCAAGGTTAAAAGTTAGAATAGGATCTTTCTTGTAGTAAGAAAAACTTTGAAGCCCTACAGAGTGATAGTTTTACAGAGCCATTTCAGCTCTGAGACTTTATGTAGGTGTAGAAAATTAAACTTTTAATACATTACATGATAATTTGGCAGTATGTATCCTCACATAGCACCACTATTTTCGTTAAATAAATACAGTGCATGCTGAATCTAAAAAATTTCAAAACGATTTATTCTATTAAATACAATATTCTTATTTAAAGTACTTATTAATCATTTCTTCCACATATAATAAAAACTGCTATCATCATCAATTTTCATTCATATGAATATGAATAACTTTGAATAACATTTTGCTAAAAAATACTGCAGTACAATTGTGTCCTTGAAGTACGTTCACTTCATAGTCAATCTGTGCTCAAGGGTTATTGATAATGAACGTTAGAAGGCTTTGCTGCTCCACTAACTTGACTGACCTTTGCAAGTTACTCAATTTTTGCATTTGACTTTTCCTATCTGTACATAGAAATGACATACAAAAGAGACCTTAATGTTGGTTCAAAACCTCTGAAGTTCCCCTGGTGAAACCTGAAACTGAACCCAGACACAGAGGGCGAAGAGAGACCCAAGAAAGAGGCAGCCTTCTCCGGATTGGTGGGTGGCAGGTTTAATAAGCAAGAGAACACGTGGCGAGGCTTGTCTTGGGCAGCTGGCTGTGAGACAAGCAGATCTTTGCACCCGCCACCAGAATCTTACGAGTTTATATACAAAGGCTTTAACGGGGTGCAGTCACATGTACAGTCCAGATGGTCTCAATAGCATCACTTTACCCTAGTGTGGAAAACGTGGGTGGAATGGAGAGTATACTCCAACGACCGGAGTAGGGGAAGGAGCCTCTGATTGCCCAGGTCCAGCCCCTCAGGGCGACCTGCAGTCACATCCTATCTCAATGACTCTCTTAAGCCTTAAATATCATCTAGCCCTACTCTTTCTTTTGTTCTGCAGATGAGGAAACAAGACCAGTCTTAGGAATATTTCAAACCCACGTGGATTTCTAGGAAAATAGTATGTAAGCCAAAATGTATAATAATTATGTAAATAAATGACCCTGTATTAATTTAATTCTCCTTAAAAGAGAAATGTATCATTTCTTACTATTCCGCACTCGAATATCTTAGAATATATACTATTATGTTCTAGTAGTGCCATTTAATAGGGTATTTGTGTGACTTTTGATAAAGAAATCATTCCTTTTTTTTTAAGACTTTATTTATTTACTTCTTAGACAGAAGAGAAGGAAAGGAGAGAAAAAGAGAGGGGAGAGAAACATCGACGTGTGGTTGCCTCTCACACGTCCCCATGCGGGAAACCTGGCCTGCAACCTAGGCATGTGCCCTGACAGGTAATCAAACCTGTGACCTTTTGGTTTGCAGGCCAGCGCTCAATCCACTGAGCCACACCAGCTAGGGTGGAAAATCATTTCCTAAAGATTTGCAACCCATCAGGTAACTGCTAACATTTAAGATATTCACTGTCAATATTGTATTTCCTTTATCCCTCAATTTCAGTCAAAAATTCAGTCCAAAAATAAGTGGAAATGAGAAATTAATTAAAGCAAATACTTGTGAAAAATTCATAATACATTTTTTCTGTTATGCTCTATTGATAGAAATGAAACTCCTTACTCATTTGCCTTAACTTTCTGCCTACCTATCCATAAAACAAGGAATCTTCAATATTTATTGAGCTCCAATAACATATACTGTGCAGGGTTCTGCAAGGGATGCTAAAATGAATAAGGCATGAGCCCTTGGGAATATACCATCTCTAGTAGGAGAAATAAATAAGTACTGTATTCAACTTCTAAAGTGGGAATTATAAGTGGTATATGACAGTTAAAATAAAGAGCTTATGAGAATTGAAAGGAGAGATAGATCATACCCAGCAGGAGAAGCCAGAAAATGAAGGCTACACTTAGGAAGGTCCAAAGCAAGGTCTTCTAAGGAAAGGTATACACACTTAGCACATGGGAGGAAATGTAAGAGTGAAGTGTAAATGTTTTGGCAACTCCGAGATTCAGATTCCCTATTAGGCAAAGGGAGTAACAGGAGGGAAAAAAATGGATCAGTACATCCCCTCAAGTATTTTTCCCCAGCTGCTGCTTCTGTTTACAATGTATTTTAATATTTATAATAAATTTACTCTCATCTGAATAGGAAAAAAAAAATCATTCCTGATTAGGAGCCAGGAAAGTTGAGTCTTCACCTCTACTTAGTTTAAAAAAAACAACCAACCAACCAACCAAACAAAAAAAACCCCAGAAAAACAACTAAATTCTTTGCTTGTTGAATCATATGTACTGGAAAACCAGTTAACTCTGTTGCAAGGTTTTGTCTTGGAGCCTGATGCAGTAAAATGCATGAGTCTTGAGGTCAGCCAGTCTTTGGTTGAAACTGAGACTCAATCACAGTAGCATTTACCAGTTTTCTATGCATTTCACCTGTAGTCCTCAGAACCAGCCCTTCTCACTCTTCTCAAATTTTAATGTGCACAAATATCACCTGGGCATCCTGTTAATCTGGGCATTCCGATTCAGTAGGTCTGGGCTGGGACCTGAGATTCTGCATTTCTAATGAGGTTACACGTAATGTTGATGCTGTGATTGATGCTGTGATGTTGATGCTGCTCGTCTAGTACAAAAGCTAGAAGCATGGCCCTCATTATCAGTTATCCATATCACCTGAGAGTCTATTAGGTGTGAAATGCAAACTGTGGGGCCCCACCCCGCACCCGCTTAACCAAAAACACTGGGATGAGCCCCAGCACCCTGTGTTTCAGCAAGCGTCCCAAGTGCTGTCACTGGTTTTCCAACATGATTACAGCACTCCACCGGAGAAGGGGAACCCAGAGCGTTCAATGCTATTGATGCCCAAATCTCAATCCCAGAGGTTTTGTAACAGGTGTGGTCTTCGCGTCCGGCTTTTTTAAAGCTCTAACAGGTGCCTCTAATATGCAATAAAATTCAAGAAACCCATGAGGTCGGTGCTTGAACGTGGATAGGCCTTACTTTCCGCAGGTGTAAATCTGGATAATACCCCTGCTGGTTCCTCCATTCGCTTCCAGATTTTGGTCCCTCCAGCCAGCCTTAGTCGGCCACAATCCCATTTGATCTCGGGGATCCCAACTTCCCGCCTCGTGTGCCACCGCCTCTCCTGGGTCTCCGGAGCATCACCCCGCGGCTCTCCGTTCTGGCACCGCCCGCACCTACGTGGCTCGGGTCTCGCCGAGTCAGCCCGCGGGGGACACCCCGCCGCCCGCGGAGCCGGACGCGCATGCGCCGGCACAGGCCAGGCCCCGGCCGGAGTAACGGACTCGAGCTCCCCCCACCGGAAGTGGGCGACGGCGCGTCGGGAGGAGCCGGCTGTAGCGTGGCGGCTGCGGGCTTTGCGGTCCAGGCGGCTCGCGCTTCCTTCTCCGCGTCATGGCAAAGGCCGCCGACGTGGTGCGGCTACTCCTGGGCAACCCGGTGCTGTGGTTTACGCTGCTGTGCCCCGGGACGGCCTCCGCATCCAAGGCGGTGACGGCTCACTTGGCCGCGAAGTGGCCCGAGACCCCGCTGCTGCTGGAAGCCAGGTGGGTGCGGGCTGGACCCTCTGCCGAGCCCAGCACGGAGGGAGGGCCCGGCGGGGCAGGGCGTGCGCTGGGACCCTGGCGGACCCGCGGAGCGGTCCTGGCCCTGCTGCCCCGGGTGCCCTGCTGCTGGACCCTCGGAGCATCACTGCTGCCCCGCTACCCCGTGCAATTGACTTGCAATTCCTTTTTCCGCCGTGGTTAGTTACTTTGCCCCGCCTGCAGTTTTTAAAACTTAAGGACCTTTGTTGAATTCGTTGGAATTTTATTATCATTTGCGAGGGAAAAAAAAGAATAGGTAATGGAGTGTGGCGTTTAATGCAAGCACTTTAATTAATGAGGGCAGTTGTTTTCAGGAAACCGTTCTCCCAGCACCTAGGTAGGCTTCCTGTGGACAAGACAGCTTCCCGCGTTATGAGTGCTTTCCCAATCTCCTCCCCTGGAATTAGTTATAAGGTCCCATTTACTATGCAGAAACAAAATTCGTAGCTATTAAATTTTGCTCGTAGTATTCCAGTAAACAGAATTTCAAAGTTCTTCAGCCAGTAAGAAGTTTTAATGCTGGCTGCTTTTGTCATTTCACCCAAGCACCAGATGGTCTTGAAAGAGACTATCACCCCACCTTACATTGCATGTGTGAGTTATTAAAATAGTTTAACTGAGGAGTAATTGACATATAACATTATATTAGTTTCAGGTATACAATATAATCATTTGCTATTTGTACGTCTTGTGAGCACCACAATAAGCCTAGTTAATATCTGTTACCAAACATAGTGGTTGGGTTTGCCGAAACGTCTGTTACGTTTTTTTCTGTAAAATAAGACACTTACTCATTTTCACCAGTAACTATTGATTTGGGTATTTCGAGTATGTCGGCTATCTCCCGCTCTTGGCTTCTAGTGTGGGTAGAGGGCAGGGTTGCTGCTAAACATCTTTCAATGCTTAAGACAGCCTCACAGCAGAGAATTGTTTGGCCAAAATGTCAATATACCAAGAAACTTCGCAAATCACTTTTGACTTTTGACTCGTTGAATCAGTCACAGTGCCTTCATACATGGCACAAATCTTTTTTGTGTGTTTCAGTTGTGTTTTTACCTTTCTTGAAATAAGGCATAATACTCCAAAAATGTTGTACATTTTTTTTCATTTTCAGTATTGCAATGGCTGCACAAACATTCACCCATTTTGGTTTTTTAAATGCACACTGATACGAGAGCTGTCACAGTACAATCTAACACAATTGTTCCGAGTGAAGTTACAGACGTGTAAGCACTGCTAGAGCCATCATACAGGAAAAAAAATAAATGAACTTTTTGGCCAACTGAATACTAGTTTTCATTTTTTGAGGAAGATCCATACTGTTTTCCGTAGTGGCTGCACCAATTTATCTTCCCACCAACCTTGCCAGCATTTATCTCTGGTCTTTTTGATGAGAGCCACTGTGTAACAGGTGTGAGGTGGCAGCCCATTGTGGTTTTGATATGAGTTTTCCCGATGGTTAGTGAAGTTGAGCGCCTTTGCACGTCCGTGGTGGCCGTCTGTATGTCGTCTTTGGAAAAATGTCTATCAGATCCTCTATTTTTTTTAATTGCTTGCGTTTTTGTTTTTTGTTTGTTTTTTTTGATGTTGAGTTGTATGAATTCTTTATATATTTTAGCTATTAACCCCTTATCACATACACGATTTGCAGATATTTTCTCCCATTCAGTAGGTTGATGGGAGAAACCTACGGAATGGTTCATTTTGTTGATGATTTCCTTTGCTGTTGAGCAGCTTTTTAGTTTGATGTAGTTCCACTGGCTTATTTTTGCTTCTGTTGCCTTTGCTTTTACTTCTCAAATTTGAAAAGTATCATCGCCAAGACCAGTGTCCAGGAACCTACCACTAATCTCTGCTGCTAAAATGTGAATTTAAGGGGGCAAGAGTATTTCTTCTTATTCATGTTTATTTTGCCAAAGCACCATGCATGAAAGGAGGCGCTCAGTAAATACAGCAGGACCTCGAATAGCATCGTTTTGTTCAACATTGTTTTGTTATAAAATTGATGAGAAAAATAACTTTGTTGCTGGCTGGGGCCACTGTCTGCGTGGAGTTTGCACATTTTCCACAGACTGTGGTTTCCTTCCATGTCCCAAAGATGTGCATGTTAGTTGGATTGGTGTTTCTCCGTTGTCCCCGCCTGGGGGAGTGTGGGCGGGTGGGAACGAGCACTGTGACCGAGGGCCTCCTGCCCAGGGCTGGTGCCTACCTTGCTGTCTTAAGCCACCAGGATAGGCGCTGGCCCCCTCGGGACCCTGAACTGGAATAAACAGATTGGAAAGTATCTCATTTTTTTTAAATTAACCTTTCTTAAATGCATGTATAGCTCACATTTATGTCAGTGTTTAATATTAGAAGTGTTTTGAGTCTTTGTTTAGAAGTTTGGTACTGTTTTTGTGACCAGAAATGTGTCATTGGAACTTACCTTTCATTTATAGCAATTCAGTCGGTTTAGTGACATGTCATTTCACTTAAAGTTGCAGTTTCCAAGGACCTATGGACAACAGTAAGGGCTCACTGTATGAGTTCATTAGAGGTGACGAGTATTTTTTTATACATACATTGTATAATATTTTTTATAGTAATTTTTTTATATATACATTGTTTTTCTCAGTGTTCAGTAAACAGGAGTAGGTACTCAATAATGCTGATTCAATGGAAGAGACCATATATGAGATAGTGTGTACTTCGAACCACCAGCAGAATTACCTCTGTAATACATCTGGCCTGTGGAAACTGGCCTCTGCGTAGATAATTCAGACAGGAGGCTCAGTGTTAGCACGTGCGCCTGCTTGTTTTGTTACGTATGTATTTTTCCTCATATTTTTAATTCAGCGTAAGTTTTTCCCTGCCTGTTTTGAGCATGGCTCCATGATGGGTACTGTCAGAAACAAGGACAAATGAGGTATGTCCCCTGCCTAAAGAAACTTACAGTTTGCTAGGGACAGTTATAGGCTGATGAGATTAAATTTTTACAATGCACGAACCATAACTTTTATGTCCAAACTGCATTTATTCCCCTGCTGTTACTCTTGGTGAAACTTTTTTTGGAATTCCACTTAAAATTACTGTATATTTTTTAGTACAGGGGAGTCCAACCTTTGGGCCTCTCTGGACCACACTGGAAAAAGAAGAATTGTCTTGGGCCACACAGTAAATACACTGTGACACATAGTCACAAAAAATCTCATAATATTTTATTTTAAGTAAGCTTAGGATTTTGTGTTGGGCTGCATTGCTTTCGCAGCATCCTGAGCTGCGTCAAGCCTGCAGGCCGTGCGTTGGACACCCTGCTTTGGTACGTATAAATTTTTCTGTGGTAGAATTTTTTGTGGAAACATGGTTATTTGGAGCTAAATATTATATAAGACAAGTAAACAAATTGGAAATGCTAGGGTTTTGTGGGTTTTTTTCCATTTTTCCCTTTTAAAAACTTTGACCAAAGATAATAATATCTTATTTTTTGGAAAGTGAGGAGCTGATTTAGATGACTCCCAAGGATATTTAGTTCTGTGAGATTAACAGTGAGTTGCTGGCAGATGCCCCCTAAAAATACGGAGTTGGCCATAAAGTTCGTTTGGTTATTTCTGTAAGATGTCTTTACCTTTGTTTCAAACAATTTTGATAGATTGTATTGTGACAGCTATCACATCAGCGTGCATTAAAGAAAACTTATTAAAATAGGTGAATATTTGTATAGCTCTTTAACATTGAATGTGGATGAAAATAAGCAACATTTTCAGCGTATTGTGCTTTATTATTTCAAGAAAGGTAAAAATGCAACTGAAACCCACACAAAAAATTTGTGCAGTGTATGGAGAAGGTACTGTGACTGATCAAACCTGTGTCAAAAGTGGTTTGTGATGCTTTGTGCTGGCAGCTGCTTGCTGGGCAATGCTCCACGGTCGTGGAGACCAGTTGAAGTTCATAACCATCAAATTGAGACGTTAATTGGGAACAATCAATGTTCTACCACGTGGGAGACAGCTGACGTACTCAAGAGTGTCCAAATCAATAAAATTATTGCTGAAAATGAAAAATGTGTCTTTTATTTTATTTTTATGGGAAAAACCCATACGGACTTTTTGGCCAACCCAGTACTTCCAGAAGAGTTCCAAAAGTGCTTAGAGCAGTGGTCTGTATTGAGAGAATACTGTAAGTGAAGGTCTTTTTTAAGGTGGTCACTTCGAAGGGTCGTACTTGGATGTACAGATTGTGGCGGATGGAAGTCTTCTTCTTCCTGTGGTTGCACAATATATGAGCATGTCTGCAGTTGTCTGGTCTCGTCAGTCAGGCGTTACGGTTGCGCCCCACTTTACTTAAGGTCTTTTGCCATCCCTGCCCCTTTCACGCTGCATCCTATTTAGTGTTCCAGTTGTCAAACCTGCTTTTAGGGTTTTTTTGTTTGTTTTTGCCATTGTAGCTTGGGCACCATTAATAAGAGTTATTTTGAGCTTACTTACTGCTTTAAATTCCTGTGCTTGCCATGTTTATGTTGATGGCTTAATCTGTTTGTGTTTTGTTTCCTCTCACCTCCTTTTCTTCACTTAGTGACCACCTCAAACTCAAGAATTCGTTACTCTGCAGGTGTCTTTGATGTCTCAAATTCTTTCCAGTTATAGTATTGGTTTAAGTTTACCAAGGAGAGAGAAGGGAGCGGCGGTAACAAAGAATCTGTACCATCTGCCTAGTGACTGTTTTCAAGCTTAAATGGTTAAGTCTATTTGTTTCAGGTGCCTTGTGCTTTGTTCTGTCTAGGGCTAAATAACCTTTTACTTATTTCATTATTTACAAAAGGTGTTTTATGGCTTTGGCCATTCTTTCTTACCTACCCTGTATACAAAAATGAAAGTTTCTTAGGGCTTCAAGGCCAAATGCCTAATGCGATGCACCAAGTTCCTATTAATTTTTTTATTAAGGTATTTTCTGTTTTAAATAATAAAAAGATTGTCTACACAAATAAGTAGCTAATTAAATATTGTTATGTGTGACTTTAAAAGTGTTCATAAAGCCAATTTTTGTGAAAGTCTTATTTTTATTTTTTACCTTAAACACTTTTTTCATTACTTTTAAATTATGCTTAGTGCTATTTCACATGGAGAAAATAAATTATCCATATTTTAGTTGTAGTTAATAATGAGGAAAAGCCAAAAATAAGTTGTTTTGCTCTCTGTTCTGGTTGTGATTATGAACTTGCAGCTGAGAATGATACGTCAGATAAGAATCATCAATTTGCTTTCTTTCTGCACTATAGTAAATGGAGATCAGTAACTTGACATTAATTTTTGGAGGGTTTTGTTTTCACTATAAGTTATAATTTCGTTCTAAAGTATGGTTTATAGCACCTAAACAATTTTTTAATTTTCATCTATTAACTGAGTACTTTTATTTTTTAATAGTGAATTTTTGGCAGAAGAAAGTAATGAAAAATTTTGGCAGTTTTTGGACACTGTAAAAGAATTAGCGATTTATAAGCAAACAGGTACGTGATGTGCATATTTTAACTGGTAAGATTTGTATTTATGTGTACACATTGGATATGATTAATGGCAAAGGTTATGTGTAAATGCCTAATGGGATTAATAAATCTCATTATTAAGTTTGAAAAGATGTTTTAATGAAAACTTTGAAGCATTCATTTCCAAAAATATAAGGCTTTAATACTTTATTATAGGAAAACTCATAATTACCAATGTTTGCATATTGCATTATAATCAAGAAGAAATAGAAATTGTTTAATTATGGTTTTCTTTTTATGTGGATTTCTTTGAAATGCTATTAGTTTTGCATCTAGTAATATTGATTTTATTTATTTTTTGGGGGGGGGCCAAGATAGTCTTAAGTTCTTCAAGAGATGTTTAACACTTTCTGTCAAAAATCAGGGAACCTGCCCTGGCTGGTGTGGCTCAGTCGGTTGAAGCATCATCGCATACACTTGAAAGATCATGGGTTCGATTCCTGGTCAGGGCACTTATCTCTAGGTTGCAGGTTCAATCCCTAGCCAGGGAGCATATGAGAGGCAACCAATTGATATTTCTCTCTCACGTCAGTGTTTCTCCCTCTTCTCCCCCTTCCTTTCTCTCTCAAATCAATAAATATATATTAAAGAAGGAAAAAAAGGGAACCTATGTGCTTTCATTTCACTATCTAGAAAATGGAGCTAGTCATTTTTACTTTTTAAATATCTATGAAAGTGCATGTCTGTATATGCATACGTATATCTGTAGAATGAACAAGTGTTTATAAATGTGTTTCTTACGGAAGGTCAGTAGATTTAAGATACTGAATTTAGATTTTAGCAGCTGAGGCTAAAGATTGCTTATTATCTTTAGTAAAAGTAAAGGTAGCCGGTCAGTATGTCCGAGAGACCAGGGCAGCCTCCACGATGGCGAATGCAGGAGCTGAGTTCGGATGATAGGACTTAGCCATGCGGTGAAGAGGGCAGAGGAGGCGGAGAGGCAGGCGTGGAATGCGCAGAGAAACTTTGACGACTTGGAGGTCGATTTTTAAATCCTTGGGACATTGTTGGCTTTGTACTTGTCCTGGTAAGTGTGATTTTGGTAATTGAGGTTAAAAAAAAAAAAATAGGCTAGAATAATATGTTAGGTTTTCAGAATAGTTAGAAATCCAGCGCCGCTTTTCCTGGCCCGCCCCTGAAGTCCTCAGTATCTCTATCCCAGATCTCTCGTTCTCACTACGTGCTTTGTGGCTCATTCAGTGCCATTGTTTTCATTAAAGAAACAGTTGAACATTACTCTTGTAAATTTTGAACCCTTATTTCTAGTTGCTTAGATATATCAACATACTTTATACCTAAACGAAATGGCAGACCTGAGCAATCTGGTGGCAGCTCGTTTAAAAGTTGGAATATAAGCTCAGGAGTGCCTAAGTTCCACCTCCTGCTATATCATAAGAGGTGTAGGTCAGGGCCGAACCCTAAATAAATTGTATGAATAAGAATTACTAGCACTGAACGTATGATTCTGTTGAGCTCATTAATAATGGTGAGAATCCAACGCGTGCGTTACGTCATCGCTGACCTTGTCTGGTGCGGGAAGGAATGGTAGATAACAGGAATTAAATATGTTGACAACTATGAGATTTTACAGAATTTGTTCTCAAGCTGTTATCCCAGAGGAGGCATTTTAAATCCTTGGCTGCTCGTCATTTTTTAGGTTGTTCACTGTTCATGAGACCCCTTAAAATTTTTTAAGTTTACCAAGGAGAATATCATTCTTAAACAATATTCTTAAGAATATCATTCCAGTGATCTGCCTGCTTAAAGAAGTAGTAAAAATTGAACATTTTAACACTTTGAGTTTTGGTGCTAGTGCCATGCCCCTTAATCAGAACACTCTACATTATGTGCCAGCATATTAAGATCTTTTAATCATTAACTTGCCTGTTTTTTTTGAACTTTTTATATACTTCTGCCACAGAATTTGGTGTTTATGGTTCAAGATTCAAGTGGCATGAGTGAACTCACCTGGGTCATTCTGTGTGACATGTTGGAAATGTCAGTGAAGGTTTACGAGACTCCAAAGTCCCTGTTTCACTTCATGTGTTCAGCATGTAAGAATCCCATTCTCAAAGTCCTTGAAGATTTTAATAGTCTCTGCCCTAAAGTTGCCTTTATGTTTTAATGGAAGAGATTTTCCGAAAATGTTGTGATCTTCCTAACTCAGTTACTTGTCACTGAACCAGGTTTGGAGTAGGAAGGTGAGTGCCATTTGGATGTGTCACTTTTGAAATGCTTGTGGGATTGCCAAGTGAAAATACCCAGTCAGCTGACGTATGGGTAAGAGACTTAGGCTACATAGGTGAAACAGGTTTAGGCTGATGAGTAGAATTTGGGAGTGAAGAGGGTAATTGAAGTTCTAGAGGGAAGCTGTAGAATGAGAAGAACGTAGCTGAGCTTTGCCAGATGGGGGTTATTCAGACGTGCACCCTCTACCCTCCTGCATTTCATGCCAGAGGAATAATGTGTGAAGTTCTGGGGTTGCTGGTGTCTTCTTTCTTCAGATACTGCCTGTTAGTTCCATAGAGGTAGTAATGAAATGGCAAGTGATCTCCCTCACCACCCTCTGACTTTGTTCACAAGTATTCTTAGTCTTTGTCTTCGTAAGTATGCGTAAGTTTCTGTTACTTGATGTGTTGGCTTCGGTGATATCCTTTTATCCCCAGCTAATATTTATGAGGAATCACAGAGCTTACTTTACTTTCCATTTTCCCTTTGTTACATTTTAGTGGGTGGGAGGAATATTGTTCCACATTGCCAGAGCACACAGCATTTACGTAGTCTTCTGTAAACCTTAACTCCTTGGTGAGGCTTATTTCTGCAGTTAAGTACATTCAGAACTCACAGTCGAACTTGATGCTGTAGTTTCTCCAGTTATGTCTTGGCTGTGTACAGTTTGCTCTCTAGTTGATGCCTCATCACTGTCTCTTGGGATAATGACCTTGAGTTCTTCACGTAAGTGTTCCTGTGTGAATTTTATACTTTATATCTTTAATTTTAGAGTCTTAGTTTTACCAAAAAATGTTGCAGTGCTGATTATTTAGGTTTTTTTCTTAGATATGTATATTCTTTACTCCTTTTAATTCTGGAGAGTTTTCTTGGATGAGAGCTTTCTGTATCCATTCTGTTTTAGTCCCTTGATTTTCTGCTTTGGGGTTATAGTTATATTGTAGATCTCCTTTGCCTGAGTTCTGTATCTGTTATTTACTCTTAAATGTTTTTTTCTACTTTCTCCTCTTAAAAATTTGTATTCGCATTTCCCTTATTCTGTTTCTTTTACTCTGTTTTACATGACATCTTTTTACTCTTTCTGTTACTTCTAATTTAGCGTATATTTTCTAGTATTTTTTTCTTGTTTTTTATACAATTCTTCCAGAATATTTTTGTATGCCCCTGTTTTAGTCATTTCATTTCTGAGCTTATTATCAAGAACTCTGAAGAAGCCAAAATTTTTACCTACTTGCAAGCAAAAAACTTAGCTTCCCACAGTTTCAAGCATCAGACACATGTAAGACATGAGAGAGAAGACTCCAGAGTCAGAGCCGAAAGACTTCGTAACTTCCCATGGAAATATCCTGAGTAGGCCGTAGGTGTTTTTAATCAGCCAAGACCCATTGCAATAACTGACGCTTTTTGTTGTCATGTTAGAAAGGATCTAAGGTTGGAGGGATAGACTGTAGTTGTTGAATCATCAGGTGGTTGTAATTCTGCACTTTGTTCTTCATCCCCCTCATTTGCCAGGCAAACCAAAGTTCTAATGACTTTGAATCCCTCTGACTACAGTGTCACAAACGTCCTTCTTTTCTCACTCAGTGTAAGTATGCATCTCTGTACCTATTGTTTGAAGAAGGTGGAACCTTACTCTGACCCAAGACAGGTCTCTGTACTTATCACAGTGGTGTTACTCGAAGCTGGCAGAACAATTGGAAAACAAGTCCACTTGCATGGAAGAGAGTTAGCAACTAAGACATTATTTGGACAAATGCCTTTGAATGCACTGCTTAGTTCTTGGTCTATAACGTCCTCCTGATTTTCTTTTTCATTAATAGGCAACAAATTGGAGAACTGTTTATTACTTGATGACCATACAGTTTTCCACATGTCCACTCTCAGTTTACAAGGATTTCCCTCAAATCCCGTTAATTGGTCCATGGGGCTGGGTCTCTTCTCCAAAATCCATGTGTCTGTCAGCATCCCATCTTTGTTATCAAATCGGTCAAATACTGTAAGAATGAGATTTTACCCTGTTTGTGGGTCAGAGGCAGAAGACTTGACTACTGGAAGCAAAATCAGTTACCAGTGTCCACATATTCATGCTGGTTCCCTGAGCCCCAGGTCTCATGGGGCAACGTGGAGGGCCAGGTGACACCTGTGCCTGGGGGAAAGAAGAGACACTGAGGGTCCAGAGCTGAGCACTTTTTGAACAATCCAGTCTCTCTTGCCTCCCCCAAAGCGTCCCCTTCCGATCAGCATCCTCTTCCCAGAAGTGGAGCATCTGGGGCTATACACCCTTCTGTCCCCCCTTTTCACATCAGGACCTATGGGCAGCTGCCTGGATCTACCCCAGCCCCGCTCTTTGGCGTGAGCAGTCTCCATGAGTCAGAACCCAGTGCCAAGGAGTACAGGAGAGAAAACGTGACCAGCGAATGTGCTGGGGCAAACCTGGGGACACCGGTACCAGCTGGACTCGAGAGCTTCTCTCCTGTTACCTTACCGCCCCTGCTGGCCAGGGAACGGCACTGCCGTTTCCTGACACGATGGCGGCAGCAGCGAAGACAGCGAGCACACCCAGGGCGGGGTGGAGAAAAGGGCAGAAATAGCTTTCTCCCTGCTTATTCCCAGCGTGCCACCAAGCCCTGCTCCGCGCTAGGCTGCCATTTTCTTCTCCCTCCCCCACTTGGGTATCTGCATCATCCCAGAGGCGTCCAAGAGGTTTCACCTTAAATTGTAGGATTCCTCCTCTTCTGTGTCTTGGTGATCTTTGGACTGGGTTTAGAGGGTGGGAATCAGCCTTTCAGCTGGTGTGTGTCAGACAAGGAGACATTCCTCTTATTCTTTTAAGGTCTGGTTCAAATTCTGCCTCCTAAAGTGTTCTGGACACACTAAATACTCTTGGCTATGTGCATTAAATATTAGTAGAATGTATTTATACATGTAATTTAAAATGTATTAATAGATTTTTCTTTAAGGTTTTTTTTTGTGTGCTACACTTAATCTCTTCTTAAATAGAAAGCAGGGCCTATGTGTTAGCCTTGCATCATAACCCCGCAACCTTGGGGTGAATTGGTCTGATGTATTAGCATTTTCCAAACAGATTTTAATGGCAAGATTGTTTTCACTTGGACTTTTGTTGACTTCTTGTGGACTTCACTGGAGTGAAGACCTATATGGAGGTAATAATCAAATAGAGATCTTGGTTTTCCATGTTTCTCTAACCCTATCCATAACCAAACTTAAGATACGGTTGTATGATACTATGTTAGCATTACAGTTAGTACACCAATGTGTTGAATACAGAATACTAACATTCTTTTCTTTTGAATTCTTTTTATAGAGTCAGATTATTCTTACTACAACTTAATCCTGAAGAAAGCCGGGCAATTCTTAGACAATTTACATGTAAATCTCTTAAAGTTTGCTTTCTCTATAAGAGCATACTCTCCAGCTATTCAGATGTTTCAACAGGTATGTACAATTTCCAAGCTGTATCTGACAAAGAAGCATGCTGGCAGTGTACATAAATTTATTTTAAGTGAACACCTTCAGTTCAAAAGGATCTACAGACCTATAATATCTGGTTCCATTGCTTATTGTATATTATAACTGTCATTTATTATAATATAAATAATATGTTATATAACTCCATAGTTACTTGGGATAAGGACATGAGGACATATCACCATTAAAATTTACTGTGATGAAAATTTCAGTTTGGTGAAACTTTTCAACAACTTTGAAGCACGTATTTCTACTATGAAGTTTGATTTTGTTAAAATATTTAATTCTGCCTGCATAAAGATATTTAATTACAGCAATAACTTAATAGTAGTTGATGAGTTATTATAATCAAAGTAATGTGTGAGTTTTTAATCATATTGTAATTATCAACCACTGTAGCTAAATATAATCTTTGAAATCTCAGATTGCAGCTGACGAGCCGCCACCAGATGGTTGTGATGCGTTCGTGGTTGTCCATAAGCAGCACACCTGTAAAGTTAATGAGGTGAAAAAGCTGCTGAAGAAGGCCGCTGCAAGGTAAACTGCTGGTAGCTTCTAGTGAAGGGAGTGGTCAAGGAAGAGTTGGGGGTCAAAATGGCAGCAATTTCTTATCATACAAGAGTTTACTATTCCAAGACATTATGTATTAAAGAACATACACTTATATTGGAAAAACTAAATATATGAGTTGGGAGACTAAGTCCTTCTCTAAAATATATAAGCACCTTCAGTATTTTGTCTTGATTAGCTTTGGATTTTAGAGTATAAATTGTACCAAAATGCCATAAAATATTAGATATGCTTTATTCAAACAATAGCCGTATAAATAAAATCCATATAAAACATAGATTTATTTGGACCGCATGTCTTTAAATATAAATTGAATGTGTACCTTGGAAACAAAAAATTAATAATAAAAATCGTAAGAGTTCCTTTTCTTTTTTTGTGTGTTATTCAAAACTTTTTTTACTTCTTCCCACTCTTTTTGATACAAATGAACGTGGGAAGCCGCATGTGTAGCATTCTTGCTGGGCCCGTTTTCCTGCCCGTGGGATGGAAGGGCCGCAGGAACTGATGCAGGTGCGCTGACGCCCGAGCTGCTCCTGCGCCGTGAATGGCAGGTCTTTGTTTCTGACCCGGAAGTCCCCTGTCTTCTGCCAGCATCCGTGAACCAGTGAAGGGCAAACTCGTTAGCTTGTAAAGTAGGATGAAATTAATTCCCCAGCCTGACAGAAGCCATATCTCTATATCTATGTCTATATCTATATACATATGGCATTAGATTTTTTTCTATGAACCTTAGGCACCAATCCTTGTTTTATACTACACTATCAGTATTGGTCAACAGTGGGTGTTTTTTCTTATTTGAGCAAACATTTATGAATTTACATAAACATACATAGTATGAATTTATATAAATGTATTCACAGTAATATTAATATTTTATTTTCCCCTCTGTAGATAGGATTCTCATTGCTAAGTTTTCTTCTGTTTTCATCTTTTTTTCAGTTTTTCCAGACTAGATTTTTATGATTTTTAAAGACATGACTGATAGAATTTACTTATTCTACTTTTTTTGATGTTTTTCTAATCTGTTACTTTTTTGCATTCATATCTACTTCTTTTGCCTTCAGTTGGGCTAAACACTTGGTTTGTTTTCCTTTTCTTTTTCTCATAACACATGCAGGGCATCAAAGGGATACTCTCATTGTTCCGTTTTCCTTTTTAAAAAGAAGCCCTTCATAATAGTTTTATTTCCTCACTGGAGGCAGGGGGAGAAAGTCACACTAACTGAGAGAGGCGCTGGTTGCTGTCACTTTCTCCCAGGTACCTAAGTCACATGTTAGTATAATGTCTGTCAAGTTCGGGGGCAGATTCATACCAGGGATCTTTGAACCATGGGACAGGAAGTAGGGAAGAGATGAGGAATCATTCTGCCTTTCTTTTTTGGCTAATAGGTTGTGTTTCAAGTAGTAAGGTATTATGTTTTAACTGATATTGCTGACCATCAGTATGATTCTAAGTTAAACTGTGTAGATTTTACTGTGTAGACACAGTAAACTGTGTCTAGTAAACTTTATTCATAGTGGGGTTTTTCTGCTCACAACTTATGCTCTAAGGTTTATATGAGTTTTCAACTTCATATCATGTTTGTCTTTTTCCGTGTCTTTGGAAAAAAATTATTGGAAATTTGAGAATGGGCTTTTTGGGACTATTCTCCAAATGCCACTTCAAATCAGCATGCCCTTCTTTATTTTTGTGACTATAAACCTTGTGTCCAAAATGGAAAGCTGTATTTTTAAAGAAAAAAATTATATGTGGTTATTATAAAATAATTCGAATACTTCAGAAAAATGCAAAATAGAAAGGGGCAGTGATCCCATAGTTCTGTTAACAGTTTGGTATATTCTGTTTTTAAATGTACATATTAACATGCAAGTATATTTTTTTAACCCACATGGGATTGTACTTTAAAGTACAAGCTGAGAACCTTCTCTCACTAAATTATACATCCTTACATATCCTACACATAAATAAATATAAATATTGGCTATATTTATATTGGCTCTGTGGTTATGTTTTACACTTCATTTCTAACATTTTTACTATCTCTAATTTGTAGTATTTCTCTTTATAATTTTAGTCAATACCGTCAGTGAAAATTTCTATTTTTTACCTGCAAGTTTCTTTTATTTTTATTGTATTCTTTTTCATGACTGTTTACTCCCCTTACACCCTCCCCCCAGCAATCGCCACACTGTTGTCCATGGCCATGAGCCACTTTTTAATGTATCATATTCATCTATTAGGAGTGCAGAATTTGTTCCTTTAATTTTTTTTGATGCATTTTATGTTAATTTACGTTAAAAGGGTATACCCTGGCTGGTGTGGCTCAGTGGATTGAGTGCTGGCCTGCCAAAGGGTCGCCGGTTTGATTCCCAGTCAGGGCACATGCCTGGGTTGTGGGCCAGGTCCCCAGTGGAGGGAGGGTGCACGAGAGGCAACCACATGTTGATGTTTCTCTCTCTCTTTCCTCCTTCCCTTCCCTTCTCTCTGAAAATAAATAAAATCTTTTAAAAATCAAAAACATACCCGTGGGCAAGGATTTAAGAAAATAGAATAGTGCAACATGTACCTCAAACAATTGTGAAATTCACTTTACTCCAGACTTCTAGAACTTCTCCCCAGAAACAACCAGTGCTCTCAAGTTCTTATTTGTCCTTCAGAAATAGTCAAGGTGTTGTTAAAGAACAATTTAAAGATCTGATTGGCTTTATTCAGTGGTTCATGAATCTGGCAGCATCCTCTCCAGTAAATAGAAAGGTGCTCCAAGGAGTTGTACAAAATGGGTTTTTATAGGTAGAAAGAGGGTGGGACAAGGAGTTACTTAAGGCAGGGTTATGTCGCTGTAGGGGAATACCTGGGATCTTATCACGCAGATTATTCCACTAGTATTGACCAGGAAATTCGGGACTGATTGATTTAAAATTCCATTCTTACAGAAGCTGAAACTGCCATTAGGTTAGGTATTAAGTCTTGGCTTAGCAAAACTGACTCCATTTTCATCCCATTATTTCTTTTTAACAGTATATACAAATCCTAATTACATAGGTATATACCCCCTACTTTAATCTTTAATGGTGGTATGCCATCCAATGTTTGATTTCTTCCTTTTTTTGCCTTGATAGTACTCTTGGTTGATATTTTCAGTTACATGGAAGTTTGCAAGAGAGGAAAGAATGATCATTTCTTGAGCACCAAGCATGTGCTTTATGCTCTGCTAGATGACTTGCAAGGCATTTTGGTAAATCCATAGGTCATTCCTAGAAAGTAGCTGGGATTCCTCCTCTGGAACTGGTAAAGGAATAGGCCCAAGAGCGATGGGGACTACTTACTTGTCCAAGGTCACAGAGTTGAGTACATAGTTACGCTAGAATGTGAAACCAATGATTCGTAATTTCAAAACCCACAATATTTTTACTACCATTCTGTACCATTGCTATTCACCTCCTCTTTCCCTCTCACCTTGACTTACTGTTGCTATTTAAAGGTAGTAAATGACTGAAAGATTGTAAAGCTCTGCATTCATTAAATAAAAGGTTATTTCTTAACACCTTTGTTATTCAATTCATTATTTTTTCTTATTCTTTCTACCTATACAAATTGTTAAAGGATGTGGGCTTAGGAATTCCATAGACATGAGTTGAAATTCTGGCATTGTGTTTGAACTTTTCCTGGATTTAGAATCCATAGACGTTTCAGTGAATGACTGATAGTAACTATCTAAAGAAGTGTTGTGTTTGAAGACTCTAGCACAGTGCCTAACAAGTGAAGTGTCAAAGCCTATTTACGGTGATGGAGCCAGACCATTTAAATTATCCTTGAGGATTTATACAGGGTGGGGCAAATGTAGGTTTACAGTTGTTTGTATGTAAAATAATACAATAAATAATAATACAATAATAAGCTCTTTCATGCACTCAGTTTTAAACATGCTTTTGTCCCACCCTGTATTAAGTACTGAGAATCTTTTTATGATATAGTAGTGCCGCCCTTTTTTTTTTTTTTTTTTAAGTTGTTGGGACTCATTTTCAGGAAACATGAGCTATAGTAATAGAAAATTGTATTGTAATTGAAGAAATATAAATTTTATTTCATTGAAAAATATGTTGCCACTATACATTAGTGTTTAAAGACAGTGAACCTTATTGGAAAATAAAATATTTCTCATATTCAATTTTGGGTTAACCAGATTTTTTTTTCCAGTCATTTAGAAGTTATGTGCACAAAATCACCATAGGGCACTTAATTTCATTTTCTGTGATAATACATGTATGTGTGTGTATATTCCTATAAGTTATTTGATAAGCATAAATTATAAAGTGTAATGATATATTTCTCATATGCTCTTTTCTTTCACTTCTTTTAAAAGCTTGTGTGTTTTTGTTTTTTTTGCTTTTGTTTTTTAATTTTAGGCCCAGACCTTATCTTTTTGAAAGGGATCATAAATTTCCTACAAACAAAGAAAACTTACCAGTGGTTATTCTCTATGCAGAAATGGGTACCAGATCATTTGGTAAATTTCACACAGTATTGTCTGAAAAAGCTCAAAATGGGGAAATTCTGTATGTTCTTCGTCATTATATTCAGGTACATGTGTATTTTATTATTTTGGGTATAAAAATACATTTTATGGTAATTTCCAAATTAGATTTTCCATAATAATTTTTGTCAGGAATGTTATTTAAAGATTTTTTAAAACTGTCAACATAAACAGTCAAACCTGTCAAAAAATTTTGTGAGTTTACTTGAGCCAAACTGAGGGCAATTTGCCAGAAAGCAGAACCTCAATGGGTTGAGCACATGCTCGGGAAAATGGCAGTTGGGTAACCCATTTTTTACTTCTCAGTTACAGATTTTAAAACATGTATTTGGACTACTAGCCTTTCCTTCCATACTTTGCAAACACCTTCTCATGTATTTCTGGTCTTCTTATATTAAAAAATTATCTGATACCTTTTTTTTTTTCCAGCACAAATATTAATTTGATGGTGCCAAGTTTATCCAACTTTTCTTTAATGGTTTTCCCCCGTGATGTCAGAAAGACATTCCAATTTTTTTTGTGAGAATGAACATTATATTCTTTGTTTTGGTCTTTAATCTATCTGAAATGTATTTGAGTATGTTGTGAGAGAGAAATATAATTCTAGTTATTCCATATGAAAATCATTGGTCCCCTCATAATCAACTGAACAGTTAAATCTTTATTCTAAGCCAGCAAATATCAAGTTTTCATATAAGCATGTTTATTTTTAGACTCTGTTCTGTTTCAGTAATGTATATATGATTGTTCTACACAAATATAACATTTTAATTGCAGTAGCTTTAAATCCTAGAGCAATCGGAGAAGGAAGGACAAAGCTGAAGACATACTCTCTGACTTCAAATCATATTACAAAACTGTAGTAATCAAAACAGTATGGTGTTGGCATCAGAACATTTTGATCAGTGGAACAGAATAGTGAACTTAGAAATAACCCATTCATGTATGATAAACTAATATTTGACAAAGGAACCAGGAATACTCAGTGGGAAATAGTCTCTGCAATAAAAGGTGCTGGCAAAACTGGAATGCCACATGCAAAATGAAACTGGACCCTATCCTATACCACTCACAAAAATTAACTTGAGATAAAAAAAAAAGACTTAAAACATAAAATCTGAACCCATAGAACTCCTCAGAAAAATAGAGAAAGGGCTCCTGACATTGCTATAGGCAATGACTTTCTGAATTTGACACCAAAAGCAAACACAATAAAAGCAAAAATAAACAAGGGGACTCTATCAAACTAAAATTCCTCTGCGGAGCAAAGAAAACCAACAAAATGGAAAGGCAGCCTATAGAATGGGAAAAGAAAATTTGCAGATCATATCTCTGATGAGTGATTCATATCCAAAATATGAAAGAACTCATACAGCTCAATAGCAAAATGAACAAAAACCCCAATCCAATTAAAAAATGGGCAAAGGACCTGAATAGACATTTTTCTAAAGTAAACATTCAGTTGGCAACAGGTACATGAAAAAGTGCTCCACATCATTAATCATTGGGGAAATGTAAGTCAAAACCACAATGAGATACCACAACACAGCTATTAGAATGGCTGTTATCAAAAAATAAGAATAAAAGTGTTGGTGAGGATGTGGAGAAAAGGGAACCCTTGTGCACTGTAGGGAATGTAAATTGGTGTTCCCAGTATGGAACAGAGTATGATGGTTCTTCAAAAAAATTAAAAATAGAACTATCATATGATCCAGCAATTCTACTTGTAAGTATATTTCACAAGGATGTGAAATCACTATCTTGAAAACATATCTGCACCCCTAAGTTTATTGCAGCATTTCTTAAAATAGCTGAGATGGGGAACAAGGTATTTCTCTATCAATGGATAAATGGGTAACAAAATGTAGTTTTTATGTGCAATGGAATATTACTCAGCCTTAAAAAAAGAATGAAATCTTGCCATTTGTGGCAACATGAATGGACCCTGAGGGCATTATGCTAAGTGACATAAATCAGAGGAAGACAAATACTGAACTCACTTTATGTGGAATCTTAAAACAACAACAACAGAAAAAACAACAGAAAACTGAACTCCCAGAGACAGATAAAAGATCAGTGGTGTGAGGGCAGTGGGGTAGTGATGCTGGATGAAGGTGGTCAAAGATACAGACTTCCAGTTATAAGGTAAACAGGTTCTGGGGTTGGGTGTATAGCATGGACTGTGGTTAGCAGTACTCTGCGATGTATTGGAAAGTTGCTAAGAGTCGATCTGACAAGTTGTCATCACAAGAAAAAAGCCAGTATAACTAGGTGAGGTATGGATGTTAACTTATTGTGATGATCATTTCATAATATATACATATATCAAATCATTATGTTGTATCCCTTATTCATGCAGTGTTATATGTTCATTATATCAGAATAGGAATGAAGTGATAGATTGAGGTGTATGTTAATGTTTTTAAAAAATGTCTCCCAAGTGTTTCTAACATGCCTCCAGAGGGTATGCTCATCTGTTGAGAATTGGTGCCCTACTTATTCTTTGGATGGTGTGGCTATTAAATACTGTGAAATTATACTAGCCAACTGTCTGGGCACTTTGTAACATCAAATTATAGCCTTATATTTGTACACTCAAAATATTTATATTGTAAATCTAATTAACATGTAATTCTAATAAAATATTTGTTACTTTTGAACAGCTACCTTTTTGTGGGGGAAGAAGAAAACTATAATTCTAATTTTTATAGTAATATTTTCAAATTGAGAAAGTAAATATGAATTTAATAAACACTTATCTTTATTACTGAGGAGCTAATAGTATTTCAGAACTGATCACAGAAATTGGTTATGTGAAATTGCATTTCTTTTTTGAACTATAACAAACTGTGTGGACTTAGAGCTTTAGTTTGCTTAGCCACCAATTGATTGTCTTTTGTGTGAATAGTCAAAATGTATTTTTAAATTGAGCTGTATGAAATTGAAAAGTCTTCAAAAGATTTTCAACTTTGTCAGATTACGATCATTATAAACAACCTAGTTTTCTCATGCTATCGTTCATTGTAGTATATGCCTGAAAAATTAGCAAATTAAATTTTAGTGTGGGCAGCAACGTTAAATACTTGTCTGCATATCTATAACTAATTCTTACATCATCTTATTTGGAAATAGAATAGTGCAGGAATTGTCACTCTGGTAACATTTATTTTTAAGACTGGGGGAAAAAGTTTAGGGAGGAAAGAAGAGAATAAAAAGAGTAATATGTTCTTAAGGGTCGTCTTCCCTCTGATTTCTACTTTTTGTGACCCTAAACGTGACAGAGGAAATTTTACCTGTGCAAACCTGAATTAAGGGAAGACAGCATCTTCAAGGGAATTTGCTGAGCACTTTGTCAGACTGATGTCCTAACCTGTGAAAGAATATGCCAAATTATAATGAGTGTAGCACAACTGGTAAGAATTTCAGTCTAGGAGCTAGAAAGGAACTTGGACATCTTCAAATGTATTATGGATATTCATTCAGCTTGCTTACCTTTTCACTTAGCGTAGTGCTTAATCCTCTCCAGGTTCATCATGCTGTTGCAAAAGGTAAGATTGCTTACCTTTTGAAAAAATGCAGTGACTTCTCTTCCTTGATAAGGTTAGCTGTAGATGTACATTTCATATTTGTTCTTTATAGAAAAGGGGAAATGAGGTCAAAATTCTGATCGTAAATACTTCAGACTACTCAGTTTTAGGCCTTTGTGGTCCTTCATTGCAAGGACAGGTACTGATTTGTGGCATTTTGTGTATTTCACTCATTGAGAAACATGGAGGAAAGTGTAATCACGCTGGGTGGTATTGTCTCCTTTGCCTCTACTTTGCAGTATTTGCTTTTGGCAACACCCCAGTTGTCCTACATCTAGACAACTAGCAAATGAATACCGTTTGCTGGTTTAGCAATACTTGTGTGGATCCCAAAAGCAGTACCATTTTGTTGAAACTTGATTGTGTTGGATCCTCTATTAATTACTGATGGGAGAGATGGGGAAGTTACCATGACATAACAGGAAAAGATCAGATATGTTTTTCAACATAAAGGAGTAGTTAGAACAGTAGAGTCATGACGCAGTTTTTAGAAGGTAAAGAAGTGGGCATCAACCAAATTCTGGCTCCCTGATAGACTGGCTAGAGAGTATAAATATCCCCCAAGTAATTTTCCGTGATTTAAAAGCTTTATTATTAGTGATTTACCCTAATACATAGTTACACTGAATTGAAAAGAAAATATTTGAGTAAATATTTTCTTTTAAAAAGAAAAAACCAATGTGTTTGAACAGAAACCAGCATCACGGAAAATGTACTTATCTGGCTACGGTGTGGAGCTGGCAATTAAGAGTACAGAATACAAAACGCTGGATGACACCCACGTTAAAGGTAAGTGTTCTCTCTGTATTTGAGTAGGATGAAAAATCAGAGGCTTATATATTTTTTAAAAAAAATTTCATGCCTAAAATTCTGCTTGTGTTAATAAATGAGTCTGGAGATGGGGTGAACATGTTTTTCCTGAGTTTGGAATTTAATTGTAAACTGAAAGAAAGAATATTATAGTCAAACCTTGGCTCTCAAACATCCCATCTTGAACAATTCGGTTCTCAACCAAGCCGTTCGCAGGAAGTGTCTTGGTTGTCAAACAGAAATTTGGTTCTAGACACGACAATCTGTTCATGCTGATACCTGTGTGATCAACGATGCATCTCTCAGGCACCAAAGGAGAGAATATGCAAGTGTATAATTCGGTTTCTGAACAAATCACTTGTCTAACAGCCTTCTGGAATTAAGTTTGAGAACCAAGATTCCACTGTATTGTGCTCTCTTAAAAATTGGAAATAGCATCTCATTTTGTTTATACCCAATGGCTTACCAACTGTTTTTTAACAATATATTTTAAAATAATGCTGTAAGTTACACCAAGGCAATAGATGAAGCTGTTTATGGCACCAGGTGACTGGCCCAGGCTCTCTGGCTGGCCTGATGTGCCCAGCCACCTCTTGGCATGGGGGTGAGGGGTCTAGGGGAGCAAAGGGAATGAGTATTTCTGTAACCCTGAAACTCATTGGTAACTCACTGCCCTAGGAGGTTTTGTTGGAAGTATTTATTTACGATGAAGTTAGGGTGATGCTGGGGTGTTTTTGTTTTTGTTTTTGTTTTGAAATAGGATGAGAGAGGTGTGTTGTTTTGATGAAGTAGATTGGTTAGATTTGTGATCTGCAAATCAATCTGCCTGTCATCTGGGTACTAAATGCATGCTCTAGATGAAGAACTCAAGAGACCAAAACTAAAGAAGTTTCACAAATTTATGAAAATCTTTTATTACATGGTTTATCAGAAGTTTATTTATGTCTGGCTCTTGATTAAGAGTTTTAAATTCATTCTTTTAAATGCTCCCAGATGTGGCTTCTCCTTCAACTTCATTTTTCTATTCAGGATCTAGTCCTGAAGGCCCTGCCCTGATTATAGACTTAGCTCTGGCCACTCCTACTGACTATGTTTCAAATAAAGATCTGTATTACTGTGATTTAAATTCTGCTAAAGAGTTACTGGAAAAGTATAGTGGAAATAATATTCAGATATTATATATTTTCTAGGATAGATTACATGTTAGGACACAAAACCAGTCTCAGTAAATTGAAGAGAACTGAAATCACCTCAAGTGTCTTCTCTGACCATCATAGTATGAAACTAGAAATTAATCAAAAGAAAAAAACTGGAAAACACACAAAGACATGGGGGCTAAATAACATGTTACTAAACAGTGAATGGGTTAACAATGAGATCAAGGAAGAATTCAGAAGATACCTTGAAACGAAAATGAGAACATAACAACCCAGAATCTATGGGATACAGTAAAAGCAGTCCTGAAGGGAAAATACATAGCATTACAGGCCTACTTCAAGAAACCAGAAAATTCTCAAATAGTCTAACTTTACACATACAGGTACTAGAAAAAGAACAAATAAAACCCAAATTGAATAAAAGACTAAAGATCTGAGCAGAAATAAATGGGAAAGTCTAAAAAATCAACACAATATATCAATCAAACTAAGAGGTGGATCTTTGAAAAGATAGACAAGATTGACTAACCTTTCACTAGACTCACCAAGAAAAAAAGAGAGAGGACTCAAATAAATAAAATCAGAAATGAAAGAAATAACAACTGACACAAAAGAAATACAAAGGATTGTTAAAAATATTACAACCAACTATATGCTAATAAGTTGGACAACTTGGGCGAAATGGATAAATTTCTGGAAACAATTTTCCCAAAACTGAATTAGGAAGAATAAAAAAATCTAAATAGATCAATTACAACTAATGAAATTGAAGCAGTAATCAAAAAATTCCCAACAAACAGAAGTCCTAGACCAGTTAGCTTCACAGATGAATTTTACCAAACTTCCAAAGAAGAACTAACACCTCAAAATATTCTAAAAAATTGAGGAGGAGGGAACACTTTCAAACTTATTTTTCAAGGTCCCCATGACCGTAATTCCAAAACCAGATAAAGACATGACAAAAAAGAAAATTTGGGTCAATCTCTGATGAACATAGATGCTAAAATCCTCAACAAAATATTAGCAAACCAAATACAGCAATATATGAAAAAGCCCATACGCCATGATAAAGTGGGATTTATTCTGGGGAAGCAAGGTTGATACAAAATCCACAAATAAACATGCTATATCACATAAACAAGATGAAGGCTAAAAATCACAGAGCTATATGAATAAATGCAGAAAAAGGATTTGATAAAATTTATCCACTTATGATAAAACTCTCAGCTATGTGGGAATAGAAGGAACATAACATAGTAAAGGCTACATATGACACACCCACAGTATCATTCAAAAATAAGACGTTTCCCTTAAGACTGGGGACAAGACAAACGTTTGCTTCCATGACTCTTATTCAGTATAGTACTGGGAGCTCTAGCCCCAGCAATTAGACAAGAAGAAATAACAAGCATCGAAATTGGAAAAGAAGAATTAAAATTATTTGCAGAGTACATGATACTGTATATAGAGAACCTGAAAGACTCCACCAAAAAAGACTTAGAACTGGTAATTCAGTAAAATAGCAGGATACAAAATAAATATCCAGAAATCAGTTGCATTTTTATACATCAATAATGAACTATCAGAAAGGGAAACTAAGAAAACAATCCTATTTACAATTGCATCAAAAAGAATAAACTATCTAGGAATAAATTTAACCAAGAATATAAAAAGACTGAACTCGGAAAATTATGAGACAATGAAAAAAAGAAAATGAAGGAGCTACAGATTAAGTGGAAGCATATATCATGTTCATGGCTAGGAAGAATTAAGATTAAAATGTCCATACTACCTACCCAAAGCTATCTGGATTCAGTGTAATTTCTGTCACGTGTGTGTGTGTGTGTATGTGTGTGTGTAAAACAGACATGGAAAACAGTGTGGTGATAGCCAGAGGGAAGCGGGGGCAGGTGGAGGCGGGCAAAGTGGGGTAAATGGGGACCAAAAGAGACTCTGCTTTGGGCAATAAGTGCTCAGTGCAGTGTGCAGGTGAGGTTTTGTTGAGTTGTGCACTTGAAACCTGTGTGGTTTTATGAACCAGTGTCAGCTCAATAAATTCAATTTAAAAAACAAACCAACCTCACAGACACAGACAGCTGTGTGGTGATGACCAGAGGGAAAGGGGGTTGGGGAGGGAGAAGCGGATGAAGGGGGAGCAAATGCTGATGGACGGAGACCTGACTGTGGGTGGGGAACGCAATACAACATACAGATGGTACGTTACACCGTTGTACTCTTGAAAACCTGTTTAATTTTATTAATCAATGTCACCCTAATAAATTCAGTAAAAAAAAAATGAAAAAAATAAAAAGTGCACACAGAGAATGCAAGCATGTGCATATACATGTATCATTAAGCTGATTGATGAAGAAAAAGAAAGGTAAAACAAATGGAATTTAATTCATTTTTAGTTTTTCTAATGTTCGATTACATATTCCTTTCCCAGACTGAAAATGTTTTTTTCCCCCCCCAAAATATAGCCGTGTCTAATGCTACTGTTGAAGATGAGATTGAAATGAATGAAGTTCAAGGATTTCTCTTTGGAAAACTCAAGTAAGTATGAAATGAAATAAAATTATATTATTATACTCTTAAGTCTGTTTTTAAAGGAACATGTTATGTTGGCTTATGTTTCACATTTTAAAAATATCCATATAATTGTGTTTATGTGTTATAAAAATAATGCACAGATAATGCAAAAACACAGATTTGCAAGTAATCTCTAACTTAGCTGTGTAAGTACCATGAGAAAATAGGAATTGAAAATGCTCAGTTATTTCTGACAAAAAATCTAAATAAAAACTTTATAGAATCTTTTATAAATATAATAGGTTACAAAAATCATGCTTAATATTTTGCATGAAAGAAATCAAAATTTTTACACCTCAAAAGAAAATAGTTTCTTTTCCTAAATTTCTGTGCCACAGACTTTCATGTTAAAAACCTTTAACATCTGATCTTAATTTCATGCCCATGCGTGACTAAACTTTGAGAAATTAAAGTTGTGCTCCCTTCTTCCCTGCCTCTCTAACTGAAGATGAGGAATCGGATGGTGAGTGCTCTCTGAGTGCATGTGAATGGGGATCAGTGTGGTTTTGTGCGCACTTTCTCTCATTTGTGAGAGGTGAATTTTATGGTTCCAATATAAAGGCAAAATTCATTAAAAGAAGACTTTTATTAATATTTTTAGTTCTGGTTTAGCATTACAAGTAGTTACAAAGGACACTTTGGATGTGTATCGTGAGTGGATACCTATAGAGAGCCAGGGGGACGTTTTTGGAGACTGTGCTAATTTATACAGATGACTGAGCTATATTTCTAAACTGTATTGGCCAAGTGGTATGTATGCTCTCATGACCTTAAAAAGTCAATGCATCTTGCAAAACATATTTATCTAATTAAGATATTTATTTAGTAGATAAACCATTTTTATTCCATTTTCAGCTGTGACTCAGCATCTTGGAATCCATAGTTTTATTCTTAATGTTTTATGGGAATAAATTGTGTGTCCTCCAAAAAGCCTTTGGAACCCTGATGTATTAGTTTTTTAAAAGAGGAAATAGTCAGTTCTTACACCATTCCTCAGTTGATTTAGGCAAACTCTCCCTCCCCAAAAAAACTTTAAGGTATTGTATGAATAATGTACATTTGCCTAAATTACACAAATAATTTTAGCACTATATTGATTATAATTAAATATGAAAAACAGTATAATAGCTCTCATAAACTTAATATTATTCCATAACCTAACATTTTGAGGAAAGAGGGGTTATTGGATTGTGTAGTGAACTTTTCTGAAGTTTTGCTTTTTCATTACAAGCGCAGTCATAGACAGCCTGGCTCCACTTGCAAGATGTGGTCCCACAGTGTAGTCAAATTGCGGGATATTGACACCGTAGTATATTTATCTGTTGTTAATTGTTAACATTAGTGCATTTCTATATATTTGTTCTGTATGTTTATTTTTTCACTTTTTAATATCTTCATTTCTTTTTACTCCTGAAAATATATATTTTATAAGTTGTGATGGTAGCTAATGCTTTATTTTTTAAATTCTATTTAAGTCTGAAATAGTACTGTCTTAATTTCATGAGAAATAGAAGATTATACTTTAGATTATTTGTGTATTAAAATGTCACTGTACTATATAATTATTTGGCACTCTCTAAAATATACCTAGATGTGTTTAATGTTAGGCAAAATTATCTTACACTTTTTATACATTTCGAACATGGAACTTTTTAGAAATAGAATAAACTCTAAGATTGTATAGGAAGCATTAGTGTCTTTCCTTACAATACAGTTTTTTATTTTAAATTATAGAAGCAATGCTTTTAATTTATAAAATGTTAAAATAAAAAGTACATAGGATAGAAACTAGTAATTCTGCCCTCACCCTTGCATCTCTTATAGTGATGTTAACAATTGAGACAGCATCTCTCCAGGTTTGGTTTGGTTTTGTTTATATATTGAAAAAAATAGACATATATCTTCCTCCTCATTTATTTTGAAGTTCTGCAGCTAGAGTTCCATCATGATTTATTCTCTTAATGATGAACAATTAGTTTGTGTCTAATTATTAGGAAGAGTTCATTTCAAAAACATACTGCTTATTTGATGATTTGTGATAGGTGATGCTAATTAACATTACTTAATATTCCAATGCAGAGAAAAGTATTCGGATTTGAGGGCGAACCTGACAGCATTCCAAAAGTACCTGATCGAGAGCAGCAAGGAAATGACGCCTTTGAAAGTCTGGGAGCTACAAGGTAAGTATTTCCGTCTGCTTTAGCACAGCGGTTTGCTGGCCGGTCTCTGTTTTATGAAATAAACTTTTATTTAACATGATATAAATTATTTCATAGAAAGTAATAATTACTGGGATGTAAATAATATAAATTGTTACATTATTTCTTGTGGAAATAGTTAATTAAAACATTCTCCATTGAACAAATTATATTTTTATGTTTGTAAGACTTAAAATTCAATTAAGTGTAATTATTTGATATTTAAAATTTAATCATTTTTAAAGTATACACTAATTTATAGGTTCATCTGAAGCATTAAATCACATTGCAGGGAATCTATAACATTCATTAAAATTTCTAACTCATAGGTGAGGAGAAATCAGAACTAAATCTGGTTTTCTTCTACGTAAAGTTTTGATCGTAATGGACTGACCATTGCCTGTTTCTCCATTAACTTAGAACAGCTTCTGTGCTAGCATCCCATCAGGAGAACTTTTGTGGGGAGAATTTAGTTTAGGTTGAAGTATAAGTCCTTTACAATTTGTAATTTCCTTTTTCATCAACTGTAAACTCTGGTAGGTCATGGGGACATGTTGTTTTTCTGTGTGATCCATACCTTTTATCACGTCTCTTACCAACTTTTAAAAATATCAGTTTTTTGAGATTTAATGGACATACTGTACAGTTTACCCAAAGTGCACTATTCAGTGGGTTTTAGTATATTTTCAGAGTTCTTTAACTGACACCCCAGTCAGCTTCAGTGTATTTTAACTGCCCCCCCCAAAAAAAGTTATGTGCACATGGACTGTTACTCCCATTTTCCCAACTCCTCCAGCTGTAGGCAACTAACAGTCTACTTTCTTAGCCTTCAGAATGTCCTCCAAGGGACCTGTCATTTAGAAAGCTGTAAGTGATAGAGTGCTTTTGAAGGCTTGTAAACAGGGAACATGCACTGTCAGCTTAGTTTTAATTAACCTTCGTAGTGTCTGTGTAAGATATAGTTGAATGGACTAGAAACAGGAAATCCAATTAAGACATCATTGAAATGCAGGGACAGAGGTTGCACTAGGACTATGTCGGTGGTGTAGGAAGGAAAGCTGGGTCTGGCCAGGACAGAGGAGATGGCAGGAATCACAGATGGCTATGAGGTTGCCAGCTTTAAGGCTGAGAGAAGATAGAGCGTGTCAGCAGGTTTGGGGCTTGAATCGGGGGCCCAGGAATAACGAGACTGGCGTTAAGATGATTGACTTAAAGTAGCGGGGTGAATATAACATCCTGAAGCTAAAAGGAGAGGATTTAAAAAGTTAAAAGTCATAGTGTAAAGCATGGGTGTCCAACCTTGTGGCATCTCTGGGCCACACAGTAAATACCTTGCGACATACAGTCACACACACAAAAAATCTCATGATGTTTTAAGTAAATTTACGATTTTGTGTTGGGCCGCATTCATAGCCACCCTGGGCCTCATGCGAGTGGCGCTAACCGAAAGGTGGTGGGGCCAAATCGGGGGTGCGGGGCCCTCATCCTCGCGCACGGGGCAGGGGGCCGCGGTCTCTTGCTGACTCCATGCCCTGCTGACACTGTGCCGTGAAGACGCCCCAGGGTGGGGAGGAATGGAGGAGTGCATTACCGAAGCCAAAGGAAGCGCATTTCCAAGAAAGGGGCAGTGAGCAATGCCTTTGCTCTTTCTTCTCTTGTTACTTTCCCTCCCTCCTTTCTTTTCTTCCTTCCTCGATTTAACAGAATATATTTTATTTTTCTTTATTTATGGATTTAACAGAATTTATTGAGTGTCTGCTAAGTGGCAGTCATGTCCCTACATCTGTGGTTTTATAATTTTAGGCTCAGGCTGACATAGAAAATATACAGGGTCTGGCAGAAGTAAGGCCTGCTTGGGTGTGGTTGGTAGGATAATAATATGGGTGTAATAATTTATAGTTTTAATTTGGACATTTTCCTTAAAATGTCATATGGTATGCTTGACTGTGATATTGTTATGTTACATAATTACATGCTTATCATCTTGTAATAAAAGGTTTTGTAATTAAAAAAAGGGGGCCAGTATTTGTGCCAGACCTGTATTTTACACTGTATTTTACTTGTGTACATCATACACAAGTGTATGATGTAGGGATACATAAATATGCTCAAAGCTAAAGAACAGCTGCTGCATACCGTATGTATGCTTACTACATTTTATTCACTCTGACAAAACTTTCATTCTACCCTATTTTATTAGGGAAAAAAATCACATTACTCAAATCAGATTTCACGGTTAACTCATGGGTTCCCGCTGATATTTTGAAAAATACTAAATTCCAAAGATAAAATAATGAGTTAAAACACATACTGTGTTTCTTCAAAGGATCTTAGATAACCATAAATCATTTCTAAAACCAATATAAAAATTCCCCTTGTGAGTGCTGCAAAGTCAGAATAAGAGATTAAGAAGGTTATATGCCCTCGAGACCTGAACTGGTGGGCGGTGGGGGAAGGGGGAACAGAAAGGGGAAGCTTCCTGTCGAAGAGGTGGTTAAACTGGATTTGAGGAGGGTTGGGAATTAATTGGAGGGCGGGTTATTTAGGGAAAAAGTCAAAGGTCTTTGTGAGAAGGTGGATGTGGAGTGTGACGGCAGGAAATGCCAGGAACAACAGCTCGAGCCACGCTTTCCCCAGTGGACGGACAGTGGTGGTGTTTGCGGAGAAGAGAAGACTAAGGAGGACCAGACTTGGGCAAAGAGGAGGCGGGGGTATCACAGTTTATTAAACATGACCCTTTTGAAGTATCCAAGTGATAAAACCAAGAAGGCGTTTAAACTACGGATCTAGATTTGCGTCTCAAAGTGTAGGTGTCTCAAGTAGCAATTTATGAATCGTCTGGATAGGGAACAGTTAAATGGTAATAGCATTTGATAATATTTTATTTCTTGTTACTTGCACTCTGATTTCATAAACGAATTTTCAGGGGCTTTCAGATGAATTACATGCAGGAAATTTCATGTGAAGGAGAATTACATGTTAAAAAAAGTTAAAAAAAAATAGTTGTACTCTTAAACCTGAGTAAAGGTAGTTATCCATGATCACAGTTATTAATGATGATGATTGATGTTGATAAAATTATTAGTCAATACTGTATGTTTGGCATAGCAGTAGACTTTTTATATGCATTACCATAATTAATTTGAAATATCTTATAAAAGATAGATATCCTACTCTCCCTGATGAAGAAACTTGAAGAAACGGACACATAAAATATTGGGTTGGCCAAAAAGTCCGTTTAGTTTTCCCTTAAAATAAAACACACATTTTTCATTTTTACCAATAACTTTATTGATTTGGATATTTTGAGTATGTCAGCTGTCTCCCTCGTTTGCCTTCTAATGGGTAGAGTCCGGGGCTGCTGCTGAACACCTTCCATTGCATAAGATAGCCCCACAGCAAAGAATTATTGGGCCAAAGTGTCAGTAGTACCAAGAAACTTCACAGATCACTTTTGACACATTTGATCAGTCACAGCGCCTTCTCCATACATTGCACCAATCTGTGTGTATGTGTGTGGTTCAGTTGCATTTTTACCTTTCTTGAAATAATAAAGCATGATGTACTGAAAATGTTGCTTATTTTCTTCCATCTTCAATATTAAAATGGCTTCACAAAAATTCATCAACTCTGATGAGTTTTTTAAATGCACACTGATGTGACAGCTGTCAGAACATGCCCCCACGAAATTGTCTCGAATGAAATTAAAGACAACTAAGCGCTACTAGAGCCGTTGTACGGAAAAAAACTGAACGAACTTTTTGGCCACCCCAATAATTAGTTCAAGGTCACAAATCTGATAAAGCACAAATCAAGGATATCTGAAATGAGCAGGTCTGTCTCACTTTAGAGCTTATCTTTTTCCTTACCACCACCTTGTACTGTTTGGAGTGTAACAGTGCACAGCCAAATGCTGTCAGGCAGCACCTTGACCATATACTTTCTAAAAATAAATAAATAATACTCTTCCGTAAGTTGTCATATCAATCACATAGGTAATGACGAGTTTTCTCACTAAAATATTCCTAAATGTTTACACACCACTTACAAATTATGTTGCTTATAAATGCCTTTAGTAGCAATAGAATGATAAATGTAAGGGGCCTCACTTGCTATTTACTGTTCACTCACTCATCAGTATTTGTCGAGCACCTACTTATGTATGAGGCACTTTTTTTTGGCGAGAATATTTAAGCTCTACTCTGTTTGTAGCATATTGGAGACTGACTGCAAAAAGCCACACATTTTTCTTTCCTTAGGACTGTCATTTCAGGTGAAATAATTCTAAGTTTAGGATTTTATTTTTATCGTAGTATAAAAGTAGAACAATACTGAAAGAGAAAGTGAATGTTTCATATTTACTGAGTTAAACATATTAGGTCTGTCTTGAAGTTCTTTTCAGAATTGTCCCTTCGAACTTTTTCCTGTCTAGTGGTTATTTTTATCAAAGCCTTTTCTTGCCTGTTTATTTAACCTAAATATAGAAAATAATGGCTTTGCATCAGCACTTTTTTTCATCTATCTCTTTTTGAAGTTATACTGGAATTTGTGGAAAACAAGTATTAAGTATTAAATGATAGTTACTGATTGATAAAAGTGTAAAGTTTACCTTAATTAGAAATAAGTGCTACCTTTCCATTTAAAATTTTTGAAAAATGCTAATTATAAGAGTGTTAACTTGTCTATACAAGAATATATATATAGCCAGAAGGGTTGAGTGAATTACTTAAAGTATATGGAAATGTTTATGAGGTTATGACAATATGCTAGATTTTTTAATGATATTTTTTCCTTCCAGATCTTAGTTTTCAAGCAGCTTCTCAAATAATGGCTACTCCAGCTTATGATGCCTTAAAATTAATGAAAGACATTTCGCAGAACTTCCCCATAAAAGCCAGGTATAATAAAGTTTATTAGTTTGATTATAGCCAGAATTCTTTCCATTAAGTAAATTTTATGAAAATAGCTTATTTCACTTAATACAATGATGTCAATTAATTCTAGTATATACAGTGCTTCTGAAAGAAGGGCCTTTCTTCATTATGTAAGTTGGCGTTTTGCTAGAGTGGAATATTGGCTTGTACATACATATGTATATGTCCTACAAAATAGGAGTCTTGAATTAGAGGCAAATGGGAAGGAAAAAACAATTCATTGAAAATAGGTATTTAAATATAAACAGGGAGGCATGATAATCCAAGGAAAAAACTTGTTTAAGCAATAAATAAAAATGTAATTTTGTTTTTCTGTTTGCCATGGAGGATGATGAAAAGGATTACTTTAAATAGATCTATGCCCAAAGTATAGCCAAGTCGTCATCTTGCCCTTTTAGATTCCAAGTAATTAGTAATTTCTTAATTGTATGAGATAGCTTGTGGGATGATTTTTGCCAATAGGGTATCTAATTGAACTGCTTCCAGAAATGCTAATGTTACATTTAACACATCTCTCAGTTCAATAGATAATAATACACTGGCAAATCTAAAAGTAACCAATACATACAGTTCAGGTTACCATGTATTGTAAGGGTTGACAAAATCACAAGACTTTGATGCATTTGTATTTGGATCAGGAATGACAGAATATAGAATTATAAGCAGCCAGTAAAATATAAAATAAGCCAGCTTCCATTGAATGCACAGAGCACGCGGCAAGGGCAGCACCCGAGTCCTAGTGAGGGGAGCTGGGGCGCACCCTCCCACTTCCAGCGTCTCTCCTCAAGCCCTGGGTGAGCGACAGGCCTCTCTTTGTCCCAAACACTATTTTGTGCATGTATCCACAGCACGATGTACTGAATTTTATCTAGATGCTCTGACCACAGTATCATAAATAAGTAGTGCATAGTTGGCCACAAGAGACCAAGAATCTTCATGGCACCCTGAAAATAGGTTTGTTACCGTATTTACAGATTAAGAATGAATGTATTGATATGATCCTTTCAATTTTAAACAGTCAAGACTTTGAGAAGTCAGCATATTATGAAACCTGCAATACATACGTGTGTGCATAAATATTACATTTAGCCACATTGCTCTTAATTAATAGCAGCTTTTGAAATTACTCGACCAAATACAAATCAAGAAAATAATTTTAGTTTTAAGAAGACAGTTGATAGGCTTTTTGACAGTAAGTCAGGCCACTATTGAAGGATTCAGTTGCTAAACTCTAATAAATGTGTGATTGGTCATTAAAAAAAAGTTGGCAAACTATGCTATTACTGCTTAATAGCTAAATTGTAAGCTTGAGCAAATATCTAAAGCACCTGGTGAACAATCAGTAGATGTCTGTTTAAATATTTGCTAAATGAATGAAAAATTGGCATTATCTAATTTATCCCAAGTTATGCCAAATTTTGGGAGGTAATGTGCAATTACTATATGTTTTGTTTTGTTTTTTTATCCTCACCCAAGGAAAGGAGGGAGAGAGAGAAGGAGAAAAACATTGAGCAGTTGCCTTCCATACACGCCCTGATAGAGGACCAAACCTGCAACCCAGGCACATGTCCTGACCAGGAATTGAACACACAACCTTTCAGTCCCAGGACAATGCTCCAACCAACTGAGCCACACCAGTCAGGGCACTGTGGATTGTTTTAAAATATACCTTTCTACTTGAATTTTACTTAAAGCAGAACTTTGCGTTTACAGTCTTTTAATTTTTATCTCATTTTCTTCTATGCATAAAATTAACAGATATATAACTTATCATTTTTAGGAGTTAAGTCAAACAATAGACTTAATTTTAAAATTTTCTTTATAAGGTAGTTTTAAGCTCTTCAAGGCTGAATATGTGAAGTCAGGATTATCAGTATCTTGTAACTTAAGTTCTCTGCTAAAGATCCCAGGTGAAAATTGCCTGGTTGCATGGACACATATGATGACATTGATAATTTCATGCAAAATTTCTCTATGGGAAAAGCAACATAAAATAGCACTTTTCATTAAGTATTTTTGAAAAATAAGTCTAGTAATAAGCAAGGTCTGACAGTATTTAATGCATACAGTCAGTGCCCATGAACTTCTGACCGCCTGTCCCACCTGAATCAAATACCCTTGTCAGATGACAGCTATAGTACCACTTGTCAAGTCGGCTATGTAGAAATGTCACGAAGCCTTTGGAATTGTTAATTTCTTACACAAAATATTATATTACCTTGAATTATAGATTAGTCCTAAACATTTAAGGAGAAATTAGTTATACTAATATTTATTTTCCCAGGTCCCTTACCAGAATTGCTGTAAATCAACATATGAAGAAGGAAATACAGAAAAATCAACAGGTTTGCTTGAATTCCTTTTTTAAAAGAATTTACTGTATTCATATTGCTGTTTCAGACTTTGGGTCTTCAGTTTTTATACGAAAAAGAAAAGGTTCATTTGTATTTTTGATTTTTAAAACAGTTCAAGTTTTCCATTTTTGTACTCTACATACAGTCTGAGAATGTAACCAATCTTTCCTGACATATATTTTACTTACCTCCTCATTCACCCTATACTCCAAACCTTTTGCTCATGCGGTATGGTTTTCTTCACAGGGTAAAGAATGAAGGCTATGAATTAATTATTGCTTCTGATAATTAGTTTTGCTTAAAAACTTGAGGACCAAGCCAGGTTTAGACCATGGGAACATTACTAGAATCCCATGGCATGTAGGACACAAGTGATCGGTAGTTTTTAAGATTCTGCCAAATGCTTTCTTGAACTAACCATACAACCCAAATGACCCTACCTGTGTTAATACTTGTGAAGGGCCTGGAACATTGCCTTGCTTACAATACCAGATACACAGGGCTGCCAAAAGTAGTTTATTTTTCTCACTTAAAAAGAGGCACTACCATAGGTGGCTGCGGGCATGGTTTTTTCCTTTTATGGTTGCAAATTGCTGTCACAACTCCAGGTTTCTGATATGAATGCAAAGTAGGAGGCAGGGAGATGGTATCAAGCACATTTCATCCCACCAAAGCCTTTGATCCTTGTTGTTTACCCTACGCAAGAAATCTTGACATTAATCAGTAAACTAAATAATCACAACTCTATGTGGTCATCTTGTTTAGCTTCCTCTTTCAGGGCACATTGATAAAAGATAAGGATGATAGTGGCTTTCATGTCATTCACCTTGGGTAAATGTGTTTGGACTAGAAGCTCATTTCACCTGTGACCACATGAGGTATGTGAGTGATAACAAACTAGAGTTCACACCCTGGAAAAGAGGGTGGTAGTGACTAGAAGGTCAAAATACCTTGGAAAGGCCCTTGCAGTATTGCTGAATGCCTACATAGCACGTGCGCACACCGGAAGAATGTCATTATTACGTCTCATGTATACACAGCAAGAGTACAATTTATGTAAAGCATAACTGCTGCAAAACACAAACAAAAGGTAGACACACAAAAAAGAAATTAGTGGACTTGGAATTGAATATGTAGAAAGATGATCTGTCTTATAATAAGAGAAATAGAGATCAAAGTTATACTGAGACACCAGATTTATAATATTCAAAGTGTGATGGCAAATTCTGTTGGTAAGTCTATCTTTTTCTGTGTGTAGGAAAGCAGGGAAAACAAGATATATATTCATATGTATTAGTATTTGCATAAAGGAACACCAGAAGGATGGGGGAAAAAAACTGGGGAAAACAGAACAGTTGCCTCGCTGGGCCATGGTGAGGTGCTGGAGAACAGGGGAGGGCAAAGCCCTGGGGCAAGCGTAAGGGTTCTGTGCGTGGGGGTTTTGTGGAGTTTTAACTTGGGACTCATGCAACACTTATCCAGAAACTACGACTGTGCTGAAGTTACATAAGTGAATTTGGGCTTGGTTTTATTCAGGAGACAACAGCGGTAACTCCAAAGTATAGCAAATTTCCCCTTTGAGTTAATGATTCTTATTATTTTGCTCAGAGATGAGCCAAAATCTGCTTTTGGTGATTTAAAAATCAATGGCAATCCAGTGTGTGTGTCTTATTGTTTACTGTGAGAGTTGTTATATTATGTTCCATGACATTTTTTTGTTTGAAAGAAAAAAAATGGAATATGGTTGGGTAGTCTGGTAACTTTTTAATTTTACCCCAGCAGTGGAAAACATTGTTTTAATTGTAGAGTTACATAAAAAACAGGTGAGATACTTAAATATAAAAACCTAAATAAAGGATTAGACCTAATCCAAAAAGAAGTTCACACATTTCCTAATTATGTCAACTAATTACTTAGAATGTATGAATTTTACAGTTCTTGAATACTCTTGAAATACTCCCTTGATCCGAATAACCTCTCTAAAAGTTCCCTTGTAAAACATTCTTTTAGAATCTTGTTTCTACATCCTGAAAAAAATATATTTCCCCCTGTATTTAGATTTATATCTGATTTGACTTCAAATTTTAAACTTAAAATGCATATGGTTTCAGTTTAGGGACCTCCAGACCTCTTTGTGAACCATTTAGCATTCTAACCTCAACCTCCCGTCTGAGATCCGATCATTGGCAATGTGTGGCTTCAGGTAACGGCCCACTTCCATTGCAGTACCTTGTTCCCTCTTTTTCTAATGAAGTCCTCTTTCTCCATAGGGACTTACATTTATTTCTGCTCAGACTAAGAGCACTCCCAGTTTAATTCCACAGTAAATAAAAAGTCAGTGCATATTTTTCGGGCCTTAAAATCAGTGAGAAATCTGGCCTCAAATCCATGTGAAGATAAGCCAGCGGCAATGAATTCTTACAGAAGACTTATTGCTCCCAACCATGGCAAGATCAACAAGTTTCTGTGCTGTGTCTGCAAAACATCTTGTTTCCTAGGTCCCCTTCATTGTGGGGGGAGCACTTCCTGTGCCCAAGGCTCCCTCTCACCCCATCCCCTGCCCTGGGGGAGCCCAAAGCTTTGCTTCCTGTCCTTTTGAGACTCGCCCTTAAATACCCAAGCTTTAGGTACCTAAAATCCTTTGTGTCCTTGGACTTGTATTTCTACCACTTCTCTGCCCTTGAGAGAAACCTTTCCTTTTAAAAGCTAAACCACTCATCTAGAGGACGTTGTTCACATTTTAATCCAGCACTTTACTTTTAGAAAGAGGATTTCGGGTTGTCTGGTTCATCATATTGCTGGAAACTGAATTCTTACCCCTTGGTTTGAGAAATGCTGCCTGAAATCATACACCCAGGGTAATTTACCAGGATATAAGGCTACCTCTCTGGGGGGAAGGGAAAGACTTTGTCAGTATTAGTCTCCAGTAGACTGACAGTGTTTTGGCAATTAAGTTCAGTTTATTACCCTTTTTGAGCATCATCTTTGTTCAGAGCTCTGTGCTTGGCTTAACTACTCCTGAGGGAGTCGGCATTTCCAAGGGTAGTTTGTGTGCTTGAGGGGCTTTCCACTTACAATTGAGTTGCCTAAACCAGCTGAAGTGCCAGGAGAGCTCCAGACGGAGCTAAAGACAAGCCAAGGTTTTGCCTACGAACCTTCGCGTGTTGGAGTTCAGCGTCTTCCCAGTGTTTTGCAGGACTCCAGTGCAAGCATTTTCTGCCCTGTTGCAGATTGAGCTCCTCCTCTCCCTCCTCCGTATGTAACTCACCTCTCCTGGTGAGTGATACGCATACAGAGAAGTTTACCTCTGTCAAGTTTTCCCTCAATCTCTTCAAGTTATTTTCTTCATCTGTCTTTCTAGAATAATTTATACCAATTTCTATTAGGTCACTTATCATGCAGTCTCTTTAAAATGCAGTTTTAAAATTGTTTTTCTCCTAAACCAATTTACCTACACTGATAATAGTAATAATAAAGGCTTTATTTATGAGTACTGTGTATTTGACTAGACACAGGAATATATTTAAACTTTATAACAAACCAATGAGACAGACGTAAGTACTCCATTTTACAGATGAAAAAACAGACTTACGGAAGCTAAGCAAATTTGCCCAAATTTCACCACTAGTAAGTAGCAAGACTAAGATCAAAAGTAGACCTGACTCCCTCACCGCGTGGTCTTAACAACTATGCTGTCCTTTTTTACCTCCACTGCTGACCTAGTGCCTGGAGTGATTTCCAGCATACAGTAGACACTTGAGAAATAGTTGCTGAATGAAAAAACAGTGAACAGGGCAACACTGCTTTAATGGAAGCCTTTATGAATTTAGAGTGATCTCCAAATATTTCTATGTACACCGAAGTTTTGTGTCCTGGGATATATGAAACGATAGGAATGTGCCAACTATCAAATTCTAAGGGTGTGAGCACACACACACGCACACGCAATATAAAACATAGGAGGTAGGTCATTGTAGCATTAGAACTTTAATATCACATATTGCAAAATCAAAACAGTCACGTATTTGTGTCTAACCTGTCGTCAGATGCCCATCACTAGATGAGGGTGGGCAAACTACTGCCCACCTGTATGTTAAACCTGGCCTGCCACTTGTATTTATAAATAAAGCTTACTGGAATACCATCATGCCAGTTTGTTTATATTATCTTTGGTTGTTTTCATGCTACAAGAGCAGAGTTGAGTGGCTGCATCAGGGATGATATGGCTGGCAAAGCTTAAAATGTTGACCACCTGACTCAAAACTTTTCAGACTCGCCACATAGATCACTATTGTTATATGACTTGGTCAACTGTTATTCTGCTCTGTTTCAAGGACCTTCTCAATAGATTTGAAATTCACCCAGGTGATGCTTCTCTGTATATAAATGGACTTCGTGTGGATGTGGATGCTCATGATCCTTTTAGGTAAGTGTTGCGTTATGGATGCAAACTGCCTGTGGTTTATATAAAGGGAAATATTGCCCTGAAGTTAGTATTTGTCAAAATTCAAATAACCACTTTAAAGGTAAAGCAACTACATGTTTTTGATTGTATAAAAGAGTTTCTGTTATTTTTTGTGGAATACCCTTGTAAGTGTCTCAGAGTGCCAGAGCTGGGCGGGACCTTGGGACACATCTTCAGATGAGAACACTGAAGGTGCTGAGTCTTCAACCTGTACTTACCCCATTATTTCAAACTACCCTTCGTTGAACCGGAGGTTTATCCTTTAACAGAAAAGTTTCCTGGCAGCCAGGGTGTTCCATTCCTTTCAGTCCTGGCAGAAAGGAACTGAAAGGAATGTGAGGTGTTTCTTCAGAAAGAAGAATTTAAATTACTTGTATCTGTTCAAAAGGAAATTTGAAATTACAGAATTCAGAGTGCTCTCTTTCCTTATGTAAAAAAAAAATTCTTCAAAAATGCTCTAGAGCAAAATTACATAGTCTTTGTAAATCAGGTCAGTGGCTGATAAATCAGTCATGGGCCAAAAGAAGAGAAATCAATTGAATTTATTTTGTTTTTCAAAAGCATAAAAGTACTTTAAAAATTAATATTTGGAGTATAAAATGAGTTTTGTAAACAGTACTTTAGTTCAGACATTCAGTTTGAATTCAATTGAATATATGTTATTGAACTTAAATTGTTTATTGTATTTTCTTACCAGTTTGGAAATATATAGGAAAATACAGGAAAGACTGAGAAGTAGAATAGGTAGTTCAAATGGGGCTTTTCTCTTTATTTAGTTGTATCCTTGGATCTAGTATTGGGAAAATGATGACCTAGGATAGGCAGGCTGAGTTATTACACGCAGAAATAGTAGAGTGGCAGTTGTTAGCTCCTGGCCTGTGAACTTCAGAGGCACAAAAGTTACATGTGTGCTCAGGAGCAGTGAAAACAGGTTTTTAAAAAGCAGTGAAATGGTAGGTGGATTCTGGAAAGTTCCTGTGTCAATGTACAGGGAAGTTTTCATAGCAGGAACGTGTTCATGTGTAATGTAGAAAGACTGTAGGTCATTCAGGAAATAGAGTCCCCTTGGCTCCTCCCCCTGGAAATTAGCGATCTGCAGGGTGTGTGAGACATTTTTGTTCCTTGATCACTTGTAGCTACTATAATTCCCTTAGAGGGAAGGAAAATATATAAGGATAGTTACACTTCTGACACTTTTTAGTACAAAATAAACAATCATAGAGGTTCTCAGAAAAAAATCAGAACATGTAGGTGAAATCAGTGTGAAGAGGTTGATGCAGGAAAGTGGAGAGGAAGAAAAATGTTGTATTACTGAAGTTATATCTTGGATCTAGTCCATTTAGGGTTTAAAAAACCCCCAAAACCCAGAGGTATGGGGGGGTATTTTGCATTCTCGTCTTACCTCCTGCCTCTCATTGCATTTTTGGATTGTGGGGGCTGATAGGACATCCATGGCCTGGCCCCTCCTCCTCTGGTCCCAGAAGGAGTGGAAGGAGCTGAGCCTCGTGGGTTAGGGCAGCTCTGGTTCAGCCACGGCTCTGCCCCCCCCCCCGCCCCCCGCGGAGGCTGAGACAGTTGGAGCGGGTGGGGGCCAGAGTGAAGCTGAGGGCTTCCATCAGTGGTGCCTTGTACGTCTGTGCTCGGAGCCACTGACGCATCTTTACCTCTGAGCAGTCCGCTCAGCCACGGACGTGACCAGACGGACACTGGTACGGCGTGGATAGTGCTCGTTTTCATAGCCAGCCCGCTTGTGCTTGAGTAGTGTTGCTGCAAATAACTAACAGAAAGAGAAAACACAGGTGGCCAGATATCCCCACTTGTACACGTTTTCCTGCATCTTAATGAAGCCGTCTGCCTCAGAGTGCTTTTGACCTTTTGATAAATACGTATGTTTAATGCAAGCAACATTAAAATTCAATATTATAAAATCAACTCAGTATTAAAATTCAATTTAGTGAGTATTGGAGTGCCTACTGTCCTATAGAAACCACCTGGTATTTGGATGCAGTGGTGGACGAGATAGAAGGCTTGTCTGAGTGAAATTTACAGCCCAGTGGAATAAGGGGTGCAAAATAACTACAGTGTGGTAAGGTGCGGTGCTTTGGGAGTTTATAACTTTAGGGATTTAAGTTCTTGGAGAGCATGGGAATAGTAGATTTCAGATTTCTCTATGGAAGGGCCACTTAAGGCCAGTTGAGAAGGATGAATCAGGCAGGTGGAGGCTCAGCAAGCATGGCCCATGGGAGAACAGGGAAAGCCCCGCGTGGCCACGCTGGGGCGTGAAGAGGCGGCGGAGGAAACTGAGGCCACTTGGGTGGGCGAGGATCGGGTGTCCAACCAGGTTTGGAGTGCGGGCCTCTTATCTCAAGGGCAGCAGACGCCAGAGAAGTGTTCCCAGCAAATGTAAAGAGGGTAACTATTTATTTAAAAGAGAAGCATGAGATTTAGTAGGAGTCCAGAAATACAAGGAATTTTACTGATAAACATAGCATATTTAAAGAACTCTTGTTTATTAAAATATCAATTTATAAAATTGTTAGGAAACGCAAGGAGGGAACTAATGCTGGTTGAAGGTAACTGTGTACACAATAGTAAGTTGATTTAATACTAATGCCCCATAAAGGGATTGTAACTGTTCCCTTTATAGAGAAGGGGAAACAAAGCCTCGGAGAGATCTCACACAGACCGGGACACAGAGCAACCAGCAGCCGGGTTCTCAATCTCACGCGCTTTCCAGCACACCTCGTAACGATCTAATTTTTCTGTGAAGGGTTTTCCTTGGAAACTAGCCTGAAATAACAAAAATAATAGCTACAAAAAACATGAGGAATATTTAAACTCAGTTACATAAAAAGTTTCTGATCAGTAAGTATCATAAAGTTATTCAGATGGACAAAACATTGGCAATGCAACCCAGAATTTTTATTTTGTGAGAAAATGCAGACTAGCGCTTCAGGAAGCCGCAGGTGAAGCGCTGCCGCGGCCCAGACTGAATGTTATTACTGGGTTGTGGGTTGGCGGTTGGCGGTTGGTGGTGGGCAAGCTGGTGCCCTTTTTACCACGCTCATCTCCTCATAGATTTTTGTGGGTTTTCTGGTACAAAGTTTGCTTCATAAAGCAGTGGGTAGAACTTCCTAGGATACACATGCAGAGTGGGCTGTGCAGGCTGGCTTCGCACACTTACACAACAGCTTTCTTAGGAGTTCGGGTGTTAGAGCTCTAATTTATAAATGTGTATCTCTGCAGTTCTCCCTAAAAACTGCATTCTGAAATCCGTATATTGCTTCATTCTAATGCTGTTCATTTCTGAAAGGTGAAGACAGTAGGGTTATTTATTGGTGTTATTATTCTTTATCAGTAATACTTTCTATCATGTTTAAGCGCTATCAAGTTATATATATAATTAGAAATATTAATATGTATTATAAAGAGTTGTGAACTTTCATCCTTTAATAGGGTGTTCTCTGTACTAGAGTTTTACATTTTAGGTCGTGTTTGATCTTGTTTTTGCAGTAGATTTATCAAAAGAGTAATGTAGTATATTTTTCCCTTCATTTCTGCCTTGCTCAGGGGTGAGCATATTCTTGCTTCTTTGGTAAGGAATATAATCAATTTACCTTGTTCCTTGTCTTAACTTTTAAATAAGATTTTGTTAACCACTAAACACACACAAGAAAAAACCAACCCTTTAACCTGGATAACTAATTAGAATTCCTTGCCTTATTTATTAATGAGTTTAGTAATTACATATTTTCCTGCTATTAAAAAAAAAAATACCAGTGAAACTTGTTTCTAATGCTTTGAAAAAGCTACAAACTTGAAAGGATTTTTTTAAATGTTGGCAAATCCGAATAAAACTTATCTCTTTTCTTTAAATGTGAAGTATGTTGGATATGCTGAAGCTAGAAGGAAAGAGGATGCACGGCCTTCACAAACTCGGGATCAACAGAGAAGATATTAGCAAATTTTTAAAATTAAGTTCACACGTCAGGGACAATAACTATGTATTAGACATTAGGCATTCTTCAATAATGGTAAGTGCTCATGTAATTCCTTGTTTCCAAACCTTTAGTAGATTTAAGACTTAATATAAAACCACATAGTGTCAGGCTGTAGAATAAATTTAAGCAATTTGAAAGAGGTTGTATAGCGGCACTCAGAAGAAAAAGCAGTTATTGATTTGTCCCCTCCCACTCTTACATCTTCTTTCCCCTCCTCGTAGTCCCTGCATTCCCTCAGAAGAACACCTGCTCAGCCAGTTCGGTATCCTTTCCAATGTTAATGGTAAAAACAAAACCAAGGACAACGAAATTACCACATGAGCAATAGCATCGACAAAACAACAGCTAAAATCTGAGGCCTGTAAGATTGCCACCTTAATGGAACGAGAATCTTGCGTAGACCACTGTCAGCACCCTCCTAAGTTCCGGTCCGTGGGATGCGGCCTGAGGGAAGGTTTTGAAATCAGGTCCCATCACTCTTTCTCACTTAAAGCCCAGATACCTTCCATGGCCCGTGAGGCTGTGAATGGTCTACTCCTTCTCATTTCTTAGACTATGAAATGTTCTTGTCACCGCGCTCCCTTATTTTCATGCTTGGAAAGCAAATTTTCCTCCCTCTATCCAATCAACTCTTTCTTTGTCAGACTTCAACTCCAAGCAGTACTTCCTGAGAGGAGCTTACCGTAACTATCCTAGATGACTCTTTAATACACACATTGTGTCAAGGAGTCCTGAGGAGCACCATCAAGTTTGGTGCATTGCTAAAAGGATTCAAAAAGCCTAGAAATTCTTACACTCATGGCTATGATTTATTAGAGCAAAAGAATACAAAGTACTATCAGCAGAGGGGGAGAGGGCATGGGGCAGAGTCGAGAGAAAACCAGGTGCAAGCTTCCCAGAATCTGCTCCTAGTGACGTTGTACAGAACATGCTTAATTCAATGTATGACACTGCATGCAAAGTGCTACCTGCCCAGGAAGTTTGCTTGAGCCTGGGAGTCCAGGGTTTTGAAAAGGAGTATATCCTGTAGGCTGTATGTTTATTCCTGGTCCCTGAGGCTCCAGAAACGCCAAGGAAAAGCAGGTGTTTCTCATAAATCATATCCTTGGTATTAACACTTTATGCAGACTGCCGCAGCGTGCAGCAAGGCCCTAAGCGTGCAGAAAACTGGTCAGTCAGGGCCTTCTGGAGCTCAGTCCCAGGAGCCAACGTAGAGAACCTTTATCACAAAAACAGGCGCCTTGGGAATATGCAAGGTGTGAGCCACCCAGGCCTGCAGAATCTTGTCTCTCATACTCACACATGCACGCTGCACACACGTGCTCAAACTCAGGTGTATATGTATGTAATTATTGCATTATAGAACTACAATCTGTATATTTATCATAGTTATAATTTTTCACTTATCCTGTGGCTCTTTGATGTCTGTCTTTTTCTAGACTGTATAAACTTCTCGCAGGTAGGAATTTTGTCCATTTTTTTTCTCATCAATATCCCCTGATTTTAGTAGGCAATAAATACAAATACTCATATTCCTTGAATGGCTACATAAATATTTGTCTCACACCAATATAAAAACATAATTTTTAATGAAACTCTGGGAACATTCTAATTACAACATAATATAAGAATGTTCATATCACCATTATGATTTAATGTTATAAAAATAACTATAAGAAATCAGAAAATAAAAATATTGTATAACATTGAGGTTATGTGATGAAAAACCCCCAAGGAAAGCTATTATAATTAATGAGACTTTAATAAAAATGGGTTTGAAGTGACAGTAAGCAGATCAAAAGCTTTTTTTTTTTTTTTTTTTGCCAAAAACCATTTGGAAGACAATGATTTATAATATAAAATTTTAAATTCCTAATACTATCTTAGTAACTACTATGTAATAAAATAACCTTAATAACTAATAATAACTGTAACTTAACTAAGGAACTGGGGAGGCAGGGTTAAAAGGAGACATGGAAAGAGCGGCAACTGATACAGCCTTGGAAGAATCAGGGCTGCAGCATCTTACAATGTTCGTGCACTTGGAACTGGAAACTGTCATAAGGAAATGGCAGGAAATGGGGAAAGGCCTTTATGCCCAAAGATATGAGCACCACTTACAATTTTAAAACAATAGAAACAGGTTATGTATCAAACAGAAATGTTGTAAATTGTATATCCACACTACTGAGTATTATTATTCAGACGTTAAAATTGTTTTCAAATATGTTTTAATACTCAGGGACCATGACTGTGTTCTCATGTTAAGTAAAAAATACGGACATATGAGGTCATCATGTGGAAAGGCAAACACAGGATAAGAAACAAATACGTCAAAATGTTATTAATGGATGATGTGATTTATTGCAGAGTTTTGGATTTTTTTCATAATTTTCTGTAAATTGCACAGTTTTAGCTATGGTTATGTATTATACAGGGGTGGGCAAAAGTCAGTTTACAATTATAATACAGATAATACAATAATAAATAATAGAAAAAATAAACTTTGCTTTATGTACTTAAGACTATAAACCTACCTTCACCCACACCTGTATGATCAGGACAAAAAGGTTTTGAGAGGAAATAAACCTCTCGATGTCTTGCTAATTATTTGATACTATTTGATATAAAAATCTAGGGTCTTTGCTCTGAAGTATCTCAGTTACTACAGTTATTTTTGTCCTCCCTGAACCGCCTCCCTTCTTATAAATTTAGTCCACCGTCTGTGAGTCAAGGAGTGACAGCTGCACCGTGAACCTCAAAGTCTCCAGACCGGGGGAAAATCACCCAAGTTATTAATTAGTTACCACTCGTATTTTCTAGAACACTAAGTGACTTGTCAGTGTTTATTGTAGCTGTTTTTATTACTCTCCAGACCATATTCTTTCATTGGCTAGTGTCCTTTTATTTGGATATCTTGAACCTTGATAATAGATGTATTTTTAAAAAATATTGTATCAGAAAAAGGAATGACCATGTTGGTAACCCTACTACTTTATGCCTTTTATTTTAAGCATTTACACTTTTTGCCATTTGTAGAAGGATGCTGGGAGTGTGAGTCCCACTGAGAAAATTAGGGACGTAATTTTCAAGCCTATTCTGGACATAAGAAATCGGCCAATAAGGAAGCGGTACAGCTCCATTTGCAGAATAACGCCCTGGGACACTCGGCAGGCGGAGGACACCGCCCCCCGCCCGCCCCGTGGGCGCGGCCCTGGCTCCTGCCGCTCTCCCGGGCTCCCACGTTCTGCTCTGGGCCGCCCAGCCTCCCGCACGCTCCCCCAGCTCTGGGCCACCCGCGGCAGGCATCCTTTTCTAAGGAACTTCCAGCGGAAAGAGTCACAAAGTAATTTTTTACTGAAGTAAAAGATAAACATAAGATAGGCTCTTTTAGTCATTTTAAGTATGGAATTCAGTGCCATTAAGTACACACAGTGTTGTACTACAATCACCATTATCTGTTTCCAGAACTTTGACTTCACTCTCTATACCCATTAACCCATTATTACTTCAAACTCTATACCCATTAAACAATTCGCATTCCCTTCTCCAGTAATCCCTATGTTCTGCCTCTATGATTATGCCTATTCTAAGTACTTCATGTAAGTGGAATCATACGTGTTTGTTTTTGTTTTTGTTTTTTTTGTCCATTTGTGCCTGGCTTATTTCATAATCAGTGTTTTCAAGGTACATCCATGCTGTGGCATGTTTCTGAAGTTCATTTCTTTTTAGGGCTGAATAATAGTTTAATTTTTAAAATAGCCCTTTTTTGCATGCTGTTAATGGAAGTTTTATGTCTCAAATGCTTTCATTTTTTTTTACTTGGAAAGTTCCTGCTTTCAGTAAAAATATTTCTGAGGCTTTATTTTTTAGATACTTTTAAAAAAATTAACTGGCACAAAATGCAGAGAGCTCTCAGGTCTCAGCACCCTCTTCAACTTGGCCTGTTAGAGCAGCAAAGATAACTAACGCAAGCTTTGGTTTTTTTGCTTCATAGCATTTTCTACCACCCAATGAGATATGTATTTATTTATTTGTTTATTTTATAATCTTCCAGTGGAATGTCAGCTCCACAAAACCCTACAAACATCAGGTCCTGTCACATAGGAAGCACTCAGAAAACTTGTAGAGTATCTTAATGTCAAAACAGTTATTCGTGAATGAAAGCAACACACTGCTTTTAATTCTTTCTTCCCCCTGGACCTTTCTTACCGTATCTTGACAGAGAATGTTGGGTCACTGAGCCACATCACTGTGGACCCCTGTGTTTACACCCTCACCGACAACAAACCTTGGCAACTTATTTCCTAAAATTTGCTGAGTGACAGTCGAGTACGAACTCAAGACGTCACTGGGTTTTCTTCCATCCCAGGCTTCTCTGTCCAAAACAGCAGGAGTCGCGGTTGAGGTTTTATCTAGTTGAGTTGTTGGTTCCCACCCGTGCTCCAGTACTTCAGTACTTCAGGTGTCACTAGCATTGTGCTAAAAGTCAACAAAATCAACCACAGGGTTCAATGCTTGGCTCCATTGGATTGTACCATATGTTGCCATGTATAATGCACACTTTTTTGCCCAAATTTTTGAGGGAAAAATAAGGATGTGCATTATACATGGGTAGTACTAATTTGTTACTGGTACATAACAAATGTACCTGTTCTGTTCTTGTGTGTTGTAATTATTACATAAAATTTCTTGTACCATAATGTGTTCAAAAGTAAATGCTAAAATTCCTTTATAATATAAAAAAACAAGTATCTAAATGAATCATTGAATTAAAATGAAAGATTTTTTTTACCTGAAAGTTTGAGCCCAAAACGTGAGTGTGCATTATACACAGCAAATGATACGGTAATTTCTTTCCTGTCTCCTGTGCCAGACCACCCACAGTGAAGGGGGCTTTGAGAACTTGCCCCAGAACTAACCCCCTCCCCAGTTGCAGCTTTTTTCTGTCCCGTTATGTTGATAACTTAGCGACATTCCTGGAGTGCTTATGGTCATTTTCTTTCACTTCTTCTTTAATGTCCCCAAGTCATCCTAGCCATTTGTCATTATATCAGAACAACCCTAATTTGTTGTTACCATCACCAAGATGACAGCGATAGAGTGTTTTAAAAAGTACCCGTAGACGCAGGCAGGGGACAGGGGTTCTCCGTCCAGGCACAGACTGTCGCTTGCCCTCCCCCACGGGCCCAGAGTCTTTATGAAGGCAGCTGTCCCTGTGCGTCCCATAGTGATGGCGTCCGCCAGTCAATCAGAGACACGCGGGCCTCTGGACTCCATTTGATTCCTTTCATCCACACCTTATCCTCAGGCCAGCACCACGCTGGTCCCTATAGCTTTGTAGTTTCAAAATTGGGAGTGTGAGACCTTCAACTTTGTTCTCCTTTCTCAAGATCACCTTGGCAACCCTGTGACCCTGGCCTTTCCCAGTTGACCGTGGCCGTGGTTTTCAACCTTTTCATCTCATGGCGCACACCAGCGAATCACTAACGTCCTGTGGTGCGCCCAAAGCTATTGTATATTTAAGAAATAGGTATAATTTTGATTGATTTACAAAAATAATCTTAAGACTAGTAATTTTTATGCTTTTTGCTCCTAAGTGACTTTTTTAAAAAAAATCAAGGTGCCTATACTTGTATATAAGGTTTTCTGGTACGAAGAATTAACCAATCAGACACAACCAATTATGTGATGGGACCAGTAAGACGCAACTCTATTACACACGCACCTGTTCTATCAATTATGTGATGTGACCAAAAGATGCAACACTATTATCTAAATATATGACCATATATTTAGGGTTTGAGACAGGGCATTCACAGTGGGTGGCTGTCGGCGGGTTGGCTGTTGTCATTTGCCGTTTTTTTATTTGACAGTCTAAGGGAAAAGAGGTCAATGCCCCTGACTAAACAGTCCGGTATTTCATGTTTTAAAAATTCTTGGGGCACAGCAGTTGAAAAATCACTGGATTTTAAGATCAGCTTGTCTTTCTGCAAAAAAAAGGAAGTTGAAATTTTTACTGATTTTTGTGAATTTGTAGGTCTATTTAAGGAGTATTGCTATTAAAAATGTTAAGTCTTGTGATTCGTGAACGTGGGATGCTTTTCTGTTTATTTGAGCCTTTCATTTTTTTTCCAAAGATGTTTTGTAGCTTTCAGTGTACAGGTCTCACACTTGCTAAATTTATTGGAGGTACTTTACCCTTCTTGGTGTTACTGTAAATTGAATTGAATTGTTATGTTTATTGCAGAATTTTTTATCCCTCTTAATTTTTTTGTCGTTGTTGAAAACTGGGCATTTTTAATATTACAGTGTGGCACTTCTGGAAGTCAGCGAGGGTTTGTTGTTGTTACTGTTTGCTATTGTCTGTGTTATTTGTTCGGTGGCTTCTCGGAACTAAGTTTGAAAAGTCTATATTCTTTTTTATGTGGGGCCACAGAAGTCTCTGTTATGTTAGCCTTGTCACCTATGAAGTATTGGACGGAGACGTCTCCCAGCCTTTGCAGAGGGGCCCTGGGGGTTGGGGGCAGACGGAGGGTGGGGGAGCAGCAGCCTGCATAGGACACCAGCCAGGCAGGGCACCTCTGCCTGAGCCACCACTTCTTACCTTCCCAGAGCCTCCAGGTCAGCCAGAGGGGGAGCTCAGGGCCTCTTCAGGTCTGTCCTGAGCACGTGCATTTCCCTGGGCAGGTGCATGGCCTTGTAGGTTCCCAGGACTCTGTCACAACTTCTCAAAACCCTATTTCCCACAACGTCTCGCCGCCCAGGCATTCCTTTCTAGGCTTTTGATCATGCTGTCATTTTGTCCCAGATGATTTTCATTGCCCCACGCAGGAATGAGTATAACTTTTGCCTCCAAATTCCACAAGCCAGGGTAGCGATTTTAGCACTAGGCGAGCTATGACTTAGGCAGGATAAAGACAAGGCTTTTCAGCAGGCTGTCAGTCAGTTCAAACGAAAAGTCACGGTTCTGTCAGAAGGAGGTCTGTCCTGCTCCCTCCCATATGGGCACTGGAGCGTGAGCTGCCCTTTCTAAAGCCTGGGGAGAGCAGGGGGCCAGGGTCCGCTGTAACTGCAGAGCTCACTGTTCTGAGGGTCCGCCAGTCTCCCTGAATACGCTTTCACAGGGTTGCTGCGCGCTTCCGACTCGTTTTCATAGTTCTTAGTATTGAGTCCCACAAATTTTCCAGTTTTTCATTATTCTTATGATAATGAAAAACTGGAAAATTTTTAAGGGTGGAGTTTTGGACTTTCTTAGCCATTTTAGCTGATGTGACTCCCTAAAGAAACCCCAAAAGATGTGGATTATGAACCTTTTTAGTTCTTTGCTTCTCTCAGAAAAGGTCATCCTGTAACACCGTGACCCATCTTGTGTTCGTCTGTTGACCAGCATAGGCCTCCTTGAACACCAAGAAGATTGTCTCAGAGGTTCTGATCTATCAATGCCAATATCTTTCATTCATTATCTTGGTAGCCCAGTAGATACAAAGACAAGGTCATTAAATATCAGTGCCTATTCTGTATGTGGCTTGGTGTGGCCACTCTTCCAGTTATTGTTGCTGCCTCTGGATATTTGCTTGAGATTAAAGAAAAGGGCACTTGAGTCTCTCTGGGCCTATTCAGTGACTTCCAGTGTCTTTCAGTAGTTCTCCAAAACGGATCAGGAAAGCACCTCAATTACTTAACCTAATCACCGTGCTATAAATTAGGCCATTGCTATAGTTTTCTAACTTTAGTGCTTGTGATAGAAATCAGCCGGGACACTGGCTTTCAGTGGGAATTCGCAGGGCCTGTCCTGAGTTTCTTGCTGGCAGGTCTGAGGTGCAGCCAAGGAGCGTGCATTTTAAATAAACACCTCCGGCTGTTGTGATCCACATTAACTGTGTCTACCTACAATCATCATCACGTTCATTGGGACTGAACATGAAGCATAAGGCCATTTTCTCACTTAAAATAAGAAATGTAACTGATCACCAGGGGAAACAGGTATTTACATTCCCTATGTGGCGCCTTCTCCTCTAGCCTAGGATTCCCATAGAAGAACAAGTTAACCAAACTAAACACTGCTGACTGATTCTATCGAGATATCTGATTCACAGGGGATTCCTAGCCAAATGTTGCGATGATCTTTAGAAGTGTCCCCAGCCCTGGCTGGTGTAGCTCCGTAGGTGAACATTGTACCACAAAGCGAGAGGTTGCGGGTTGTGGGCCAGGTCCCCAGTTGGGAGGCATGATCAGTTTCTCTCTCACATCGATGTTTCTCTTTCTCCCTCCCTTCCTCTCTCTCTGAAAATAGATAAAATATTTTTTTAAAAAAAGAACTGTTTGTATTACCTTCACATCTTGACAAGAATTACATCAGAAAAAATAAACAAGATACCCTATCCTGACTTTTCCAGGGTGGCCGAAGTTCCGCCTTCTATCTCAGTGCCACCAGGACTAATTATAGTGGAAACAAACTAATCCCAGATCTCCATCACACTTGGTAACCACTGAAATGGGATTTGTTGCCACTATCCACTGTTTTTCCTCCTCAGGTATCATGTAGACACCCTAAGTATGTCTCGAACTGAGTCAACGCCCTCTCCACTTTCTTGTCCTCATGCCTGGAAAAATCTCTCAGAGTCTACTCTCTGTTGATAGGGTGTGTTCCTTTTTAAAAGCTGTGAATTACCCTCTATTCCTCCCTCTCATTTCTCTTAGCGCATCTTCCCCCTAAACCGCTGCCTCTTAGTTAAGCCCTCAAACACTCGTGTCTAGGTAACTCCTAAAGCCTCCTGTTTTCTTCAAGTTTTGCTTTGTTCCATTCTTTCCCTTCTCTCGGACTTTTAGCTGTGTGTATACGTGACCTTTGGCCTGTGTTGCTCATCTCTCTTACACTTTGTTTTGAGTTTACATTATTTTTTTTTCCTGTGTACTTAGTATATATTCTACAACTTTTAAAAGGCATTTAATTTTCTTATGTCCAAGACTTTAAGACGATGAGAGGGGAAGTAGAGGACCTTGTTGACTCCTATATTGCTGATAAGATAAATATTTATCTCTCTTCAGTGGTTTATGGAGAGAAATTTTTATACAATTTTATTTTTAATATAAAAAACAAACATACAAGTAAAATGGAGCCAGTGTTTTGGGGGGAAGGCTTCATGCAAAAGGCCATGGTAATTCAAAACTGGCGTATGGTGTGTTCTTTAATTGAAGACGATTCAGCCGACTTCCTATATTTAATCAGTCTAATATAGAAAATTCTGTGTGCATTTCCACTTGTCCTTTGGTAGAATGGAATCTGCCTTTGGAAATGATTTGAGCATTAATGTAGCTTTAACAAGTTTCTGTATTCTTTTCTAGTGGATTAATGACTTAGAAAATGATGGCTTGTACGCTGCATGGCCTGCAAGTTACCAGGAACTTGTGAAACCAGTATTCTCTGGAAAAATACCTTCCATAAGGCGGAATCTTCATAATTTGGTGAGTTTCATGTTTTCATATTTTGACATTTTGCATCCATTTTTAATAAAGATATCAGCATTCCTTTTGGATTACCCTTTCTCTTGGTAAATAGGCATCTGAGTCATAAGGAAATATTTGCCCAATGCAACAAGCTTGGATGGCATGGTCAAATAGGTAGCAAAACCCAGCAATGTCCCATGATCTGCTTCTTGTTACGTAGCCTTCATGTACTTTAATAATACCAGTATTAAGCTGATGGGCTACTTTTACATTTTCTTTCTTCGATATTATAAAAAACTAATGATAAAGATTTCATACATTTCATGGAAAATACATGAATACCATTTTATCATCTTACTATATAAATTCATTAGTACAGCATAAACAACCTTATAGATCTTTAAATTATGGAAAAACACCTAGGGCTTTTTTTCCCCACCGTGGAAAGTAAATATCTTATTTCCTGCATCAACCTAGAATGATCAGTTTACATTAATGCTTTTTTTTGGGGTGGGGGGAGTCAAAATTCTATTACTATTTCCTTTTTTAAAAAACTTACCACAGAAAATCCAATGAACATTTAGAACAAGATATTTCACTTTTGTAAAAAATAATTATGGTGTGCTTCAAAAAGAAAATGAGTAATGTTATTAAATTCTGTATGTTGTTGTATTTGGATGTGCAGCTTTTAGAAATCCTTCATTAACATCATTCAGCAAAACTAACAGACCGAGGCGCAGTATTGCCATGTGTTGCTTGTCTTCAAAACTCTGGAGACTTGCTAGAAATTTTTTTATAAACCTTGAGTTTTATACTTTTAGCTATAGAAATTAGACTAAACTTGAATGTCATAAGAACTCTAAAGTGTTAAAACAAAATAATGATTACAGACTATCTACTTTCTTTTAGGTTCTGTTTATTGATCCTGCTCAAGAATATACCTTGGATTTTATAAAACTTGCCGAACTTTTATATTATCATAAAATTCCTGTCAGGTATGGTAATTGTTAATTTATAACAAACTGTCAACTGAAGGAAATCCAGTGATGTTCATGTTGTATTACTGAGTATTAATGCGGTATTCAAAGCAATAGTTTCTCTCTGGTGCCTGATACAACATAGCTGTGTGTTTTGAAGTCTCATGTAGCATTATAGACTCTGTTAATCAAAGTTGCTTCATAATCTTGTTAAAACTCTAGCTTCCGGAGAGAATAATCTGATCACTTTGGGAACTTAGAGATGGATCCATTTCCCTGGGGTTGTGTTAAGAGTGCACTTGTCTCTTCCCCCCACAAAAACAGTCATTTGATACTGTCACCACCAGAGAGGGTACATTTTGGAGGAATTTAGCAGAGATGGAGATTTTGGTGAATACGCATTACAAATCAAACCTTTTTAAAAAATGACATTTCCCTTTCCTCATTTACTAACACATTCTCTCCATTTAGATGTTGTAGTCTAATGATGTTTTAAAATCATGGTTTATTGTGGTTCAAGAAGTAATAGTGACACTCCTTATTCGCCTTCTTTCTCCAGAATTGGCTTTGTGTTCATTGTCAATACAGATGATGAAATGGATGGGACAGGCGATGCTGGGGTTGCCCTTTGGCGGGCTTTCAACTACGTTGCAGAGGAGCACGACGTGTCCCAAGCGTTTGTTTCCATTGCTCACGTGAGTTTCCATGCCCGGCATGGCTTAGAATATACAGTGGGTTTCCTGCGTTACTAGAATTATCATTATAACATTAATGTGTCAAAGTTTATAAAAATGATGATGGGGATTAATACAGATGACGGATTCGATTCTTGAAACTCCCAACTGGGGGGCATACTGTTATCCCCAATTTAAAAATTATGCCTCTGGGGCTCTACCAAAATATATGAACTCACTTAGGTTTACCAGCCAATAAAGGAATTTAAGTTGTATATATTAGTTTAGAGAAAATGATGAGTCGGGGAAGAAATCTTGAACAAAGCTTGAGTAAAACCATGAATAGAAAAAAGTAAAATATTCTCAATGATAAAATATAAAGATGTTTTCTAGAGAATTTCTAAGAAGGAGGAGATCACTTTATGACAGTAAGTTGGTATGGAAATGGTAATTTTGAAACTGAGTCTGACAAAGAAATTGTGGAGAAAAAGAGCCTGATTAAGGAAGAAGAGACAGGAAGATTACTTCATAGTTGAGGTTTTGAAACAATTATAACCCATCATGAAAAAATATAAATGTATTTAAAAATTATTAAGAAAGTCAGGTTATAGCTTAAAAAAATAACTTCTGTTCATTTTTAAATTCATTGGTCTTTAGTCAGTGTCAATGGTTTTTGTAAACAGGATTGGTTCCTCTCCAAACCAAGAAGGAAATTACCAAAGCACTGTCGGTTTTCTTCCCTCTTTCTGTAGCTCCCTGAAAAACTACTCCCTCCCTCGCTAATTCATGATCCTGCGGTACAGAAACTACCTACACTGCAGTGACCTGGGATATACTTTGTTCTGTAATACGATCCCGCCTGTGGGTGTGTATACAAAGGATACAAATTCAGTATCTCAAAGAGATTAGTACACTCCTGTTCATTGCAGCATTATTTACAATAGCCAATGTATGGAAACCACCTTAGTGTCCATCAGCAGATGAATGCATTTAGAAAGTGTACACACACACACACACCCACACACCGCCCCCCCAAGGATATTATTCAGCTTTAAGGAAATCCTACCATTTGCAACAACATGGGTGAACCCGAGAACATTATGCCAAGTGAAATGTATGACAAATTTAACGATAAATACTGTATAATATCACTTACCTGTGCAATCTAAAAAAGCCGAACTCATGGAAATAGAGTAGAAAAGTGGTTGCCAAAGGATAAGAGATGTTGGTCAAAAGGTACCAACTTGTCAGTTATGAGGTGTACGCTCTGCAGATCTGATGGGCAGCACGGTGCCCAGGGTGATAACACTGTATTACACGTTCGAAGTGTACGAAGAGGAGGGTCTAAGTGTTCTTACCGAAAAAGAAAGACGAGTAAGCCGACGGCTGTGTTAGTCAACTTGATGTTGAGAGTCCTTTCACAGGATTTTATCAAATCATCATGTTGCACACTTTAAATATAGTACTATGTTATCTGTCTGTTATACTCAGTAAAACTAAAATAAAAATTCAGATAAAATAGAAAAATAAATATAATTTATAGGGAGGAGTAAAGACCTATAATTGCTGTGTATCTGTAGGGGAAGAATAAAGCCCTGTGTCTGGCCATACCAGATAATAAGGTCTGTAAAGTTATAGTAAGACAGTGCGGGGGTATTGGTTCAAGGGGAAGATACAGAGACCGAAGTCAGAAACACATGGGGCCTCCAAAACTGAGCAGTACAGAGTGGGGTTACAGTGAGTCAGAATGGACTTCCGGCAGCCGGTGGCGGGACAATCGGCTATAACGATGCAGACGTAAGATCTCACATCTTTCATAAAAATCATTTCAATTAGCTTAAAAGTTTAGTGTGAAAAACAAAGCATTAAAACTTTTAGAAAAAAATTAGGACCCAAAGGAAGGCAAGAGTTTTCCTGGATAGACGTAAAAAGTCATGAGTCTGAAGGAAAATATTAATAAATTTAGCTATATGCAAGTGAAAACCAATGACCATTAAAAGATATAATAAGGAAGTTAGAGGAAATAAGTTCCAAGCAAAAGAAGTATTTTGCAATACATATAATCAATAAAAGATATATATCTCATGATATAAAGATTTCCTACAAGTCAAAAAGAAGAAAACCCCAGAGAAGAAATGCATAAAAGAGATTTTTTAAAATACAAGAGGATACATTAATGGTAAATTAAAATTTATTGAAATTGAAGAGGTAAGTAAATATTTACTGCAACTACTGGGAAGCAAGCAAGACAGTCATTTCAGAAGTAAGAAAAATGAAAGGAAGACTTCCCTGCGATGCTATTTTATACCCTGCAGTTTGGCAGCGGTTAGGGAAGCTGGCGATTCGCACTGAGCGCAGAGAGCAGCAGGGATGCCTTTGCCCTGCTGTGCTGCCTGAAAGGTCTGCTTGGCGCAGCCGTGCTGAAAACCATCTGGGAGCACTTCAGAATTTGAAGTTAAATTTGCATACTCTTTACACACTCCGCCCCCTGCCAAGGGAAGCTCTTGTACCTGTGCCATGCAAGGCTAACATTAGCAGAATCCACAAAACAACACGCAGGGTAGTGTGTGTGCACACGTGCATACAGGCATATCTCAGCAGTAAAACAGATGGGTCAAGTTTGGTTTGTTCACGGAATGGAAAATGATATGCAACAGCACGTCTGTGTAAGCATAATGACATGGAAGGCTAACATATTACCATAAACTTTAAAGTTCAAAAACAAACAAAGCTAAATATTATAGTGAATGGGAATGCATCCAGGTTAAAACTCTGATACTTAAAAAGGAAGGGAGAGGGAAACACACTCGATGATGCTCTCACATCGGGGAGCAGGGGGAGGTGGGGCGGCGAGGGGAGATGTGCTGGACCAGGTGTCCTGCATCCCGCAGGCTGTTCACGGGGATTCTCCGTTTTATTATTTATGCCTCGTTCTGTCCGTTCACTTTTGCTTACCAGGTGACCTAACAGTTGTTAACATTTTAAAAATATAAAAAGATTGAATTTTTATGTATCTAAGTAGCTTATGCAAGACATTCTGGCTACCTTAAGAATAATATATTAAAATAACTCATTAGTAAAATGACTAATCTCAAAGACTTTCCATATATAATTTTTGTTTCATTCAGTAATCTCATTTTAATGCCTAATTATGTTTTACTGCGAAGCCTGAACTTTTCACTTTTTTTTAGTTATTAGAATCTTATGTTCTGCTTTGACATGAGGAGTAAACACCCGTATATTGAGAAGCTCATAAAACTAAATTGTGATCTAATTACAAACTTGTGCTTCCTAAAGGAATAGGTTACAAAGTTAACAGTGATAAAAGGAAAACAAATAAGAATGCTAATTTCTCATTATGAGGAATAACATGGGGATTCTGTCAACCATAATGTAAGGATTCTCTCTCGCAATATTGATTTAAGTGAATTGGGACTAAAAAGAACATTCTTAATTGATTATATCAAAATGCTACCTAATGGTGTTTGTACTTACTAGTTTCTTCTGCTTGGAAGTTTCTTTCCCCAGAATGTCTTTTTATAAAAAATATTTATTGAATTTATTGAGGTGACATTGGTTAATGAAAGTATATAGGTTTCAAGTACAATTATACAATACTCGCACATCATCTGTGTGTTGTATTATGTATTTCCCCGAAGGTCTCAATGTCAGCTGAGATCTGCCTTCTCTCTTGATGCAAAGCTGCCCTTTGTCCCCATGCCTGGAACAGTGCCTGGGTCATAGTAGAGAGGATCTATAATGAAGGGAGGCATGAAACAGAAAAATAATAATAAAGGAGTAACAGCTTACATTACAGAAGTACATTTAGAATGTTTGAGGCTCGGGGGAGGATGGAGATTCAGAGAAAACCTAGTCATGGTATTTACTGAAGAAAATCAGAAACGAAAATGAAGTATTTCCGAAAGAGTCATTTAAATGCTTTATACATATCTTTTTAAATAAGGTAGCCTTTATTTTATCTTTAATCAGTGATTAAAATAGAATATAACCAATTTGTTATGCTATATTTGAAAGCTATAGAATTTCACAAAACCATTTTCATTAGAAGATGATATATTGTATAGTTAAAATGATTAACTTATCTATATGTGTGTGGGGGTGATGTATTCATATGTACAATGTAAAATATACTTAATTTATAAATTTACTTGCATGCTAAAGGAAAGAAAATAACTGATGATGTAAGATGAAAATCAATTATAATATCTTTATTTCCTCAGATGTACCAAAACGTGAACAATCAAAATATACTCACTGTGGACAATGTGAAGAGTGTTCTCCAAAATGAATTTCCTTATGCTAATATTTTGGATATTTTGGGAATTCATTCTAGATACGATGATAAAAGAAAGGTAATTTGGAATGCAAATTTTCAAAAATATGACCCAAGACCCTTTTATTATAATCTTATGAATAAATTATCTTAATATAATTTACTCATGATTTGGATTTTAGTCCCTCAAAAAGCAGGGAAATTTTAGACCCTTGAATGACACTGTTGTATACAGTATTTACATTCACACAATTGTCTTTTTGAAAAGTACAAAAAAAAGAGGTGATTCTCAGGACTTACAAGGTAGAAAGCTTGAGCATAGAATTTCCAAGGATGTAACTTGTACTTTCTTACGAAGAAATGGACAGCTGGCCTTTTAGATAAATGCTAGGACATGAATCCAACTTGGGAAAACGCAGCATCATTGGCGTTGTATTTCTAATGCTCGTGGATCCCAAGATTTCTACGTGGGTTCTTGTGTTTTACAAGTTTCTTTAAAAAAAGTCTGAACCTGACACTCTTGTATGTAATATCTCTCAATAGTAATGGTAAAACTCAGACTTATTAGCACTGTAAAGCTTTTTACCAAATTTGTCCCCTATTTATGATTCTCAAATCTCATTTCCTGTGGTTTTTCTTGCCTTTTGTGCTCCGACCACACTGGCATTATTTCAAGGTTTTGAATGGGTCACCTTGTTCCCATCAAAGGGACTTCACATACTTGTTTTTCTCCCTGTTTGTAGACGTTCCCTCCCTCTTATTCTACATTAGCTCTCGGCTTTAATACTACATTAGGGAAAAAGTAACACTTGTGGGGATAACTTCAGGGAGATGTTTTTAAACCCTTGAAATGAGATTAAGTTGCTCCATTACGTGCTAAAATACTCCTCCTCCTCCTCCTCCTGCGTAATGCTCCCCGTAATTAATTGCTCAGTACCTGACGTCTCACTACACGGTGAGCTCCATGGGAGCCAGAATCACATACCTCGTTGGATGCTGCCCGCCTGGGGGCCGGTGAGCGAACGTGGTGTGTGGTCGGCGAGCACCTGGTGAATGAGTTAATGAGGAGGCCGCCTGAGAGTGAGCGGGTTGTGTGATTGGAGTGGAGCTTCCAGAGGCCAATGACATTTTAGAAATTGCTGTTCTGGAGACAGAGAAGGGGATAGAGTAAAACCATATAAAGGAATTGCTATAATGCTTAAATTGCTTACCATAAATTTCAGGGGTATCAATCTCAGTTTTAAAGTAAGTCCAAAATAACCAAGAGTGTGAGTGAAGGAAGGTAATTGGGTAAAATGCTCTCAGGTTGAAGTTTCATAGATTGGGTATAACATTAGCATAAAAGGCCCAAAGAGTGGCCCACACGTCAAATCTGAGCAGGCTGCATAGCAAAGGAGATAAAGCCGGGAGCCCAAAGGACAGCCATCTCACTGCGATTGAAAAGCCCGTGTGGCCGCAACGACGGTTTGTTTTGTTTTTGTTATATAAGAGGAGTTTTCCAAATAGTTATTTCTGAAATGAGAAAGATTTCATTGATTTTTTTTCCCCCCATTACTATATTTTCATATGATTAAACAAACCTAAAAAGCAACCAACAGGAGCTTTCTTTTAGGGCCAAGTTATATAGAGGCATCTCTTTTAATGAAGTTATGGCATTAAGGAGAATTGAGAAAGAAAATTTTTTTTTTGTAAGTACTCTTCAATTATTCTGAATCATGGAGGGGAAGGAACAAAAGTTTTCTGTAACAACTGTGTAAGCCCATGGAACAGGAACACGTAACGTTTTATCCTAGGGATCTGTTTTGCACAGGATGCGAGCAGAAGGTCGCACCATTTGGGTTTTAATATCAGCGCATTTAGTGGTTCATTACAGGAGTCCTGGAAGTTACCCATACATGCACATTATGTTTTCATGTTTCTTTCTTTCTTTCTTTCTTTTTTTTAATAGACATGATTTCTTTACTCCGTGCTGCTAAGTGGTCTAGCTGGACGCTGGTGGCACAAATTCAATAAATGCTTATTAAATGAATACAGGGATAAATGAATCTCTGATCCTGGTGAATGATATTTTTCAGAAAGCATGTACCTAAGTCAAGGGTCAGCAAACTGCAGCCCTTGGGCCACACCTCGCCCTCCCTCTGCCTGTTTTCGGAGTTTCGGGGGAGTGTGGCCTTGCTCCCCTGCACACATGTTGTGTTTCTCCGCTTGTGCGCTAGAACGTCAGCACTGAGTAGCTGTGACACAAACCTCACAGCTCCCAAAACCTGAAATACATGTCATCTGACCCTGAGCAGAAAGGTCCCTGACTCTGGCTCCACTTAGATACATTATTTTCCTTTAAATAACATTTGGGAAGGATGGATATAATAGCAAAATTACCATTTTTTCCTCTGGCATATAAAAATGTCCAGTGTCCCTTCTTTTTCTTCGGTATTTCTTTTTCAGACAACCATATTCTGTTTAACTCTGACATTTTTTAACTGAATAGGCAGGAGCAAGCTTTTACAAGATGACCGGCCTGGGTCCTTTGCCTCAAGCTCTTTATAATGGTGAGCCCTTTAAACATGCGCAGCAGGATATTCAAGAACTAGAGGCAGCTCTTCTCCAAAAGATGATGGATATGACCATATATTTACAAAGGGAAGTTTTTATGGTAGGTAAGCCTGTGTGAGAAAATACATGATAAATGGTATTTATAAATGATTTTTTTGTATTAAGAAAACTTTTAATAGCAAAAGTTAATTTTGTAAAAATTTATATCCTAATCATTTTCAGTAGTGAATTTTTAAAGAGTTAATCTTTCTCTGCATAAGTACATCTAAAGTTGTTTAATTGGAAAGAAAACTCAAAGTATTAAATGAAAATTTATTATGAGAATCCTAAATTACATATTATTTATTGATTTATTTTAGATTAAGTAGTCTTTAAATAATTTCTGCATAACTTTAAAACATATGCAAATAAATCACCTATATTAACTAAATATTTTGTTATTTTAGGGCACATTAAATGATCGAACAAATGCAGTTGATTTCCTTATGGATAGGAATAATGTTGTATCCCGTATAAATCATTTGATTTTGTACACTGAATGGCAATACCTTAATTTAATATCTACCTCAGGTAAAATAATTCTCTCATATACTTTTCTACAAAGGCTTATTGAATTGTTGAATTTTAAATTAACTCATTATTTATTATTTAATATGAAAATTTTCAGTAACTGCAGATGTTGAAGATTTCTCTACTTTCTCTTTCTTGGATTCACAAGATAAGAGTGCTGTAATTGCAGAGAACATGTCTTATTTAACCCAAGAAGGTAAATAAGCGTATTTTATTTTCCTGAATTTGTTCCTAACATAGTAAAAACTTGTCATTTTAGTCAGGTGTTTGCCCAGTACATTTTTATGTGTTGCTATTTGATGGGAGACCCGGGTTGCCATTGAAGGGCTCGGAGTTCGTTAGGTTGCGAGGGCTGCGCTGAGGGAACAGCGCCCTCTGTGCTGACTAATTGTGAGTGCAGGGCTGGGGATTCGTCTTTCGGTTCCTTGCCTTTTTTTTTAAAGCAAGCTATACCATTGTCCCCTTTTCTGAAGGTGATAAAGCTCCTTCAAGGCTCTGAACACTGATACCTTATGATGCATGAATAAAAATGTAACTCCCAGATCTGGGGAGAATAGTTCTGAACTCTCATTAAACATGTGGATGCTTTGCTTAGGTTGGGGGTCACACCGAAGGAAGAGGACCTTTAAAACAGGAACATATCTGAAATGAGAGTTTAGCCTAGATTGGGAATTCTGAAGTGGGCCACAGACTTTTTTAGGATACAGTAATTTATTCAGCTAGATAAAGATAATTAGAGTTTGGTTTTTGGGTGTGCTTTGTTTCGTTTGTCCTGCTTAGCTGTAAGAAGAAAACAAGAGCCAATCTGTAAAAGGAGGCTGACTCAGTATATACAGCCGTACTGCTCAAACAGTGAGCGTGAGCTAAAGATGGGAGGCGCTGTGTGGGAAGGGGCACGTTCTCCCATCGGGGATGCCGCACGACCAGTTTTGGGGAATGCGGTGGCGTGAATCCGACTCTGGGCCGGATGGTCCCAGAATTACTTTCTCACCGAATCATGATTTTCTATTCAGAAAGTGATCTTTGTACACAAAGTCCAACAAATAATAAAATGTAAAAGAAAAGGTCCATTTTGGGGCAGGTTAAGGTCTTGAATATATAAAAGTGAAGGGATAAGGAGACAGAAATAGGGAATAAAAGACAGGATAAGCACTTATCAGATTCCAGGTTGTATTTCAGAAATTACTTGGGCATCAGAATAAATTAGTCTGTAATTAATAGCCTTTGGTAAGCCTCCTGCAGTTTAAAGGAATACTTTATTAACTGAGAAACACCTAAGTTTCTCTCATTTGCACTGTGTAAGTGTGGAAAGAAAGAAAAAATTGCAAGAAATTTACTTAGTACTTTTGAAATATTTTTCAGTTTACTACCTGTTATGGTAAAAGGGCTCACATTAAGAAGGCATCAGAACCCTTTAATCTTTGAGAAGAATGTGCTATTTGGTAGAGCAAATTTTTTATAATGGTTTTAAGTGAGTCATGTGATCTAAAAGAATGATTTTTCTATAGGTTTTAATGATGACCAGAGAAGTATTATTTCAGATGTTATATGCTAAGGCTGAACAAAATAAACGCATTTAACTGTGATGTCAGAATTAAAAATTGTTTCTTTCTGTGGCATCCAAATTTTCAAATTTTTCAGAAAAAGAATGGTACTGATGTCAATGGCATGAGATGACTTAGACCAAGTCAATAGAGGCATTTTTCATTAAATGAAACACAGCTAATAAAGTATCGCAGGTTTTAGTCTCTACTAATAAGCTTTATTGTATTTGGGTCAGATAGATGGGGGTATAAATATCAGTTTTTAAATTTTTTTTTTTTTTAACAAATGCAGCTAGAAGGCAGCTTTGCGTGCCAGCCCGGGAGCCGTGATAAGCGTAACTCCACGCTTATCCCCGCTCATGGGAGTAGCCCACACGCGCCTCCCTGAGGGGCTGTCCCCGCTGTTTGGGGTCTGACTTTGTATAGAGCTTCTCTCAGGGATTTCGTTTCTGGCGTTTTTATTAGTATGTCACTGTGTGTGTATTTTTAATAACATTTGCTTATTTTCAGAAAGATTATTTTTTTTTATATTTTGTTAACTGGATATGTCCTCTGTTTTGAGTGTGATTTTAAAAAGAATTAGTTTAATTAAGCGATCTGAAACTTTCAGATGACGGTGTAATTTCTGCAGTTACTCTCTGGATTGTGGCTGATTTTGACAGACCATCTGGGAGAAAACTGCTTTCGAATGCATTAAAGCACATGGTGAGTAGGTCTGCCCAGGTACAAGCACCTAAGAAACAGAACAAAATATTTCATGACATTGTTTCGTATTAGCAAAGTGTGAATTTACTGCTGTATAGCAGATTACCCTATAACTTGGTGGTGTAAGGCGGTAACCACTTATTCTCTCGGTTGCCGGGGTCGAGAGTCAGGAGTGACTCAGCTGAGCGGCCGTGGCCCGGGGTTCCCCAGGAGGACGCGGCCGGGATCCGGGCCGCGCTCATCCAGGGGCTTGGCCGGAGCCGGAGCACTAGCTCGGCGGGGCCTCGCTTGCGCGGCTGCTGGCAGGCGGCCTCAGTCCCTCGTTGGCTGTGATGGACTGCCCCGTGCTAACGCCACATTGACCTCTTTTTAGTGTTGCTTAAGTGTCCTCACAAAATGGCAGCGGGCTTTCCCCAGAATGAGTGATGAAGACTTACAGACGGAAGCCACAAACCACAGTGTCTCCTATGATCATAGGAGTCGCACACGGTGCGCGCCCACCCTATCCTGTTTGTTACACACATCACTTCTGTTCAGTATGGGAAGGAACGGCACGGTGTGAGCACCCGGAGTGGGGGTCCCTGGGGCCCCGCTGGGAACCCTGCTACCCCATTAAGAGTAAGGAATACATTTAAAATGAAACATAGTAACACTTACTAGGAGAATTTATCATATTAGACAGTCTATATAGCGGCTTGGCGGTGATGAACTCCTTTAGCTTTGCCTTGTCTGCCCTTCCATTCTAAACGATAGCTTTGCTGGATGGCGTGATCTGGGGTGTAGGCCCTTGCTTTTCGTCGCTTGGAATACTTCTGGCCAGTCCCTTCTTTTTGAGAAATCCACTGATAGTTGCTGTACAATTAAAGCACGAAGTGGTGATGGCCAAATCTCTACTTCATAAATGTGTGCGGTTTTGTTTCCTTTTTCAAACAGGAGTTAAACTCCCAGGAATCTTACGATGCCATGTGAACATCCAGTTGCCCACGTCTTTTACCTGATGCTTTTAGGGTCTGCTGATGAGGCCTGCCTAAGTCAGACACTTTTGGTTGCAAAAGAGATGTTATTCTTTATTTATTAACTGGTCGTCTTCTGAAATTAGAAGTTTTTCCCTTATCAGCCGAGGATAATAGATAAAGTTATTCCTAAAATTCCAGATAAAATTGTTTATTTTTATATTTAGTTAACTAATTTTTAGAGAAGAGAGAGAGTGTAGAAGTCACCTCTGTGGATGGAGAATACAAATTTTTTTGTCTTTTATTTTCAGTTATCGTTTGGCTCATGGATTTTTCTTTTTTTAGAGTCTTGTATCAGTGACATGGCTTATTCTTTAAATGCTTACAGTGCCCCGTCTTGGCTGGTGAACCCTTCAGGCTGGCTTCTGTGTGCTTTTTCTGAGCACCTTCTTGCCTCCTGACAAGAAAGATGTCTCTTGCCCACCTGATATTCCCTCTGTCTCGGGTCTGTGGTCTGCCACCTGCCCAAAGACCTCTAGCCCCTCTCAGTGGGGAACGGCAGTTAGAAAGCCCAGCCCGGGCTCTCAGCGCGCTCGCTGTCCCCAGGCGGCGTGGCCTGCAGGCCGTCGCAGCAGCAGCCGGGCGCCTCTGGGTTTTCTACGTTGTTTCTCCTGCAGAAGAGCATTTGCAGCATCCTGAGTCACCTCAGAGGATATGCTCAAAGTGTATAAAGCAGAACGTGACAAAACTTCAAAGAGAAACAGAAAAAAACCACGACTCATAGTTTGAAACTTTAACATACCCCTCTCAGTAACAAGTAGGACAAGGACACAAAACAGTGAGTAGGGATTTATAGATTCGAAAAACAAGATCGTCAAACTTGATATAATGGACCATGATAGAAAAGTGCAAAATGCATAGTGTGCGTTCTTGGAAAATGTAACATTTATAAAACATTTGTAGATGCTGGGCTATAAAGCAATTCTCATAAAATTTTCAAGGATCAAAAATCATACAAAGTATATTCTCTGACTACAGTGTAATTAAGTTAGAAATCAATAGCAAAAAACTAGAGCATCTATGCATATTTGAAAATTAAGAAATGTTTTTGTGTAACCTGTTGGTACAAAACTACACATTTGGAAATATTTTTGAAATGAATGAAAATTTGAATAACATTTAAACTTGACAGTTAAAACTAAATCTGTGAAAAAAGAAAGGTTGTAAAATCAGTTCCCTAAACACAGATCTTAAAAACAGCTACTTAAACATCTATCAAAGAAAGTAAAGGAAAAGGTAAAATTAACAACAAAAAGTAATGAAAGAGAAGACATATAGTAAAGTTCCAACAGAGCCAAAAGTTGGTTCTTTAAAAAGATTAATAGAATGAATAAAACACCTGGTAAAACTGTTCAAAAAAATGGAGAGGCAGCCCGAACAGCCGGCGGCATGACTGAAAGAGGGGGTGTCACTCAGAATCCTGTGGGCGCAGCAGTGGCAGGAAGATGTCTTTAGTTACTGACGGAATTAAATCTCTGGTTGGAAAAAAGTTCAAAATAGGAAACTCCAGACCCATGTGATCTTACTAGTACCAAGCTATACCAAGTACCAGTCTAGCACAAATTTTTTTCCAGAGAATAGACAAATAAGCAATACATCCCAACTTATTTTATAAGATCAGCATTACTTCAAAAACACAAAAATGTGTAAAAAGGCATTATAAAGAATGGAAAACTGTAGGCCAATCTTCCTAAACTAGTGAACAGATCAGACAAAAACTGTGAAGGAAAAATTTAAATTGTCATGTTTTTAAATTGTTTATATAGAAAGTACATGTAAGTTGACATAAATTATTAGAATTCTTTAGTTTAACTAGGTTGCTGAATAAATAGGTTGGTATATAAAAATTAGTTTTAAAAGTGGCAACAAACAAGAAATGCATTTTTACATCTATTTTATTGATATGCTCTTACAGTTGTCCCAATTTTTTCCCCTTTGCCTCTCTCCGCCCAGTTCCGAAGATATCACTTAAAACAGTATCAAAATTTTCAAGTATTAGGAATAAATGTAACAAAATAAGTTTAAGACTTACAAAATATTGAGAGAAAAATTCAGAAGTTCTACATGAGTGGAGAGAGAGACCATAATTATGAATGGAAATACTCAATATTCTAAAGACATTAATTCTCCCAAGACTTCAGAGAAGCTCCAATATGAATCTCAGCACTTTATTATGGAAATTGTCAGGTTTATTCTCAAATTTATATAGTGATTCAAAGCAACAAGAGTAGCTAAATTACTCTTAAGAGGAAAGCAGAGTAATTGCTCTGTTGGATATGCAGGTCTTTTATAAAGCTATAAAATTGAAGACAATTTCTTAGAATAGAAAAATAGAGCAAAGGAAAAAGATAGAGGACCCAGAAACAGACCCCCGCATCTGTTACACTTGATGGCTTTATAGTAGGGGAGATTTCTAAAAACAACACAAAACCCAGTAGCCCTGAGCTTAAAATACCAATAAACTGAACTACATTAAAATTAAGGACTATTTTTTGTCAGAAGACACCATCAAGAGACTAAAAAGGCAGACCACAGAATGGCAGAAGTTACCTGCATACATGTAACAGAACACTCAAGTCTTAGAACTCAATCTCATGTGAGTCAGTAAAAAAAAAAACAGGTAATTATCTCCAAAAAAATAATGGCAGAAATCAAATAGGCAAATCAGTAATGAAGCAATGAACATGTTAAAGGATGTTTAATATCATTAGGGATGAGGGAAAATGAATGAACCTTACCTGTTGGCCAGAATGATTTAAAATAAAAGTCAGTGGGGTAGCAGCACTCTCGTGTGGTGCTGGGAGTGAAAACTAGCCCACTGTTCTGAACAACTGCAGTGTCTTCTGAAGTTGCAGATACGCACATTCTGTTTATAGAGCACCAAACAAAAAATTCAGATGTCTAGCACCGGTGCAGTGGATAAAAGAGGGTAGAATCATACTATGGAATTCTGTGCAGCACCAAAAAAAAATAAGCAACTACACCTGTACAAAACAACATGGATGAATTACAACCATTACGTGGAGTAGGAAAAAAATACAAAAGAATGCAGACTCTATGATTACATTTATATGAAGTTCAAAATAGAAGAAATGTGTAGCGATGCAAGCCTAGGTGGTAAATTATTATAAAGAAAAGCAAGGATGTTATTAGCACAAATTACAGGACAGTGGTGGTTTTAGAAAAGGGGGGCTGGAGCCATCGGCAGGAGTGAGAGCCATCTTTGACGGTGACCTATTTCCTCACCTGGGTGATAGTTCAGTGGATTAATTTGTTAATACGCTCTATGTTTTTGTTTTGTATTTTGTTAGTTCACAGACAACATATACAAGAAGAGGTTAAACAGTGTTGCATTATAAAGTACTCGTTATGCAAAGAGGTGAAGCAGTTGGGGTTACTAAAATGATTGTTTTTAGGCTATCTCAGTGCTAGGTCACATTTAGTAGTCAACATAGCCTTTGACAGTAAAAGATGCAGTATGGTAAAGTATAAACTTGATTGGAAAGAAAAAAGTTCAACTATAAAAAGGTATGTAAGATACGGATCTTTTTCACCTATAAATGTGTTTTGCAGAAAACAAGTTTTCATAGTCGGTTGGGTGTTATTTATAATCCTACATCAAAAATAAATGAAGAGAGCACAGCTATTTCCAGAGGAATTTTGGCAGCTTTTCTCACACAGAAAAACAGCTTTTTGAGAAACTTTCTCAGGAAACTGGCAAGAGAAGAAACTGCTGCAGCTGTTTACTCTGGAGATAAAATTAAAGCATTCCTCACTGAGGTCAGTAGCTGTTTGTTTGAAATGATCGGTATGTATTGAATATTTCGAAAGTATAAGTCAATGTGCTTAGGGATATGTTACTGAAAAACATCAGTTAATAAGTATAATCATTTGGGGATAATAAATACTCCTTCAAATAGGGAAAGATAAATGTTAAACGATAGGATTTTGCATAGTGGCATTTAACAAATCAGATTTCATGTATTTCAATTACTTCATGATCCTTCAAGCTGCTGTCTTTCTAGTGAGGATATGTCCTTCAGGGTTGGGAGTTAAAGGGTTGTATAAATAATCCTCAGGTATTTCACTGAAGGAGTCCAGTGTGAGGGCAAATTCAAAGATAGAAGATGATCTTCTGGAAGAAAAGTTTCTCTGATCCGTTCAAAAAGTGTTTATTGTTTGCCAGACAAGATACGCAGTGAACAGGCAGAGCTTACGTGGTACTGGGAGGGACAAAGTGAGTTGTTTTGGAAAAATACCGAAACCTAAGAGGGTGGAGAGTTTGAGAGGCCCTTTTAGCTGGAGTGGTCAGGAAGGCATTTCTGAAGAGCCTACATTTGGTCGGTGCTCTGAATGAAATGAGAAATCAAGCCATGGGAAGTCTGTGAGAAGAACGTACCAGGCTCAGGAACGTAGCAAGTCTAAAGGCCTGACACAGAGACAGTTGCCAGGCTCAAGGTGTAGGCAGCAGATCTTGTGACCAACAGAGAGAGAGAGGGAGAGCACTAGTGTATGAGGTCAGAAACACAGCCCCAGGTAGTTCAAGCACTTGTAGGCCATGGTAAGGAATTGAAATTTGTTGTGAGTATAATGGCAAGTCTTTGAGGAATCCTGAAGAAGTGAATAATCTTTAAAAAGGTGACTCTGGATACAGCGTGAAGATGTGATAGTAGGTAGACAAGAATGGAAATAGGATGAACCATCAGAATACTATGGTAATACTCTGGGCAAGAAATAATGGTGTCTTGGACTAGATAGTAGTTGTGACAGTAAAATGGTTGATAATTAATATTGTGTTATTGTCAATAGGATTAGTTGATCAATCGTATGTGACATGTGAAGATACTGGGCTAGGATTTTGGCTTGAACAGCCAGACCGAATGGTCATTTTTTGTTGTTGTTGTTTTGGGGTGTTTTTGTTTTGTTTTGTTTTGTTTTGAGATGGGGAAATCTAGATGAAGAGAAAATTTGGACATAGAGGGATCGAGAACTAAGTTTTGCACATGTTTAGTTGGACATGCCTGTTGGACATTCAAATGGAGATGTTGAGTCACAATTGAGTAAATGAGTGTAGGAGTCAATGAAGGGTTTGTTTTTGGTTTTTTTTGTCAATTTGAGTATCATCAACATTATGTGTAGTTTCAAGCAAAGAAAACGGAGGAGAAATCTCAGAAGTAAGGGTGGGGTGGAAAACAGAGAGGCTGAAAGCTAAGCCCTGGAACATCCTAAAATGTAGAGAACACAGGAAAACAGCAGTCCTGCAGAGGGACCTGAGCAGCCTGCGCGGGGGCGGGAGAGGGCGGACGACCAGGACGGGGTGGCGTGCCCTGGCCGCGCGCGGAAGGTGCATTCCTCGGGGGGAGGGAGCACCTGGCCTTCTCGTGGAATAAATAGCAAACTGTTCTATATCTACTTATAAAAAGATGTAGAGATGTTGTAACTGACTTGGCAAAGATCCCTTTTTTTAAAAGTGTGGGTTCAGAAAAAAATAGTACTTTTTTTAATCATAATTTAGTATAATTTAAATTTTATACTAACGTATTAAAGTGGACTTTATTAAGAAAATAATTTAATAGACTCACTGTTTTATTTATTTCATTGTTTTCATGCTTTAGGGGATGGATAAGAATTCTTTTGAGAAAAAATATAATACTGTTGGAGTGAATATTTTTCGAACTCACCAGTTGTTCTGTCGAGATGTACTTAACTTGCGTCCTGGAGAAATGGGTATTGTCAGCAATGGGAAAGTAAGTAGGAAAAACATCTGCTCACTGTCCTCATTGACACTGTGATACAAGGTCACAAACATTTTTCTGTCGCAACACACCTCACATCAGACTAGGCTTAGCATAAGGAAAATGCACGCTGAGAGGTTTGCTTAGGGCACAGTACCTGTTCGTCCCTCCCGCCGTGGATGAGAACATTGAATGTGGGTAAGGAAGAATGTTCTCGTGGAAGCAACTCTTATTTTGTCCGAATGGAAGTATTAGAGTAACCAACTTAGTACACACTGCTACATTGTGATTGAGAAGCGCTGTCATAGCGGGTGTAGAGAGTACATTGTGACTCCTTATTCCTCTTGTAGCTTTGTCTACAGTTTAATAACAGTACGATACTTTTTTTGTATTGCAATATAAAGTGGTATTTATTAATATAGCCTTTAAAAATCTATAGGAAAAGTCACCCCCACCATTGTAATAAATTTTATTAAAAGTTTATTATTTTAACTTTGAACCCTACAGAGTTATTTCTGGTTTTCTTAAATACATCATTGTAATTATATATGTATATAACTTTATATCACATTTCTTTCTCTTAGTATATCACAAACATTTTTCTGATTGGAGCATCTTTATAGACACAAAATTAGTGGATAATAACTGCTTATTAATATATTTTTGAATGATAGTCTGGTTTTATTGCTGAGGACTTAAGTTTTTAAAAATTGAATCTGGTGCTTAGATTTATTAAGAAATAAACTAACACAGTGCTTTGGCACTCCTCTGCTTGAACTATTAAATTATATATTCCTAAATCATCATCAGAGCGCTAATTCACTTGTTTTCTTTGTTTTCTAAATTTTTATGAGCTCTGTTCACTTGTTTTATTCCCATATCACTATTCCCTCAAAATTATGCTTATTTATTCTTTCTTATCTGAATCCGTAAAGAATGGGATTAGGAAGAGTGGGAGACTCATTTCCCCAGGCTTCCACAGATAAAATATATCTGCTACATTATAATGGTTTTTGAGCTAATTGCATTAACTCCGAAAGGCAGCTAGACTCAGGCTCAACTGTGTACAGTGCTATTTTACAGTTTGGTGACAGTGGTTGCTATTTATTATTACCATAATATAAAGTACAGGATGGGGCAAAAGTAGATTTACAGTTGTTTGTATCAAAAATAATACAATAAATAAATAATATAAGAATAAACTGTGTTTCATGTACTCACAACTGTAAACCTTCTTTTGCCCCACGTTGTATTAGTGAATTTTGATACTGAGTTATTTGGAAGCCAAGAAATGACATTGCTTTTTCTAACAATTACTTTGAGAGGAAGTATGGTTTTTTAGAACAGTATTAAATTATATGGCTACCTTTGGTTTTGTCAGTTATTTTAAGAAATAAAGAGGAAAATAATTATTCCTGCTATATCTAGTACCTTTCTTTTTTATTATACATTACAGAATAGTTATCCTATGTTTTCTTTGTCATTGTTTCATTTATTTCATATTGTACCATTATCAATATTAGTGATAAGAAATTAGTCATAGTTCAACTTATTTCTCATAGAACTATGTTTTCTTCTCCTTTTTTGAAATTGAAAAAGTATTCAGATATTAATTTCTCACCTGCTGTGAACCGAACGTTTTTCTAGGCTCTGAGAGTACAGTAGTGAACAAACATGTTTTTGTGGTGTTTGCATTTTGGTAGACAGAGACAGATAACAAATAGCTTCCTTACTGATAAAGTATCATTTGGACAGAGAACCAAAGGAGGTGAGGAAAGAAGCCATGTCTGGACGTGGGATGTTCTAGGCAGAGGTAACAGTGAGTACAGAGGCCTTGAAGAGATCATGGCTGCGTGTTTTAGCAGGTCCATTGAGAGTAGTCAGGAGAGGAGCTCAGAGGTTGCTGGGGACCAGACTGGTGTGGCCTTATAGGCAGTTTAAGGATTCCTGCTTTTACCCTGATGAATGAGTTGCGAAGTTCATCGTTCTGGACCGGGGTCGGCAGGACCTGACCTGTGTTTAATGTGGGCCTCTGCTGGTGGGACCCGGTGAGCACAGACTGCAGGGGCCAGGAAGCCCGGCAGGAGAGCTGCAGCAGTCCAGGGGAGAGGTGGTGGCGGCGTGCCCCAGCATGGCGGCCGTGCAGGGAGTGAAAAGTGGATGTGTGATGTATCTGGGAAGAAGAGTGAACAGGAAATGCCGACAGACGGAACGTGGGGTGTGGAACCCCGTAACTAGTTGAATGGAGTTGCTGTGTATTCAGGTGAGGAAGGCACCACAGGAGGAGCAGGGCTCCGGAGGGGTGGAAACAGAAGGGTAGAGAACTCAGTTCTGGACATGTTAAGAGCTCCGTGTTCACTTCTGGGCCTCCCGGTAGGCTTGTTGAGTTGGCAGTTGAGCAAACACCCTGAAGTCAGGGGAGAGGTTGGGGCTGGAGATAGTTTTACATCAAATTATGTTGATCTTTTGTGTTGATGAATAGAAAATTGGAATTTTGATTATTCTCTTACTTGTACAACTGTGATTTGAGTAGAAAAGTGTAATATGTCTGAAAATAAGTTCAGTGGCTTGTGACCTGTAATGTAATACTTGGCGTGTGGCCCTGTCCCGTGCCACAAGCACAGCCCTCACAGCAGTTCCGGCGGGTGGTTCTCTCCGGGAGTCAGGCAGCTTACTGCTGAGGGAATTCTGACATTTTAGGGTCAATCTTCACTCCGAACCCGTCCAAATGTGTACATTGCAATTGGAATGTATTCAAAGGTAAAATTATGAATGATCAAAACTGGGGACCAATGATACTTTTTAAAAAATTTTAATATTCTTATTTTTCAATTCGAGTTGACAGTGAATGTTATATTAGTGTCAGGTGCACACCGTAGTGGGTAGATGTTTATGTAACTTAGGAGGTGACCTCCACGATCAGCCTAGCACGTGCGCGACACTGCGCATGGTGATGTCGCTGACAGGACTCCCCGTGCTCTGCTCTACGGGCCGTGACTGTCGCGTCACTGCCGATTTGGACTCATTAGTCTCTCACCTTTGTCACCCAGCCCCCCAACCCCTCTCACCTGGCAACCAATGCTGATACTTTCTTCATGCTGAAGAGTTAAAAATTTGTATTTTAATATCAACTAAAACCCCAAATAATGCTGTTGCTATAATTATAATAAATCAATTTTTATCATGCTACATATTTACAAGTTGCTGAAAGAGGTGGGTAGTAGAAAGCAGGGAAACAAGGGAGGCCTTTTTTTCCTTAAGCGAGACACATCTGGATTGAAAATCCGGTGGCACCATTAATCATGTCACCTCTATGGGACTGGGTTTCATCATTTTTACAATGGGAATGTTAGTCATGTGATTTATAGAGTTATCAGATTAAATACACTTTTTATATATAAAGCACATAGAACAGGCCTAGACATGTAGTAAATTTTCAGTAAATATTAACTCCTGTTTTCTCTTTAAATATTTGAAGACTGTCATGGGATACAGTGGGTACATTTGTGGATTGATGTGCGTTACACTTGATGGACGTCAGTAGAAAATCAAGGCCAGTTGATCAAACGTCCGTGAGTGGAGAGAGACTTTTAGCTCAGTGTGTGGATGAACACTCGTCACAGAGTTTTCTAGAATTTTAATAAGCTGTCAAAGAAGATAATGCATTTCTGTTACAGCAGTTATTTCGTATAACTGAAAAATCTCATTTCTGAAATGTAAAGGAGATTAAGCACCAGATAGGTTTTACTGTGCCAATATATGATTTTCAAGTTTAATGCTCCTTTTTTCCACTGTGGACATGATGTGATTTCACAGTGCTTACGTTACTTTGTTTCACAAATATCATATTCAACTTTAAATACAAGAACACGGAAAAATCAGGTTTCTCCCAGCTCTTTGATGCTTCACATACAGAGGTGAAACACAGTCAGTTCTCTGATGAATTTAATCTGTAAAATTAGCCATTTTGTTAATTCCTTAAGAAAATAATTTGAGGTCTTATTTCTTTATTCTGAGCTATTAGTAGAACTGCTTGAGTTACTGGAGATACTATAGATAAAATACCAGCTCTTTTCCAGGCCTCTCCTATTCATAGTACCAAAAAGATAGCATTGAAAGTGTTGTCAAAGTTACCTTAAAAATGATATCAAATCTTAAGGCGATGAAATGTTTATATGTGAACTTTTAGTTTTGTAGTGCCCATTTGTTTATTTTTAAGAGTCATGTGTTATGTTTAAGGTGAAACGTGATATTACCTATGATATGAGCAAATAAGGATTCAAGAACTACATTCATTAATTTTAAAACATTAGCTGAAAAAGCAGGTGAAGAGGAAGTGAGAAAATCTGCAACTATTTCATTCTGGTCTTTTTACTAAGAAAAAATAACGTTCTGCCTGATGAATTTTCTGGTTGTCATTTGGCACAACTGTAGTGCATGACTGTCTCAGGCCCACCTTCTAGATCCATCAAGCCCTGTGTTCATAATAGTGTGATGATTGCATGGACCAGCTCCTGGTAGGAGGGTTGGTCGTAGCTGTGGTGGAGTAGCCATGCTGACAGGTTAGGTGTGTGGCAATTTGACAGTGTCCCCTCTGTACTTGCCGGTTTGAAGCTAATCTACGTGACCTTGTCGAGCTCCACACCTTTTATGCAACGTGTACAACATCAGTTAGATAAAGGTTGGCTGATATTAAGTAATTATGTGATTCGTTCCACGGTTTTAGCTTTTTTATGTCTTTCTTACATATTCATGGCTACCTCCTTTGGACTACAGTTTATAGATGAATAGAAAATAAAATTGAAAATAAAAGATTTATGAAATATAGGCAATCACCTTCATCATTTACTTGAGATTAAAGTCTAAGGTTTTCAAAGCATGTTTCAAAGTAAAACTTTCAAATGGAAGTAATTTTCTCCTTTTAGTTGCTTTGATTTTGGTATTTATGAAAATGTTATTTGACAAGTCTCTGGCTGGTGTGGCTCAGTGGGTTGAGTCCCATCCTGCAAATCGAAGGGTCGCTGATTTGATTCCCATTCGGGGCACACGTCTGGGTTTCAGGCCAGGTCCCCAGTGGGGAGCGTATGAAAGGCAACCGCACACCGATGTATTTCTCCCTCCCTTTCTCCCTCCCTCCCCCTCTCTATAAAAATAAATAAAATGAAATCTTTTTAAAAATGTTATTTGTGATATGGAGAAAATATTTTTTCTCCTTTTTATCCCAGTGGATTTAGTAGACGGTGGGATTAATAGCCACCATCTGTTTAGTTTCTAATTGATTTTTGCTTGAAGAAATACCTATTTCATTAGACACTATGTCATGAAATAACAGATATCTTCTTAGAAGATATACAATAATTGCTTTTATTTTAAGTTCTTAGGACCTTTAGATGAAAATTTCTGTGCAGAAGATTTCTCCTTGTTGGAAAGGATAACATTTACTAATTCAGAGAAAATTAAAGACATTGTTGAAAATATGGCAATCAACTCAAAGGAGTAAGTATTTAAAATCATAAGAGCAATTCATTTCGGAGTTTGGTATTTTCCATCTCACTTTTTTGTAAGATTAGAAAATATATCAGATATGTGCACAAGCTAAGATATAACAAAAGACAAATAGAAAACATAAATAATAAAAGGCATGCATTTACTCATTATCAGCAAACTGTAGATGTTAATATTTTGTTTCATTTACCTTGGATCTTACTGGTTCTGTTTCCCCCACCCATCCCAGTCTCCTCCCTTCTCAAGTGGTAACCATTTACCGTGTGTGCATGATTCCCGTATTCGTGTTTTTACTTTTGCTTTATGTGTAAATATGCATTTCCAGTGTTTATCGTGTTGGATGCCTTGACTTTAGAGATACTATTATCCCATTTGGGATACTATTGTACTGAAGATTCTATCTGCTGCCTACTTCCGTAGAAACTTTATCCCATTTATTAAATACTACATATATGTTATTTATATGTAGCTATACAAATATACATATATATTTATAATATAAATAAGGTATAGATATATAGCTGATATATACAGTAAATAATTTATATATAAGTATATACGTGAATATGTAGATAGACAGACACACTTATTTGGTGTTTTTTTAAGGGTTTGTCAGCAAAGCTTTAATTTTTTCATGAAATCTTACACCTTTTTAAAATTTTTAACTTACTTTTTGTTCTTTTATTGTACTCCCCCCCCTTATCCCCCATACCCTCCGCCCACCGCCCCCCCGGCAGTCACCACGCTGTTGTCCATTCCCATGAGTTCTTTTCTTTTTTTGCTTGATCCCTTTACCCCCAGAGCTGTCAGCCTGCTCTCTACCTATGAGTGTGTGTGTTTTTTTGCTTATTAGTTCAGTTTGTTCTTTAGATTACACATGTAAGTGAAATCATATGCTATTGTCCTTCTCTGACTGGCTTAGTTCACCTAGTATAATTTTCTCAAGGTCTTTCCATGCTGTTGCAAAAGGTTAGATTTCCTTCTTTTTTATGGCCAAGTAGTATCCTATTGTGTAAATGTACCATAACTGTTTTATCCACTCATCTACTGATGGGCACTTGGGTTGCTTCCAGCTCTTGGCTGTTGTTAATAATACAGCAATGAATGTAAGGATGCATGTAGTCTTTCAAATGGGTGTTTTGGGTTACTTTGGATAAATTTCCAGAAGTGGAATTGCTGGGTCATATGGCAGTTCCATTTTTAATTTTTTGAGGTAATTCCACAGTGGCTGCACCAGTCTGCATTCCCACCAACAGTGCAAAAGGGTTCCCCTTTCTCCACATCCTTGCCTGCACTTGTTTGTGGATTTATTGATGGTAGTTACTCTCACAGGTGTGAGGTGATATCTCATTGTGGTTTTAATCTGTATTTCTATGATTGTTAGTGATGTTGAACATCTTTTCATATGTGTGTTGGCCATCCGTATGTCCTCTTTGGAGAAGTGTCTATTCAGGACCTTTGCCCATTTTTTTATTTCGTTTCGGCGGGGGGGGGGGCATTTCTTTTGGTGTTCAGTTTTATAAGTTCTTTATAAATTTTAGATATTAACCCCTTATCAGATGAACTGGTGAATATGTTCTCCCATTCAGTGGGTTGTCTTTTCATTTGGTTGATGGTTTCCTTTGCTGTGCAATATCTTTTTAGTTTCATGTGCACAATTTGTTTATTTTTTCTTTTGTTTCGCTTGCCTGGGGGGATATATCAGAAAAACTATTGCTGCAAACAATGACTGAGATTTTACTTTCGATGTTTCTATCTATGATTTTTATGGTTTTGAAGTCTAACATTAAGTCTTTAATCAATTTTGAATTTATTCTTGTGTGTGGCATAAGAAGGTGGTTTAGTTTCATTTTTCTGAATGTATTTGTACAATTTTTGCAACACCATTTATTGAATAGACTATCTTCACTGTATGTTTTTTGCTGCTTCTGTCAAATATTAGTTGACTATAAAGGTCTGGGTTTACTTCTGGGCACTCCATTCTGCTCCATTGCTGTATGTGTCTATTTTTATGCCAGTACCAAGCAGTTTTGATTACTACAGTCTTAGAGTATAGTTTGATATTAGGTAGCATGATTCACCCAACTTTGTTTTTCTTTATCAAGATCACTGTTGGTATTCAGGGTCTTTTGTGGAACATTTGTTCTAGTTCAAGAATTGTGTTGAATCTATAGATTGCTTTAGATAGTATGGACATTTTAAATGATGTTAATTCTTCCTATCCATGAACACGGTATATGCTTCCACTTATTCATATCTTTTTCAGTTTCTTTCTTCAGTGTCATGTAATTCTCCAAGTACAGATCTTTTATATCCTTGGTTAAATGTATTCCTAGGTATTTTATTCTTTTTGAAGCAATTGTGAATGGGATTGTTTTTCTTAATTTCCCTTTATGATAGTTCATTATTGGCATATAAAAATGCAGCTGATTTTTGGATGTTAATTTTGTATCCTGCTACTTTAACTGAATTCATTTATCAGTTCTTGGTGAAACTTTTAAGGTTCTCTATATACAATATCATGTGATCTGCAAATGATGACAGTTTTGCTTCTTCCTTTCCAGTTTAGATGCCTTTTATTTCTTCTTGATGATTGCTGTGACTAGGACTTCCAGTACAGCGTCGTATGAGAGAGTTGAAAGTGGACACCCCTGCCTTGTTCCTGATCTTAAGGGAAACTCTTATAGTTTATGCATGTTGAGTATGATGGCTGGTAGTGGGATTGTCATTTATGACCTTTATTATGTGTAGATATGTTCCCCCCCATTCCCACTTAGCTGAGAGTTTTTATCATGAACGGATGCTGAATTCTGTCAAATGCTTTTTCTGCATCTATTGATATGAACATAGGGTTTTTATCTTTCATTTTGTTTATGTGATCTATCAAGATTATTGATTCACAAATATTATACCAACCCTGAACCCCAGAATAAATTCCATTTGATCATGGTGTATGATTTTTTTGATGTATTGCTGTATTCAGTTTGCTAATATTTTGTTGAGGATTTTAGCATCTATTTTCATCAGGGATTTTGGAATATATTTTTCTTTCTGTGTAGTGTCTTTACCTGGTTTTGGAATTAGGAAAATGCTGTCCTTGTAAAATGAGCTTGGGAGTCTTCCCTTCTCTTGAATTTTTTAGAATCATTTGAGAAGTTAGTTTTTCTTGGAATGTTTAGTAAAATTCACCCATGAAGCCCTCTGGTCCAGGGCTTTTATTTGTTGGGAGTTTTGTTTGTTTGTTTGTTTTTTTACTGCTTCAATTTCACTAGGTGTAATCTATTTAGATTCTCTGATTCTTCCTGATTTTAGTTTAGAAGATTGTATATTGCTAGGAGTTTATCCATTTAGTCCAGATTGTCCAATTATTTGTCATATGATTGTTTGTAATATTTTCTTACAATTCTTTGTATTTCTTTGATGTCAGTAGTTACTTCTCCTTTCATTTCTGATTTTATTTATTTGGGTCATCTTTTTTTCTTGATGAGTCTTGTTAAAGGTTTGGCAATCTTGTTTATCTTTTCAGAGAACCAGCTCTTGGATTCATTGATCATTTGTATCCATTTTATAGACTCTATTTTATATATTTCTGCTCAGATCTTTAATCTCTTGCTCAGTTTGGGTTTTACTTGTTCTTTTTCTAGTACCTTTAAGTGTTAAGTTAGATTGTTTATTTGAGAATTTTCTTGTTTCTTGAGGTAGGCCTGTAATGCTATGAATTTCCCTCTTAGGACTGCTTTCCCGGTGTCCCACAGACTTTGGGTTGTTGTGTTCTCATTTTCATTTGTTTCAAAAAATCTTTTGATTTATTCCTTGATCTTACTGTTAACTCATTCATTGTTTAATAACATGTTGTTTAGCTACTATATCTTTGTGTTTGTTTTCAGTTTTTTCCCTGTGATTGATTTCTGGTTTTATAGCATTATGGTCAGAGAAGCAGTGTGATGTGATTTCAGTCGTCTTAAATTTATTGAGACTTATTTTGTGTCCTAACAGGTGGTCTGTCCTAGAAAATGTTCCATGTGCATCTGAAAAGAATTTATATTTTGATGCCTTGGTATGAAATGCTCTGAAGATACCAGTTAAATCCATTTGATCTGCTTTGTCATTTAAGATGCACCTCCTCGTTGATTTGCTGTCTGGCAGATCTAGGCACTGAAGTCACTGGGATGTTAAAATCTACTGTTATGACTGTATTTCTGTCAGCCTCTCCCTTTATGTCCACCAAGATATGCTTTACATAGTCAGGTGCTCCTACGTGGGGTGCATAAATGTTTACTAGGATTATATCCTCATTGGTTTGTTCCCTTTATTGTTATGTAGTATCCTTCTTCGTTTCTTACTATAGCCTTGGGTTTAAAATCTATTTTCTTTTATAGAAGTATTGCTACCCAGCTTTTTTTCCTTTCCTTTTTGCATGAAATATCTTTTTCCATCACTTTACTTTTAGTCGGTGTGTCTCTTTCATCCTGAAGTGGGTCTCTTGAAGACAGCATACAGGCGGGTCTTCTCTTATCCATTCAGCTACCTTTTGCCTTTCGACTGGAACAGTGAAGCCATTTACATTTAAAGTGTTATTGATAAGTACGTATTTATTGCCATTTTATTTTTTTAGTATGTTCCTCTCTTTTTCTTCTCCTGCTCCTCCTCTTCCCTTTAACATTTGTTTTAACACTAGTTTGGTGGTAACGAACCCTTTAGCCTTTTCCTGTCTGGGAAGCTCTTTATATCTCCTTCAGTTTTAAATGATAGCCTTGCTGGGTAAAGTTGCCTTCATTGTAGGTTCTTGCTTTTTATTACTTTGAATATTTCATGCCAGTCCCTGCTGGCCTGAAATGTTTCTGTTGAGAAATCATATGACAGTCTCATGAGAGAGCTCCCTTGTAAGTAACTAACTGCTCTTCTCTTGTGGCTTTTTTCTTTGTTTTATCTTTCATTTACTAAAATGTTTGTTAAATACTACCACTAGGATTGTGGATTTGTCACTTAATTCTTGTATTCTTGTCAAATTCTGTTTTAAATATTTTGAGCTATATATATTTATGTATACCCTGACTCAGAGTTATTATCTTTCTGGTGAATTATTCCTTTTATCATTATATGAATTACTCCTTTTCTAATAATGCTTTTGTGTTAAAATCTGTTGGGTCTGATACTTAAGCTGTGTCAACATTCTTTTGGATAATATTTTTCTATTATATATTTTTTTATTTTTTTATTTCATTGACCTATGCATCTTAAAGCACATAGCTAGGTGTTGGGGACTGTTATCTTTCCAGAACTAAAGATCGAATTCTTACTCTTGAATATAATATTCTGATCCAGATGAAACTGGTGCCTTATTTTATCCTTTAGGAAATGATTTTTTTTAATTCATTTAGGAAATAATGTTAAAAGAAAATTCCAAGTGTCTGTAAAGTAGTAGTAAGGGCATTTCTACAGTGAAGAGTTAATACCCATAGTTATTTTCAAATGCAGTGAAACAGAAGAAAACTTTAAAAAGCAAAAAAGTTACTATTTTACAATCAGTGTAGGACTAGTGCATATTGAATGTTATAAATATAATGTTAACATTTCGGATCTAATTTTTTAACCTTGTTTGGTTAAAAAGTACATAGTTTCAGGAAGCTATTCTAGCCACTTTAAAGCTGCATTTCAACCCAAAACCACATCCAAAAATCAGTAACATTAAACTATAACAGCACCCTCTCTAATTGTGTTAAATTGTTAGATACACAGAAATAATGCTAAACAAGTTGTGTTTTAATTAGAATAAATTTGTATTGACTTAAATCTGAACGTACTTTGAAGATGTGCATTTTACTATCGTGATTTTCAAGAGTTATTTTATGAGGAGGGCAGAGCTCTGAATCCTTGGATCCATTATCCCGGGGAGCACAGAAAATCTGCTTCTCCGGTAGAGTGCTTACAACTTGTTCTGTCCTGGGAGATGTTTCCAGTTCTGCAGCGGTAGGTGCCGAGTTTCTAGTGCCCTTTGCCCTGTTCAGTTTAGAGTACTTTTCAAAAAGAGAAAAATTGACCTGGATAGATGAAAATTTGGCAGAGAATTTAAGAAAGGTTGTTTGGGGACTCAAAGATTTTCTTTTCTCATCGTCTCCTTCTCTCAGTACTTAAGCAGTCAGCCCAGTTGAAGAAGCGTGGGGAGCATGTTTGACCATTAATATTTCCTCCACTGTGCCTACAATTTTATGTATTAGAGGTTATATGGCTAATAAGTACCTTTAAGAAAGCTTAGGAATATAGGTTATGATTTTGATTAATTTACTTAATAATATGTTTACCAAGTGGCCATTAAATGCAATGCTCTGTTGAAAAATATCGTAGGTTTTATGGATAGAAACCTACTTTTAACATAAAATCCTGTATTTCAGGAACTTATATTCTAGTAAAAGATAATATAGTAGAGAAAGATTGACAAGATTCTTGACCACTCTATTTTTTTCTCTCTTTTTAAGGAAGTCTTCTGTAAATTTCATTAAGCACATTCTATCCCAACATATATAGGTGTTTATTTTGTGCATTCTTAGTTCTCAATCTAATTAAAAACAATAAAAATCTGGGCTTTTTAACTATATTAAACATTCTTTGGAAGTAGATACCTATTATTTTTGTTCTTTCTGCCCTTCTTTCTTTGCTGTGTGGACTCCAATGCTTGGACACATAACTTGCACTCCGCAAATACTGACTGGAATGATTCACCACATTATTATAGACTGTTGAAAATACTACTTAAATGCTCAAAGATCAGGTCAATGATAAGAAAATGTAGGATGATTTTAAAAGCAAGCCATCATACTTTAAATTGACAAATTCTACTTACTGGCAAGTCTGGAAGAAAAATCATTTATATGAAGTTTGTCCTTTTAAAGTGTTTTAACTTAAATTCCTCTTTCTTGGGGCATTAATTTTGACACAAAGTATACACATTTCTCTTCCCGAAACACTCACACGTTGCTCATCTTGTTTCTCTAGCATGAGCGACCTTGTTATGAAAGTTGATGCCCTTGTTTCCTCTTTGCCTCTACGTGCGTCTCGTTACGATGTCACATTTTTAAAAGAGAATCACAGGTAAGGATGTAATAGTGTTGTGTGTTTTCTGCCACTGAAACCTGTATACTCAACTATTCTTTACATTTGTATTCATCATACTAAGTTCTGCGCTAGAGAGTAAATGTATTTGAGAAGATTAGGAAAAGAAATTCTTGTTAATTATATAATTTATAGGAAATATATAGGATATATATAGGATTTCAAGTGAGTTATATCAAGTATGATTTGCTTTATCTTTCATGCTCAAGGTCATTTGGAAAAGTATCTTTGTATTCTCAGTTACTAAAGAATCCTGGTTAATAAAATGTAGACATGTACAACGGCACATCCCAAGATGTGTCTGAGACAACGTCTGAGACGTTGACAGAGATTTTCTGAAGGAAAATCTGTTCTCTGGTCAAGTAAGTTTAGAGAGCATATGTGCAGGGCGGGTGCGAGGGTGTGTTTTCAGTGTTCAATATACTTATGGTTATGAGATGTACAGTTTAAAAAAACAAAAGTTCATTTTAGGTTCATTCAGCAGTTGAGTAAAACTTATTTATCTGTGCAACATTTTTTTGTGTGTTAAAAGTTTATTATTTTATAAAAATTAGGTTTCTGAAGCTAGCCATCAGAGAAACGCTGTTTTAGAATAGTAAACTAGTTTATAATAATACTTTGAAACTTGAAATAAAGTTTATCAGCTCCATTGACATATATAAAGTTATCTCTGTCCCTAGAAGTGGATCTTTTTCTGTTGTTTTTAATTAAGGACCACTTAGAAGTTGGAGAAAAAAATCAATTATACATTATGTAACTAAACTATAGACATATTTTATTGTATGACTTTTTAATAATCCCTGCTCCCATAAAACTAAATTGAGGTAAATTACTTCATCATAAACATGAAATGGCTGACACTGATAAATCTTCTGGTTTTATGGTGGATGTAATCTTATGTTGCTTGCATTTACCAACAGAAGATAAAACATGCTTTAGCTCTAGACAGTCTCTTTTCAGGTGTCTTCACACATGCATAGTAGTGTACTCAGGGAAAATTACTTTCTAAAGAGAAATTATCTGACACTGTTGGGAGTGAAGTTTTTTTTTTCTTTTTTCCAGATAACTGAGATTTAATACTTTCACGTATTTTTAACACATCCAATGGCATTTTTTTACACACTTGTTTGATTTCTTAAATACTGTGTTCTGAAATAGTTGGACACAAATTATTAAAACTATCATTGTTAATGTTAGTCACGATACTGTTCCATTAAGTTATCTTGTACGCAGGAATTTTTATGTTTGGAAATATTTGGTCTTCCACTGAATGTCTGAAACACCTGATCCTTTCCAGCGTGTAGTTGTTGTAGTCTTGCTTTCTCCCTCCAGCTCTCACATTCTCTCAGTGTCCTGCTGCTCCTGGACCTACTGCCTTATTTTACGTAGAGGGATGGCTATGGTGTGACTTTGTGACAGTGGTTTGCAATTCCTCAATTTTTTCTAGGAATTGGGATTCTGATTCATACAGCCTCACAGAATTGGCAGTAATTTGAGGGGAAAAACTTAAAAGTAGCAGTAAAGAGATGCCTACCTTATCCAAAATGGTTTATAAAGCATTCAGAAAGCAACCAGTAAATTTGAAAAATTTCACCAAGATAACTAAAGGAATTAACCATCATAGATGGTCTCTTTACTTTAAAACTTAGATTTGTAGCCCTTAATTTCTAGCAGTAATTATCCAGCAAGGTCTGTTGTCTAGCTCTACCATTCCTATTTTAACATAATTAAATCATATCAACTGAATATAAAATAAAATGTCATTCATTTCCCTATGTTGGAAGGACCCATATTTAAAATGAATTTTACATTATCTTTTATTTAATTGCTAAGAAATTAAACATTTCGCTTAACTCCCATTGGCTTTCTCTGTGCTTTTAATTATTTTCTTCTAACGCCTTTGAAGATCGGTTAATATTCTAATTTAGAAATCAGACCAATAAAAGACAAAATGGAAAGGACAGAGAGAAGGTGTGAGGAGTACGTCTGGGGTAAAAATAAAGTGCGATGAATCCAGGGTGGGGGTTCCCTGAATTTTTCTGTTATAACATGCTGGGGGGTTTTAGATACTAAATTTAATAAAAGTACTGAATATTTAATGCTGTAATTCTCAAATCTGAGAGTATATTCAACTAGGACAAAAGCGTCTTGATTTAATTTTTTACATCATGTAATCCGGGAGAATTTGTGGGGCTTAAAGTGATCAGTTTTCACTATAATAGTGGTGTTCTTGGGAGAGTTTTTTTAAAATCATTAATTCATAAAAGCTTACTTTTATTTTCTCTAATTCTTTGCACTTTTCTAATTTATTGAACACAAACATTAGAGTTTTAAATTTGCATTTTCTTCTGTGAAACAACCAGGGTTTTTATAATCTAGTGAGATAGACAGCAATTTATGATGATGTATATTGCTAAGATTAATTGGAATAAATTTAACTGATCCTCTTCTTATGGTCTGTTTTCCTAGCATCATCAAGATAGATCCTCAGGAAAATGATATGTTCTTTGATGTCATTGCCGTTGTTGATCCACTGACAAGAGCAGCACAGATGATGGCCCAGTTACTGACAGTAAGACAACGCCCTTGTTCCATATTTCATATACGTTTGTCAGGTCATGTGCTTTTTTACTGTCGTTCTGTGACAGTTGTCCCACTTTTCCCCCTGCGGCACTCCCCTGCCCCGCCCATCCCCGCTCCCCCAGTCAGTCCCCACCCTGTTGTCCACGTCCGTGGGTCATTTATACTTGTTCTTTAATGAGCATGTAGTACTTTTTTGAAATTTATAATCTTTTTTTGAATCTGTTTTCAAGTGTAATTAAGTGTTTGTGCTCTTGATTCTCGATTCTATACATGTTAAGTAGGTCGTTACGTTTGAATGTATAAAATGAAATAACAGAGCTGTATACGGGATGTTGTGGCAGCACCAAGGTCGGGTGTGCTGTGGACTTCATTGTTGACCCCCCCTAAAAGTTCCTGTGTTGAAGCCCTTACCTCCAGTGTGACTGTTTTTGAAACAGAGCCTTGGGAGGCAATTAAGGTTAAATGAGGTCTTGCAGGCGAGGCCTGGATTTGAGAGATTGATGGCCTCATGTGGAGATCTCTTACTCTCCTTGCTGATACGAAGAGGAGGCACGGCAGCAGCCTACAGCCTGGAAGGGAGCTGGGCAGTAAACGAGATAGACCAGCGCCTTGATCCACAGTAAATATGTTACTGAAGCTGGCTACCGTCTGCGGTATCTTGTTATAGCTGCCTGAGCTGCTTCCTGTCTTTGGGTGTGAAGACTGGCTTCTGGAGAAGCTGATGCCTAAGCTAAATTAGTTGAAGCTAAAAGTGTAATAAATAACATTAGCCAAACAGGCGAAGCCAAGGGAAGTGTGAGCAGCCCGGAGGCAGCTCCGGAGTGTTGGGGGCCTCGGGCTGCTCCTGTCAGGTCGTTCCGTCATCTCCATGAAGCGGCCTTCTGTCTCACAGTCTGAGGCCAAGTTCCTAATATCGTCTGTGTTCCTACCAGCAGGAAGGGGAGAGGAGGGCTCTGCCCCAAAGCCGGTCACATTCTGTCAGTCACCTCACTGACCAGGGTATGTGTGGGCGTCCGGACACACCTGTCCAGTAGGCAGGGTGGGGACTCTATGTGCACCTGAAAATTCTTTCACCAGGGAAGCAGGGGATAAGGAATACGGGGAGACCGCTAGCAGATTCTGAAAGGACATTATATGGCTTATCATTTCAACAGTTTTAAGGTCCAAATTGTGGTTCAGCTTTCAGAAGTTAAATTTGAATAAGCTAGTTACATCAGCAGGCTATATATTTTCCTAGGGAATGTTCAAAATTTGGGGGGACTCCTGTGTGTAATTACTCAATGGTTTTTTTTTGTTTTTTGTTTTTTTTAAGGAGACATTGAAAAAATTATCAGAAGTAGAAACTCTTTGTCCTTTGACAGTTGGCTTCACTTTTGCAAACAGGCAAAAGGAATTAGATATTAAATCTGGTGAAAGATGTAAGTGATTAAGCTGGATCATCTGGTGTATAGTCTGTCAGAATTTCAGAATGCGATTTCTTTCAGAAATTAGGTTGCCCTACAAAGCCTGCGTTCTTTCTGTGCCACGGTTTTCTTCTTCTTCCTTTATCTTCATCCTTTGTTTCCTATTATTTTTCAAATTTTCACTGACTTGATGCCTGTATTGAGGTGTGGGTACTGTTAAAATTAATAATTTTCCTACTTTTTTAAAACATCTTTTCTCTTATTAAATTTATTGAGTGACATTGGTTAATAATTCTTCTACTTCCTATGCTCCAGGAAAATGAAAAGAAAATAGAGTATTCCGTAATCTGTGTGTAGCCAAGATGTCCCTACACCCCTTACAGTGTAGTTGGAACGACAGAGGCGCAGGGCACCCTCCCCATTGTTGTTCTGAGGTCCCTACTTTGTACTTGCAGGTGAAGATATTAATAATTATATTACTTATTCTTAAATGCTAAGGAAACTTAGATACCATGAAAGAAAGTCATGTTAGGAGAAAGGTAAGCAGCCTGACCGTGGGCAGCGACACCGACCGTTCGGATTCAGATATGACCTCCGCCCTGACTTCCGTGTGGCCCCGGGGAGAACTGTGTATCTCCCCGCTCAGCGGGGAAAGCGGCTCCTCCGCAGGAAGTGCTGGGGGCTGGATGCGGTAACGCACAGGAGCTATTGATGCCGTGCTGGGTACATAGTAAATGCTCAACAAATGTTAGTTATTAATATTAACATCAAACAATGGAATTTTTTTCTAATAGGTGCTTGGAAAGATCATCAACATGAAGTTAACGTTGTTCATGAACTGTAAGGGCGAGCTCTCAGAAGCCCCTTTAAAGAGGTGAGCCTCAGTGAACATAGTTTCATTTGGAAGATTGGCAGATACTAAAGTGAAAAAAGGACCATACTTACTGGGCCTGTTTTTCTTTCTTCACAAGATGGTTAACTGAAATAGATCAGAAGTCAGACGTAATTTATTAACTTTAAATGATGGAAAATTAGAATAACCTAACCAGCAAAATTTATCCAATCTAATTGCAGATTTATGTTTATCCAGGGGTATTTTAAAAATATGATTTAGGAATGCCTATTTAGAAATAAATAGGAAATAACAAGTGGGAAGTAGGTTATAATTATGCCATTTTGGGTTTATCTATATTTTCAATACTTCAGAGCTAAATTATCAAAGTAATCTTTATTATATTATTTATTGTTAGGAATAATTAGATGTAATTAGTTTAGAATAATTTTTTAATGATACAGAAATGTTTGTTGTTACATGCAAATATTTCTTATTAGTACTGTTCTGTTGAATAAAAATTCTATACTCATGCAACTAATAGACCTCTGAGTTAGTGGTTAAAATAAGGTGAAAGCACTTGTACATATTTAGAAAGACAGGATGAAATTTGAAATACAAAAGATAGACGAGAAGTATGGCAACTGAATGAGCTCATTCACACGAATGTGAATCACCGGCACAGGATCACTGTAAAAGCCTTGGATATACAATAAAGAGTAGGGATATTGACTGTAAGTCAGCATGTGCATTAGGAGGGGAAGAACTTGACTTCTCTGGGTTGCAATAACACCCAAGGTACTCAGTGGACGCTTTGAGTGGTGTCTAACGCTACACAGGACAAACACTATTAAACCATTTTAAACTGTGAGTTGAACAGTCTTACTCGGTAGCATGTGGCAAGCAAACTGGTGACACTCCCGACCCTTCAGTTTTAGAATAAATAGTGTGTCCCCCTCCTCAGAGGTGAGGGAGCTTACAGGCCGGCATTCCCTCAGCCTCCTCCTCTGCGTCTGGACCCCCCGCCCCGCCTCCCCGTGTGGCTGGGGAAGAAGGTACCGTCTCTCCTGTGTGACACCCCCACCCCCTCTGCGTTGACCCCACGTGTTCCATTTGTTCTGATCCTTGCTTCATCACACAGTCCCTTTGTTTTGTATCTTGATCCGTCTCCCAGCCTTTTTCAGTCCAGAAAGTTACTTGGTTTTTAAAAAGGAAAGAAACTGCTCCCTTAACGTCGCTGCGGAGCTCTGACCCCCGTCGCTCCTGCACCCTTCTCAGTCTCGCCCTTTGCGGAGGGGCTGGAGCCCTCCTCGTCTCTCAGTCGCTCGGCCTCCCCCTGCAGTTTGGCTTTAACTTCTGCTTTGCTGCCGGATTGTTTGACCTAATAATCACAAAGGAATTGCTCTTCGCATTATCCATGGGATGCTCTTTCCTTGATGACATTTCGCTGCGTTTGACAGTGCCAAGGACTTGTTTTGCACCTCCGCTTCAAGGCGGCTCTCTCCTGTGTGTCCTGATTCCGCTGCTTCGGACACAGCTGCCAGCGGTCACCACCTCCTGGGATTCCCACTCTGTACCTTCCCCTTGGGCATGGGCTGCAACAGATGATTTGCTTCTGATAAGCAGGACATGGCCCCAGTGATGGAACGTGTCTTCTGCAGTTCGCTTGTCAAAGACTGTGGCTTTTGTCTTGCTGGTGTTCTCGCTCTCGCTCTGTGTGCTTCTCTGTGGGGCGTGTGGGGCGACCTGGTGGCAAGGAACTGAGGGTGGTCTCCAGCTGCCGTGCGTGAGCACCTGCGGGGGCCTGGAGTGCTCCTTCCCGCTTCGGGCCTTGAGATGGCCGCAGCATAGCTGGCAGCATGGCCGCAGTCTCAAACCAGGAGACGTCGCTGCTCTTAGTAAGTAAGCAGCTGTTGCTCTGTGTGACGGGGAGGCACGGCACCGCAGGCCTGCAGCAAGCAGCCGCTGTCCCCTCGACCCCCTTTGTTTCTAATCGAGCTGTCATGGTTGGTATGCAGGTTTCAGCGTGCCTTTCCTTGCTTGCTGGTTACTTCTCTTCATATTATTCATGGTCCTAAAAGCTAATAAAATGGCTGAAAAATAGACTAGGGTCAGATTTGAAGAAGTATCAGTGAGCGAATACAGATCATAAACTTCTAGAACCTGCACACGTTGGTATTTGGAAGTCGGTTAATTAAAAAATAATTAACAGTGTGTGTATACATACAGTCTTAAAATAAATAATGTGAACAAAATAACTGTCCACCATTCACAAGCACCATCTCTTCTGCAATATAGTGTTTTTAAGCCTTTTTTGTCATTTATAAGCCATTTTTAGTTTTAAAATATTTTGGATAGAAGAAATCTCAATTTGTGTCAAAGTACTTTTTTTTAAATGTTTTCTCAACAGTTTTTACCGATTTGTTCTGGAACCAGAAGTGACGTTTGTAGCTAATGGCATCATTGAACCAGTAGCAAAATTCTTGGATGTCCCTGAATCACCTCTTCTGACCCTCAACGTGATTACTCCCGAGGGCTGGTTGGTTGAAACAGTACACAGCAACTGTGACCTTGATAACATTCACTTAAAGGACGTAAGTTATCATGTGAAGCTATGGGACGTTGTATAAAGTCGTATCAGCTACTCTGACTGCAGCCGGTGAGTGGCCGCCCAGTGGCTGCTCACCAAATTGTCTTTCTCTGTGACTGCGCCCTGCCCCGTCTCTCCGGTGATTGTTGAGTTTCCCTGACTTCCGAATTCAGCTTCTCTGGCGTTCTGGGTTTCCAGACGTCCGCACCTTTTTTGTTGCTTCGGGGCCCTCGCTCACAGAGGCAGTTCTGAGATGAACAGTGTGGACAATGTGGAGGTGGATGCATGGCCGCTTAGGGCAACACCGCTGTGTGCCTGCTTTGCCCTTCAGCCTTTGTTTTTAACTCAGAAAGGAAGAGTTCCCCCTGAAGCCCTTCTTTGCCCTACAGCTCACAGCGGGGGAAGGCAGCCCTAACACGGTACTGGTGAAAGGAAGGGAAGAGAGCTCCCTCACGTACTGCAGGCTGGGAGCGTTGCTTTCCCTTGCCTCTAGTGTGACCTCGTCCAGCGAGTGACCGGATTCCCTTCCTGTTGTCATTTAGTCCCCAGCACAGAACAGTGAAGGAACTATTGAAAAAACACCAGGCCTTCCAAACATTCCATTCAAAGTCAGAAAGGGGTTTACCTACCAGAATCAGAGCCGTTTCAGGAAAGCACACCTACAGGACAGGTATCCAGGAACTGGAGCGGAAATCCCTCCTCGTTGGCCGCCTCCCTCCTGGTTCTGCACAGCCTGCAGCCCACTGCCAGCAGCGCCTTCAGAAAGCAGCCGAGGCCTCGGCCTAGGCAGAAACATTTTACCTCTAATAATTTGCTTACAGTTGTTCATCGGATTTATTTCTCACACTTCTCATGTGTTACCCTTTGCCTCAAGCTTTTACTTTTAGGCAAGTTTCTTCTGATCCACTCGTGAGTAGATTCTGTAGGATCCCGAGTCACTTCCCTGATAGTCTCAGAATACGAGAATATTGTAGAGACGCTCCCGACTTTACCGACCCAGGGAGGAACCCAAAACACAGTCACAGTGGTCAACCGAGAGCAGTCCTTCGAGTCTAGGGAAAGAATAGGAAAACAGAAAAGTAATAAAATCCATGGGGGAAAATTGAGAAATGAATTTGGCAAGACATAAAAAAAAAAAAAAAGAAGAAAAACAACTTTTTTTAATGAGTTCTATCTCTTAAAAGAACCTCTTGGATTCTTCATTAGGAGAGTTCAGTAATACACATCAATAGGGTAACTTTAAATATTCTAACGAAAAGGGTAAAGTTTGGGATGGGAGAATTAATTCAGCTTAGAAAAGATTTTAAATTGAGTCTGCTGGTAAAAAAAATTCAGCAGCTATTAAACAATTACTGAAGATTAAACACTTTTATTGTGAGTGGAAAATATAACAGTGTCTTTATAGAAACCGTTTAAGTGAACAGTAATTCTATTTATTTTAGAAGACCAAAATAGAGAAGTAATTTGCTCTATCTTCATAGGTTATATGAGTAAACAAAAGGAATTATAAATTCTAGCAGCTGTAAAAGGTAACAGCCTCTGAGGCTCTTCCCTTCCACTCTTTGGGCTGCACCTACTCGGACTCTTACCTGCAACTATCCTGGAAGAATTTGTTAAATACAAGTAAAGGAAAGACACTTGCTAGAGTAGGAAGAGGAGATGTAGGTAAAGGACAAAACTATACCATTGTAAAAATGAAACTAATAATGAGAGTTTTCTCACCACACACTAGGTCACGCAGGTAACATAAACACCTAGAAAAAGCTTGATCTAAAAAAAAAAAATCTTTCTTACCAGGACTTTGGTCAGCAGTTAATATTAAGAACAGATAAATAAAAATTTAAAAGCACTGTAAACATCAAAAAAGATACCTAGCTTTCAAATTCATAATAGGAACTAATTTAACTTAAACTAATTTAACTTGTATCATCTTTATGAAATTATTAGAAAACTTAAGAGGTTCACTAAAAAAACCTTTGAAAAACAAATTGGCTATTTTTGGTGTTATGGTTTGACTAAATCAGCAGAATTGATGTCTCTTATGGACAAGAGAAATTTTCATATTAATATATTATAAAATAAAGATACTATTAGTCACAGACTGATCAAATGTATTTGGTCTCTACCCTAATGTCTAATTCATGGTGAAAAATATTTAAGCTTTATTTCATAATCATTTTGGGGTAGAGTTTCCTTGTCTGTAAAATGAAAAAGTTAAACTAGGTGACCTCCACAGTATTCTCATGATCTGAGAATATCTCATGAAATCTTTCCATCCAGTCTAAGTGCTGTAGGACTGTGGAAATGGGTTAATGAAGTCTGAGGTCTGTCCAGAAAGTATCCATCCAGCTACATTGAAAAATAGAGACATTTATTGAAGAAGATACAAGAAACATTGTACACAGGGTAGTGACTTCTCAGTCCCCTTCAAAGTGGGTACCTTGGGACCTCACACAGTTTTCCCTGTTGCCATCAGCTTCCCTGTCATATTTTCTTGAGCCTCATTGATGGTCAGGAATCTCTTCCCTTTCAAAGGTGATTTTAGTTTTGGGAAAAGCCAGAAGTCTCAGGGTGCCCAATCTGGGCTATAGCGGGGCTGAGTCACTTGGGTGATTTGATGTTCCTCAAAAAAACTCTGCAGGAGACTTGATGAATGAGCAGGTGAGTTGTGGTGGTAAAGCTCCTAGTCACCAGTTAGCCAGAGCTGCAGCTTCTCAATCATCCAAATAGTTTCTGCAGAGGAATGTTCAAGCTTAATGCAAAATTTGATGCAGAATCATTGCTCTACTTGCTCAGTCATTTTGAATGTGATGGTCACACAGTGCACATGCTAACTCCATGGTGTGTACGGCCACAACCAACTAGTACGTTATAGCCATTGTTCACTCATGTGCATTCCAGTCTAGTCGCCTTAGCTACCAAATTACATTGATGTCACACAGACTGTTCTCATTATAATAACAATGGTTGGATGTTTTCCAGACTGACTTCATATGTGAAGTTCATCGCTTAGAATAGTAGTAAGTCAAGCACTAATTCAGAACCCAACTACAGTTTTTGAAACAAGTCATTTATTTCTTTTCTTAAAAATAGTAAAATTATAAGAACTGGACTCAAGAAAGAAATGTTGTACTCAAGAAAGAAATGTACACAAGAACTGCATTTTTTTCTTAAGATAATTATAGTCAAAGAAAAATAAATATGATAGGGAATACCTTCAAATACTCTATATCCTAAACATGCCAAACAATAGTGTTGAAAACCTCATATAGTGAAATAAATTAGATATAGATTTATTACTGTCTTATCTGCTCAACAAAATTGCTAAACTATGTAAAAATCAGTTACCATTTGATTTATTGTCGTGCCTGAATATGTTTTTCATTTAAAGTATAGAAAAAGCTTTAGTCCTAAAATATTTATTGTGGCATTTGCAATAGAGGAAAATCTGGAAACAGTTGGAATGATCAGCACTTGAAAGATGCTTATAGAGACAGAAATGTTCCTCAAAAACTAGATTTAATGAAAAAACAGGTTATACTTTCTTAGGAAAAAGTTTATGAAAAAAGAAATAGAAATCAATGCATTGGTGTATTTATGACTGTTTAGTCTGTAGGTGACTTCTATTTTTCCTCTTTCTACTTTCTAATAGTTTCTAGATTTTCTTTAATGAGCATATGTTATTTTGAGTGCAAAATAATTACACATTAATATTTTTAAATGACAAGAGAGGCAGTAGATTGTGATAAGTTGTCTCTCCTGCTACATCTCAAGAGGGATGTCTCAGACAACAGAAGAAAAGCCAATTCTTTGAGGAGTTTTCCATCTAAATCTGTCTTGAAGCGATCTTTGACTGCAACAACTTCATGACACCTTTTATGCTTGTATTATTGGTGCATATGTCATGAGGTTGGAGCTGATGGCATAGGAAAGGAAAACAGGGTGTCATGAGCTTTGGTCTTCAAGAAATTGATTCAACTATTAAGTTCACTCCTGTAAAAGGAAGACTTGAAGTAGCCCACCCAAAATTCATTAGCTAACATTAAAATAATCTCAGTTATCACAGTATCTGTATTGTGGGAAATACTAATGACATATTGCCTCCACAGATTGAGAGAACAGTTGTGGCAGAATACGAGCTGGAATACCTACTGCTCGAAGGACATTGCTTTGACATGACCACAGAACAGCCTCCTCGGGGTCTGCAGTTCACACTCAGCACAAAAAGTCAGCCTGTCGCAGTTGATACAATAGTGATGGCCAATCTTGTAAGTAGAGTACATACTTAATTGATGGTATTACAGTTAGATGTTTAATCTAAAATTCTCCAAGTTTTTCTAATAAGAAGATAAAATAATTTTTATCCTGCTCTTGCTGAATGGGTCCCAAAATACAAAACTGAAACTTTGGCTAAGGTCATTAAAAAAACAAAAATGAAGGGAATCTTATTTTCAGAATGTGCTTTTACAAGTTATTGAAAAATCTTCTTCCTTGGAATTCATTGATAGAATCCATTCATCCCACAGTTGGTGAACACTTTCTTGGATGATTAATGTATAGTCTTTCTTAAACAATTGGATGTGTGTTTAGTCATGCAACTGTGATCATATTTTTCTCATCTTAAAAGGGATATTTTCAATTAAAAGCAAACCCAGGTGCTTGGATACTGAAATTACGCCATGGAAAATCTGAAGATATTTATCAAATAGTTGGGTGAGTTATATGAACGACTTTTAAATTTTTATGTGTAAATAGGTATGATAAATAACCAAGATCATCAAAACAACTAAAATGTTCACAATTACAATCACTATAAAACAAAAACTATAAGGTTGTGACATTTTTTCCAAAATTTTTTATTTTTTGTTTTATTTGAAAAATGTAAAATATGCCTGATGTATATATCTGGTTCTTTATTGTCTACTTTACGTAATTGTTTTCTATGCACATTTTGATGCATTAGCGTAATTAAATATTTATAATCTAATGACAATATAATGTGTGTTTTATAACAAAGATGTTGTCCATAGATTGGTTCTTCATTTTTGTAGGTAAGAATTGCTTTCTTTCATGGTAACTTACCTGCTCATTATTGAGGTTAGTATACAACAGAGATTATAAGACTTTTTCTATAGGAGCCAATGGAAAATACTTCATGTTTTAGGGCACATATGACTTTTGTCAATATTCTTTTTTCTTAACAACCATTTAAAAACATAAAAAACATAAAAACCATTTAAAAACATAAAAAACATAAAAACCATTTAAAAACATAAAAACCATTTCTCACCTAAAACTCTTAGGGACATACGTATTTTAGAATTAGAATTCTTCAAATTTTGGAAAGTAAATAGAGTACACATATCAGTACGACACATTGGGCAAGATCTAAGACAGCACTTCATTAAACAAACATTTCTGTTGCAAAAAGTGTATTTACATTAAAAGGATATGTAATGACTATAAAGGGGCCATACAAAAACAGGTCAACAACTTGACCTCACTTGCCAGCTATAGTTTGCTGACCTGTTATAAAGTCTTTTTCCATCCCTTAATAAATATCTGTGCTTTTCACTTATTTAAATAAATACAGGGCTGGGCAAAAGTAGATTTATAGCTGTGAATATGCAGGAGTTAATAAAAAAGCTGCTGTAATCATCATAACCTGCATGTCTTTCTCCATATGAACAACTGTAAACCTACTTTTGCCTTGCCCTGTATTTATGGAGGACTATTATCATAACAAGAACTGTGATCAACAAAGATAATATGGGGGTAGAGGTTACTGTACCTTTTTATTCTTTTCTTCTGTTTTTCTTCTTCTCTGCCTAGCACATAGTGTCATTCAACAAATATGCTTAATAATTTATGCATACAAAGCCTAGAATGCTCAATTCTGTGACAGGGAGCAGGGGTGGGGTAAGTGTTGACAAGAGGAATGAGACAGCACCTCAAGAGGGTTTTAAAGAATTACAGTAACTTAACTACAACCTGTACCACAGACAAGACACTCAAGGAACAAGAAAGGGGTGTGTGCAAAACTCTCACCTAAAACTCTTCGGGACATATGTATTTTAGAATTAGAATTCTTCAGATTTTGGAAAGTAAATAGAGTACACATATCAGTACGACACATTGGGCAAGATCTAAGACAGCACTTCATTAAACAAACATTTCTGTTGCAAAAAGTGTATTTACATTAAAAGGATATGTAATGACTATAAAGGAAAACAAAAACAAGCCACAGACTGGGAGAAAAATCTTTGCAAAACCTACGTCCATCAAAGAATTTATATATAGAATATTTAAAGGACTATCAAAACTCAGCAGTAAGACAACAACCTAATAAAAAGTGTACAGAAGACTTGAACCAACACTTCACCAAAAGGAAAATATGGATGGCAAAAATAAGCACATAAAAAGAGACTCAACATCATTAGTTATTAGGAAAATGCATGTTAAATCCACTGTGAGATAACACCTCTCATCCATCAGAATGGCTAACATTAAGAAGACCGACACTACCAAGTGTTGATGAAGATGTGGAGCAGTAGGAAAGGTCATGCACTATTGGTGGGAACACAGAGTAGTACAGCTACAGTAGGACAGTTGGGCAGGACCTTACAAATTTAAATACACAATTAACCCATATGATCCAGGCATTTCACTCACAGATATTTACCCCCAATAAAAAGAAATACATGTTTGTACAAAGACTTGTACATTAATATCCATAGCAGCTTTATTTGCAATTGCCAGACACTGGAAACAACCCAAATGTTAACAAGTGAAGGAATAATCAAAAAGTAGTACATCCATACAGTGGAATACTACCCAGCAACAGAAAAGATGAACCACTGAGAACACGGTGACATAGATGAGGCTGAGTCATTATCCTGAGTTAAAGAAGTGTGGCCAGAAAAAGAGCACATGCTGTTTGATTCCTTTCATAAGTAGTAAAACACTAGGTAAGACAAACTGAGTGACAGAGATCAGACCACTGGTCGCTTGGGGAGAGGAGTGAGGGGCAGGGAAAAGCAGAGGGTCGCACCCGAGATCCATAGGTGAACAGAACACAGGGCCTGTTCTTCCACAGCTTCCCCAGTAGGAGGGACAGCGAAGAAAATGAGTAGCAATCAATACATTATCAATACTATGAAAGGGTGCTACTGAGGTACAGAAAATAAAGCAAAATACACTGCAACATGTGGTTTCAAGGCATAATTTCAAGAACCATTCATGCTTTGCTCCAGCGTCTTGGACCTTGTGCAAACTACTGCCAGGAGCTCAGTGTTTCTCAGTTTCTGACTATTGTTTCAGCATTGCTTTTTGCAAAAGGAAAGCCCTTTGGAATTAGATGAACTGTGATTCAAATCCCTCCTCTACCACCAGCTATCTGTGTACTCTTGCATAAGTTTCTTTACCACCTGGAATCTTTATTTCCTCATAATAAAAGGGTATAATCCTACTACTTGTGGGGTCTTGGTAAGGACTAAATGAGATAATCATCATAGAACACAGTGCCCCCCGTGGCATAAATGTCCATTCCTCTCCACTTACTCCTTGTTCCTTCTTAACAAGTTACGATTGCATATGTTATGTACATTATGTATATTATGTATATGTGTATTATGTAGTATATGTACAATATCTAATATGTGTATTAATATGTAAAACTAGACATTATGTTAGGTCCTATTTTATGTATCTTCTTGACCATTATTTGCTGTCATACACAATCTATAAATGGATCATTTGGGGAGAAAATTGCCCCTGATGGTACAATTTCAGTACCACTATATATTAGTGGAAAATATTTCTCATTCACACACAACTTTTGGTAATAGAAATCATTTTAAATTTGTATTACTTATAAACAGTAAAACCATAAGGTTCTCTCAGTCATAATTATTCTAAACGTGGTTAATATGTCACTAAAATCCGGAATGAAAAAAACATAAATGGTGCTACTCTGTAATAAAACGTTTTTGAAATTAAAGTATCAATAATGAAAAACAGGTCAATATAAAATATGACAAAAATGGAAATTCTGTTTATCCTAATGTTATGATTTCATCCTAATTGATATTACATTTAGGAAAAATATTCTTAAAATATGATGAAAGGCTAAGTTGAAATAACAGTAAGATGAGTTTCTAAGTCCTGATTTTAAAACCATGGCTAAATAATGGGATAATTTAAAATTGGACGTCCCGTTTATTAGGCATGATCCTCCCACGTGGGCCCTTCGTGTCTGTCCGTCTCTCTGTAGTCTTCAACCACAGATCAGCGGCCCCGACTCATGCCGACTGATAGTAACCTTGGACACAAAGATGCTCAAAATCATTCTCCCCTAGAAAAGAAAATCTTCAGAGTTCTATTAAAATTAGGTAGCTGCTTCTTAGATTTTCCTAATTAAATTATAGAAAATAACATACTTTACATATCTGTATGGCTTTCAGTGTGCTAAATTATTATGCTTGACTTTTCACTTGAAATCTTCAAAAAAACAAATGGCCAAATTACTGTTTGTACATAGTTTCAGCTTGGTACCTTTGAAATTGAACTACTGCTTCTGTGCTTTCTATAGGGTCTGGGAGAGATTTCAAACGCTTTCCGTTCTTTCAGCTCCTTGAGCCAGTCCCTTTGTGAGGTAGTGTCCGCTCTCTGACCCTGGCGGTGGTTATAGTTCACTGTTTGAGGAAGGCTTTTGTGGGCTCTTAGAAGGTCCCTATTGCAGTACCTCACTTCCCTTTGATGCCTGATCCCCTTTGGTGCATCTCTATTCCTGCTGGCTTCTGGCTTCTGGCTTCTGGCTTCTGTCTCAGCTTCCTCAGTCTCGGGCATCTATGTTATGCCCACAGCCTATTTCTGCTGACGCTTCTCTGTACCTCCAGGTTGCTGTATTGGCAGCTTGTATGGCTACCCCATGGTAAGAAATAACAAAACAGTCTCTACCCTGCTGGGAGCATGAGCATCTTCGTCACTACCGCCCCTGCCACTTGGTGGCAAGGGTGGAGGTGGCTTGAGATCCTGCTTAGGCTGAGCTGCAGCGTTGTGCTTCCTGGCTCGACCCCAGTCCCAGTGCTTGGTGGACTCAGTGGCTGAGGCTGAGTGACGTTTGGGCCTGGAAGCTCTTGAAAGTTTTTAAGAACTTCGACATTTCTACTGCATGAATCGGAATGCTTTCTCTTTCCTGCTGGTCGCTGCTGGGTAGGGCTGTTCCTGCCACACTGGCTCAGGCACCCCAGCTGCGGAACAGGGAGTGAGAGGGAGGCAAAGGCGTGTGTTAGTCCACAGAGTGCTGGCATTGCCAGGGTTTTGTTTTAGAAATGACATTCAAGTATGTAAATCTGACTGAACTTAAAGTATCTACTAATTTAGCATCTAATTGCTTTTCCTCTTTGATAAAGTTTGATTTTATTGTAAATGTTTCTTATAGTGGCATTTTTTAGTGTATGGTGAATATCGTGTTCAAAATACAATTTGTTAGTAAAGCTGTCATATTTGACTTACTCAGTTTTGAAAATTACACAATGAAATACGTCATGTGTGATATAAAATAGAAACGCCAAGTTACATAGATGGATATTATAGACATTTTCAGTCTTGTAAGTTTAACAGTACACTTCAAATTTTAGCATGTGAAAATGGCTGGTAAATATTGAAAAATTACGGGACAGTGTCGAATTCCTGTAATGATGATATTTAAACAACTTAAAGTGTAAAAAAGTTTTATATTTTAATCATCACTGGAGATATTACAGAGATATGAAAGATTTGAATCTTGTGATAATCTTGGTATACAGTAGAAAAGATAAGGAACATTTTGAGCTTTCTGAGTGATGAGACAATATCAAATTTAGAGAGTTATTTTTGTATAATTTTAATTTGTACTGTTAAAATTGGACAGTTTTGAAAATTATAGTGTATTATAGCTGACTATACAAATACAAAATATTGAATATGATATATACACAAGTGATATATTTATTTCAAAATGCATTTATTCTTTTATGTTGTATGCATTTTCATGAACTGATTAAAGATATTTACATGTTTTTCTACCTTTAGGCATGAAGGAACTGACTCCCAGTCACACCCAGGAGATGTCATTGTTGTGTTAAACAGCTTCAAAAGCAAAATACTGGAAATACAAGTATGTGAGGCAGGCACTGTCTATAAGCTTTGTTCTTCACATTAAAATGTATCTCATTTTTAATTAATCGATTAATTTTTATTTTACAACTGAATTTACAATTTTTTCTGCCCAAAATGTCATGTTGGAACTCTGGCAATGGAAGAAAGAAGAGGATTATTGAGTTCATGAAGGGAAAGCAGAGAGCTTGGAGATCAAAGAACAATTTTTTTAAAGTTATGATATATCTACTCTATCTACTGTATCTGTAGCCAGACAATGTTACAAATTGGGAACGCAGGTTGAAAAACTAACCCTGAAAATAAAAAGTGTTTTGTTTTTTTCGAGAGAGAGAGAGAGAATGAGTTTTTTAGTGATGGCAGGTTTGGTTCTTTTGGACTAACCCACCTACTTAACACTAGTAAAAATGGGTGAAATAGTTTTTAAAAAGCTTAAGAGCAATGAGGAGCTGACAGTAATAAAATAAACAAGGAAAATGAGGAAATACAAAACCAAAATTAGAGGGAAAATAAGGACCTTAGCGAGGTAAGCAAGCACAGACACTTCTCTTGTCCCAAGAAAGCCACTGTTACCTTGAAAGCATTTATCTACCTTGGTACACTTGAGCTGTAATTTTGGTTTAATTTGCAGGGTGATGGGGACAGAAATTAAAACTCTGGACCCATATCAAGTGTATAATCCATTAGAAGATGCTCTCAACCGTAAGCCAGCTATAGCTTCAGCATAAGGATGAGCCATAGTAAATTATCCCACACAGTCTTTTAGCCCAAATTTGTACTATCGTTAAAATAGGTAAAGATTGATAAGGCCATATAGGTAATCTGGAGGAAACATGCATATATCTATCTTTGGAATAAGATTACTACATCCAAATACACAAGGAAAACCAGGAGCAACAACAGAAAACAGATATACATTCTATATATAATAGTTGTTGACACAGATTCTGAAACAACTATGCTTATAATGTTTAAAAAAAGTAAAAGACAAACTTGAAAAAAAATTGCATGGAACAGGAAACTGTAAAAAGTACATATCTGATTTTTCTTAGTAGAACTTCTAAAACTGAGGAAATAACTAAAATTAGGAATTTAGAGGGTGACTTGAACATGCCTGAAGAGAGAATTAAGTATCCCAGATGCAACAAGGGCATTAAAAAATAAGAAAGTACAAGTCGGACCATAAAAGGCAGAAAATAGATTGAAAAATCTGAGATACGAGGATTGCATTTGCACCTGGCCGTTACTCACGACCTGTGTGACCTTGGGCAGATTGCTTAGCCTTTTCCTGTCTCTGTTTTCTCATTTACCGCCTAGAATTAACAGTAGAACTTAACCTTATATGTCTATTATAAGGACAAGATAGTTTAGCTTTGTAAAGTGCTTTGTGAACATTGGTTAAGTAAAGCCAATTTAAATGGAGTTCCAAAAGAAGATGAAATAATGAGGAACAGGTAGTATTTGAAGCAATAATGGCTGAGAATTTTTATGAATGGAAGAAAGAAGCCAATTTGCATATGCAAGAAATCTAGTGATTCCCAAGGAAGGTATTTAAAAGTAAATCCACACCTAGACTCTTGTTGATAAAACTGGGGAAAAAAAAAAAAAGAAAAAGACAAGGGAAATCTTGAAAATAGCCAAAAGAGAAAAAACTATCTTCAAAGAGCTATAGTCTGACAGTTGATTTCTCAGGAGTAACAATGAAAGCCAGAAGATACTGGAACGATGTTTAAGAGTACTGAATGGAAAAAGGAATGCCAACCTAAAATAATTTATCCTGAAATGATATCTTTCAAGAGGAAGCATAAAGTATTTTCAGAAAAATTAAAAACTGAATTTGCCATCAGCACAGTCACACTAAAGGAAATTCTAAAAGATACACTTCAGACAGGAAAAAAAAATAATCATCTGGGGTCAAGTTCTGAGTTTGGAAAAAGAATAGAGAAAAGAAAATAATTATGTGGATGTGTCTATTATCAGTAAATATACAAAACAATAGTAAATGTCTTATGAGGTATTTAAAAAATATGGAATTAAAAATAATGGCATGTAATCCTTAAGAAATAAGGTTATTTGCAATAACATATAAAGTTCTTATATTGACCAGGGTAATGGTAATGATTACTTTTGAGACTTTAGGGCAAATATGATTTTTGTAATTTTTAAGATAACCACTAAAAGAATAAAAACAAGGCACAATGTCATAGTAAAGAGGAAAAATAGAGTGAAACAAAATAATATATATGGGCTAAGAGTGGAGAAGAAATGACGTGAACATGTGGGACAGAGAAAGCACAAAATAGTCAGAATTTAACACAATTATATTAAATGTAAATGGCCTAAATGTTTCAATTAAAAGACAAAGATTGTCATACAGAATTTTTTAAAATCCCAACTATATGTTGTTTGCAGAAAGCACATCCAATCATAAGAATACAGCTTCAAGGCGAGGATGAAAATAAAATACACATGTGCCGAAAGTATACTTAGCCAATACCAACCTAAACAAAGCTTATATAGCTATACTAATATCAGAGATAGTAGACATTAGGACAAATAACATTAAAGATTTTTATTTTAACACTCATTTTTTAGTACTTTATACAACAAGGAGACCAAAAAATCAGTGGAGATATAGAAGATTTGAACAGTGGGATTATAAGTCTTGACCTGGTAGACATACAAAATAAAACACCCAATAACACCATATAGTCTTTCAAATGCAGAGAAAACATTAATGAAAATGTTTTATAAAAGAAAATAGCTTTACACTTAGTTGAAAAGCAGATTTTAACAATCTTCAGAAAAACTCATGCAGAGTGTGTCCTTTGTAACGCAGTAGAGCAGAAATCATTCTCAACTATACCACCAAATTTTACCTTGCATCCTATATGATAATCTGTTTCTAGCCACCTCTGCTCTTTATCCTGTGGTCAGTTACACATGTTGCTCACACTCATCTCTGATGGTCTTCTCTGATCTCGACTCCCTTTCTCAATAATAACTATACTCTGTCTTTGAATACATTTCCCTCTGGCCATTTTGGATGAACACCCCACAAAACCTAGACCAGCTGCTGAAGGTACTCACTTAGCCTACGCTCCTTAGGACCAGCATTTCAGCTAGTTTTATCCTGGCCCTGCACACAGGAGAGAAATTCCATTTAGTGGGGTGGTAGTACAATTCCATCTTTGCCCATTGAACAATTGTTTGTTTCCTTTTTTTGAGCTGAATTTTTGTACTCTTATATACTGGTTGTAATTAGCAGATCTAAGTCACCGTAATCATCAAATCTTTGAGGTTCAATCACTCTGCAGCCGCTCAGTCTTTCTGTTGTTGTTAGTAGCACGGCTTTATCCCCTCATTGACCGTCTCTCAGTATTTTACCAAAAGAGACAGAAAAAGGAGGGAGAGCTGATAAGCAGCATCAAGGATTAGCCTACGGACTTCAGTAGGCTAATAGGAATTCCAGAAAGAAGAAAGAGAAAAAATAAAGGAGGGAAAGTATTCCACAGAAAAAACAGATTAAAATATTTGTGTCAAAATGGTCCACAAACTAGGATGAGGGAAAAACGGCCCAAATAAGATCACAGTAACTACCACAGAGACAAAAGTCAGGTCCTGAAAGAGAACTCAAGCGTCAGACGTTTAATTTTCAGAATGGGTGTTACAAGACAGCAAATCAAAGCCTTTAATATTTTAAGGAAAATTATTTTGAACCTAGGATTCTTTAACCAAATTCTTAATCAAATTTGAAGGCAAAGTAAAGTTGTTTTCTGAAGTATGAAGATTTAGGAACATTATTTTTTACATTTCTTCTTGAGGTTATTTGCCAGTACAGTGAAGATGAAGACTAAGAAAGAAGATAAATATTTTAGGAAATGGTGACATTAATGTGAAAATTAAAGCAGAGAAGGCCAAGAAATAAATAGGCAATTAATTGTTGAGATCCATGAAAAATGTCTTCAAAAAGACAGTAATTCTAGACAACTAACATGAATAATAAACTGGAAAATACTAGGTATGTGGTAAAGCAGAAATACAGCTAGCTCATCACTAGAAAAAATGAATACAGTAAAATTCCGCCCAAAATATTTCCCTACTGGCAGAATATAAAATAGCAGAATCCATTTGAACTAGCAAGTCTCCTACAAGTGGCGTAGTGGTCACATTACTGTAACTCTTCACAGGAAATATAAACTTACATGGTCACAATAAGCACTTTTTACTGATTGTCAACATGAAGATTAAACATAGGAAAGTGCAAAAGGTACATTTTCTGGACTCAATGAAAATATCTATATTTACAATGATAAAGGTGTTTAGCTAATGTAAGTCAGGAGGTCCACAGAAGGAAGGGTAGAGATATTGGTATACTTATAAAAAGGGTATGAAAGAGGAACTGTTGAAGTTGTTGGAATAGAAAACAGATTTAAATATTAAAGTTAAAAAAAAAAGTACTTGGTAGCAGAACTAATGATAAAGGTATTACTACCAAAATGTCCAGACAAAAAGGGGAAGAAGGGTGATATAAGTGACCTGCTCATTATGAAGATTGAGTAATGTCTAAATTGTTTAAAATTGATAAATCAGTAAATACAAATATAAGCACATTTTTTAGCACTATGGACCTGACCACCAAAAGAACTAAAATTGAGGGGTTGAACTGGTAGTTGAAACTGACCTATCTGTAATATACTAAGATATTCTCTGGCTTCATGTACTGCAACTGTCTTAGAATTACAAGGGTCACCCTGCCCAGTAATACTTCTCTTCCTAACCATGCAGCATAATATTTAAAGCTTCAGAATTCTAACATTTTTCTTTACCATGCTGTCTAGGTGAAAAAAAAGCCAGGCAAAATTAAGGAAGATATCCTGAGCGATAAAGGTGAAAAAAAAGGAATGTGGGACTCCATTAAAAGGTAATTCCTAATGACTATTTTAACACATAACTCTAGATCCCCTGCAGTTGGTAAACATTTCAGAAAAGCACAGATCCTCTTGTCTAGAAAGGGTAAGATAGATGCCTAAGTTTTAATAGGAACTCAAGGGAGAAAGGGGCTCTGTCCCATTTGGAGGAGTGTCAGGCAAGACTCCTTGGAGAAGGTGTGTTCTAAAGGATGGACAGGTTTTCAGAAGTTGGAGGTGGAGTGAAGGTACCTGGTTACATGAAGATCGCGTATGTTACTCAAGGAAGAGGAGGTAGCCTGGGTTAGCTGGTACAGTGAGTACAGCAGCGAATCTATACATTAGGTTGGGACCTTTATTATTAGCTAGTCACAAAAGTAATATGTGGACTCAGGTATTACGGAGTCCAGGAGCAGAGCTGGCTTCGGGCAGTCAGGTGATGGGTCTGGAAACTTTCCCCATCTCTTAGTTCTACTGCCTGTGCCCACTTCACTTGCAGATGGGCTTTTACAGGAAAGGCTTGCCGCCCCCAGTGCAGAGAGAACACCCCTTCCCCAACAGCACCAGTGAAGGCGCCAAGGCTGGCTCGTTGGCCCTGCTGTGTCCACATGTCCCAAACTGAACTGACCGCTGAGACTGGCCGTGCTTGGGTCACATGCCTGTCTGCAGAGTCAGTGAGAAGGCCCATCCCACCTGAACCTCCCCCTCAGAACACCAGGTTATTGTCACTGAAAAGCGAAGGGCGTTGAGCAAAAACACGAGCTGCTATAGATCCACATGGTAGAGAATCTTGAAAGTCCATGTTAGAGATTTGAACTTAATTTGATTGTGATGGAAAATCATTGATTACTTGATCAAGGCTAAGAAGTAGAAACTTTAAGCCAAATAGATTCAGCAGCCTGAGTAGATTTTGTTAAAAGACCAAAGGCCCTCCCATCTTTTTGGGTTCTGCCCGGTTTAGGCCTCTTTTTCCGTGAGGCTCCTTGATTGATAAGAGGAATCATGTCGCTGTGACAGTATATGCGTTGAAGCAGTTTCTGACAGAGAAAGGCTCACGCTCACTCATTTTGAGATGATTTGAAGAGTAGGTATGTTTGACAGGGGACAATGAAACAGAATCTGTGCATTGAAAGAATATCTGTCCGTGGGCTGCCATTCAAGCCAGAAGGTAGAGCTAAGAATGAACAAAGATAGCTGTTAACCTACAGCATAGCGACTTGCTTTACAGAAAGGATACCAAAACAACGATGCTTTCTTAAGGCGATGGCAGCGCCTCCAAATGTATAAGCATTGTGTATGTTACAGTGCTTTCGCTTTTTTTAGTCTTAGTTTTATCTTAACTTAGAGTAATTTTTTCTACACTGAATCAACTTGTTTTTTCTATCTGAGAGATTACTATAGGAAAAGGTTTGAAAAATGCTTCTGTCATAACAATTTCTATTTGGCAAAATATATTCCACGAAGATTGTAAATTGTTTAGTTTTCCAAATTTTACAAATGTTAGACATTTTAAATATCTGTGCATATAAAAACGAGATTTTAAAATAAAAATTTTAAATGGGTAGAAAGAGAAGAAATTAAACATTATGAAAACTGTAAATAAAAGATTGAGTCACTTTTGTATATAAGACAGGACATATAAAAGGCCACTCTGGGTCCAAACAGCGGGACAAGTGCGGGCAGAGCACAGAAGAGGCCCGTGAGTGGGCGTGGGCGTGGGCCCCGCACCTGCCCAGTCCTCCTGGAGGCGCTGCAGCGCAGGGGTCCCGAGGCCGGCACCAGGGGGCGACTGTCGCTGGCCAGGGGAGCTCTGCCCTCTAGACCTCTTGTAGGACGTGTTACCCGTGGGGGCAGGTCACCAGCGCTCTGGGCCTACCTGTTACCGCACAGGGAGACGCTCTCTGGGTGGTGGTTGCACACTTGTCTGCTATGTCCCCTCCCCCGCTCTTGGCCTGTGGAAGATCTCAGGACGTTATTTGTGGCCACGGCATGTTGTGACTCGTTCTTCGGTCTCAAAACAACATTTTTGTCACCAAAAAAGCCCAAAGATAACTACTTCATTAACGTAGAGACATTATAATTGCGTTCTACATTTTAAATGTTTCAAAATCGTAAAAACTTTCTTATAGTGTCATATGTTTTAGTATTAACAATTCATGATTTTTAGAACTCGTTTCAGTGTAATAATTTTACTTTGAAAGGTATTCCTATTTTTATTGCTTATGAAATTTAGTGTGTAAATATATAAAGTTTGCAGATGTATATTAAGAAACTGTCAATCACTACTTTTTTATTCCAAGTTTCACAAGAAGTTTGCGTAAAGAAAATGACAAAAAGGAAACAGACATACTGAACATTTTCTCAGTTGCTTCTGGCCACTTATATGAACGCTTTTTAAGGTAGGTGTATTTTTTTATCTAATGTTTTCAAAAGTAAATACATTTACTTGGTTCAGACAGAATTTTTAAAGTTCAAAAGAATACAATGTGAAACAGTGAAAACAGATTGCCTACTTTTTCCATGGGAGACCTATATTATATAATATGAATATTCACGTCCTGCCCAAGCTATGTGCAGACAAGCAAACATTTTTTTAACTTTTTTAATCCAAATAGTAAAAATGAATATATTTTTCTACATCTTGCTTTTTTTAAACCTAAAAAAATTATGAGGGAAGTATATTTTTTTAAATACAGATTTCATGAGTTCATTTGATTTAGAATACTGATGTGATTTAAGACTGCAAAATGGACATATTTTGTAACAACATTGGTAAAAAGTATATATTGTAAATTTCCTTTTTCCAATGAAGAAATGCCTGTGTTATTTTAAGAAAAAGAAAAGGAGGCAGGGCAATGAGAGGTGGAAAGCGTGTTCACAAAAGACTGTCTTTTTTAACAGTACTTTCTGTAGAAGGATCACAGAAAATGCTTCAGAAATGATTGCACATGTGTTTATATTTTAAGATGGAACTTGAGAGGTATCTGTATCTTCTCCAGTCAGAAGCCTAGAATAGCAAAGCAAGTGCCCCATCCAGTGACTTGATCAATATAGAAAGATCATTCAGTGCTTCCTGTTTTTCACACCTGACATTAATGACACAGTAGAAGAGCCAATATTAGACTGCAGTTCAGCTCATCAAGACTATTTCAGACCAGCTTCCATTTCTTTGTCAGCTGGAGCAAACAATAGCAACCAGTTTAGTCTATGTTCAAGTACATCTGTATACAGATCCTTCTTGTCTTATGAGGGGGTTACACCCCAATAAACCCAGTAAGTTGAAAATAGTCACCCAAAACTGCATTTAATACACCTAACTTGCTGGACATCGTAGCTTAGCCTTGTGTACCTTCGGTGTGCTCCGAACACTCACACTAGCCTACATGCAGTTAGACAAAACCATGTCATGCCATTGCCAGCTCCCTGAGAGAGTATCAAACCACATGTCGCTAGCTCAAGGGAAGATCAGAATTCAAAATCTGGAGAACAGTTTCTGCTGAATGTGTATCACTTTCGAACATCATAAAGTTGAAAATTCCTAAGTCGAAGCATCATAGGTCAGGAGCCCTCCATAAATGTATATTCTTGTACATCACATGCTTGATGAGCAGCCATAATATTTCAAGGTCTATTTCTTTATTATATACAGTGCAAAACTTCTAATACCTTTAAATATTTAAAAGCCTTCTGGAAATTACAGTGAACTATTAATGTTAACTTAGTGGATTTAATGTTTTTATACAGAATTATGATGCTTTCTGTCTTACGTAATACTAAAACACCAGTGAAGTTCTGGTTCCTAAAAAACTACCTCTCACCGACATTTAAAGTAAGTACATTAATCTTTTTATTAGAGAGTGGTTAATATTTGAATAGTAAATTCTTTGTCATTGTAAGTTCATATGACTTTTCAGAATGAGACTTGAAATGTATATTTGCTTGTTGCTATTGTTTTTAATTATATTTTTTTAATCCTCATTCTAGTACATGCTTATTGATTTTAGACAGAGGGGGAGGGAGGGGAAGAGGAAGGAGAGAAACATCAATACTAGAGAGAAACATTCATCAGTCGCCTCCTGTGCGCACCCAGACCAGGGCCAGGGACCAAACCCGCAACCTAGGCATGTGCCCTGAGCAGGAGTCCAGCCTGCAACCTTTCGGTTTACAGGACAGTGCTTCAACCAGTGGAGCCACGCCAGTCAGGGCAAATTAGTATTTTTAATCAAGCTTAACAAAATCTAGCTTAACAAAATTTCTATGCCATTTTTATTTAAAGTGTTTAGAAGGACAACAGAAGATGACTTATTGTTAAGTAAACTCAAAATTAGAAGGGTGAGTCATTTTTCATGATAGTAAATATGTGCAGGTTGTCAATAAGAAGAATTAGATTCTTTTTACAAAGATAGGCAGGAGCAGTAGTATCAAGAAAACACGAACACTGTACCATGGGAAACAGTATGATGTGCAAGGATAAAGCAGCCCTTTCATCCCTGTGCATAGATTGCTGTGGCAGTACGAACACCGTATTGAGAAGTCTGAGGCATTTTCTATTTAGGGGTTTTCAGATGGCCAACATCTGTTACCCTTCACTCACCCCGACAGTTCTGCCGCAGAGTCCGCCCTGTTCTTCCTATTCTCACTGCAGAGTAATCAGATTCCATGAAAGTTAGGGTCCCATTTAGCAACAGTTCAAAGAAGTCCTCTTTTTCTAGCCCAAAACCAGTGGTAACAGCAGAAATAAAAATAGCCAACCACATTTTCATTCCTTAATATTGCCTGGCATATTGCTAACTATGTACAGTACTCATGTGCGGTTCACGAAGTCCTGTCAGGGGAAAACCACGGCTCAGCACTCACAGAACTGGCCTGCACAGTCAGGGGTGTCTGAGAGCAGCCCTCTGTCCCGTAAGCCACTATCCGGACTCTCAGAACCCAGAAGAGCGGTTCCAGTCACAGGTTCCGTTTATTGTGGCAAAAGGACCCAGAGCAAAATCAGCAAAGCAAAGAGCTGCACAGGACAAGATCCACAGGAGGCCAGACCCGGAGCTCCTGGGTGTCGTCTCCCAGTGGAGTCACATGGACAGAGCTGACTTCTCCCAGCGAAAGCGTGTGACAGTACCTGTGGAGAATTGCCACTAGCAGCTCACTCAGACTTCGGTTTTTAGTTTTTATTGGGGTTGGCCACGGAGTCCCAGCTGAGGGGCCCTCTGGCTGACCTCAGCAGCCAGCTCCCCTGGAGGCCGAGCTGACACCTGGTGGCCTATGGTCCTCACCAGGAATCACATCTTTGGAGAGACAGTTTGTCATGGACAAAGGGGTCCTGGGAAATAAAGGCATTCTTATTAGGCGGAACATTCCAAGGGCAGAAGTTACCTCCCAGGAGACAGGGACAAAGGGCCCAAGTTTTCTTTTAAGCAAGACGTGTCCCTTATGGAACCGACCCGCGATGGAACAGCTAGCCAGGGACCTAGCCGAGACCTGAACTGGAGCGTTCGGGCTGCCAGGCCCAGGTGCTGAGCCCTCATGTCGCCGCCACCTGCCCCCACCACCGCCTGGTGCTGCCTCCCACAAAAGGGCCATGAATGTAACCCGCGGTCGTGCCAGCTGTTGACTGAATTTTTAACATGTGACTCTATAAGGCAGATGGGGGTTTAATGCTACATAAACTGCGATGATACTACAGTCTCTTAGGAGGGACGACACTCGCTGGAAATACAGCACTGCATCTGGCTGTCTTGTTTCACTTTGTGGTCAAAGTTAATACCACATCTGAAGTAATGTTTTCCTTTTTGTTTTGTAATTTGACGGCTTTCCCTCAAAATTTTTATCTTTGACAACTCTTCAGTGAATTATCATGTGTACAAACCATAAGGATGCCGCTGTGATGAATTTTTACATCCTTAGAACACCTGCACCCTGGTCTCTCTGTCCAGCAGCCAGATGCGGGAACAGAAATCACCAGTGCCCTGGGCCCTTTCCCTTCAATTTAACAAAAAAATTCCTCTTTTCCTTTAAATCTTTGCTAAATTATGTCTACCTAGGAGACAGTCTTTTCATGACCACACTATGTAAAATTACAATCCCTTTTCATCTGTCACTATTTCCCTTCTCTTTTAATTTTTTTCCATAACACTATCGTCTATAGGTAAATTATTAATTCCATTCATTTTCTACTTACTACCTCTAAAATGAAAGTTGGTGAGAGCTGCTGTTTGTATCCGTGTTGTTCACTGCTCTATCCAGTGGCCTAGAATGGTGCCTCGTGTATGATGCATGTTCAGTGGATATTTTTAAATACATATTTGCTGAATTAAAAAAGCTTTTTTAAATTACTTCTGATGTTTTCTAAAATTTTGAAACCAAAGTAATGATTCCCAGACACTGGTCTAGCCATAATTTCAACATTTCAGTTCACTGATGCCTACAGTAAGGAATACAATTTAACCCTACATTGCTCTTAGAAAAGCGGGGAGAAAATTAAACTAAGCATATCATCAAATACTGGCCACAGATGAGAACTGAGGAGATGCATGCACATTTTAGGTTTGCTCGCACATCTTTCCCGACTCCTTCATCATCCTCCCTCTCCATTTTAAGACTTAAGTCTTAAAGCAAACTTAACCAACACCATAATTCATTAACTGCTCTGGTTTAAATAGAATAAGATACTCTAAGCATGTAAGACACTAAATCAAATATATAATATTCAGATAACTACCACAGTAACTACCTTGTATTTATAATCATTAAATTAATCATAAATCTCAAACATGCATGAAACTCACACAGAGTCTAATTTATCAATTTATAACCCATTGTATGTTTTCGTACATCCTTTGTGTCTCTGATGGACAGACATGTTGGCATACACACAGTGCGGCAAAAGTAGGTTCACAGTTGTGAGTATCCTACACGCAGTTTATTCTTGTATTGTTTGTTAACTATCCTACTATCTTCCATACGAGCAGCTGTATGCCTGCCTTTGCTGCACCGTGTATATAAACTGAGGCACAGGTGTTCCAAGATCCCGAGGTGTTTCCCTTCTGTGTATAGTCAGGTGTTCTCAGGTCTGTCGTTAACTGGGAAAATACAGGAACATTTATTTTAATTAATAAGCTTGCTAATTGATATAATGTGCCTATTTTTAATGTCATTTAATATAGTTTTACATATGCTTGTCTATTTGCCAATGTTTTCATATTTCTCGTTAATAGGTATAGGTTGTAGAAGTAGAATTTAGACATTTACCAACTTGTTTGTAACAATTTTATAGTGAACTCTACCTTTTAATATGATTTTTTTTTCTCTAAAACAAAAACTGCGTTTTCTTCCTTGAACACACTCTTTGATTTGTGCATGTGTATTTTTAGGAGGTGATCCCTCACATGGCTCAGGCATATGGGTTCCAGTATGAACTGGTCCAATATAAGTGGCCCCGCTGGCTTCATCGACAGACGGAAAAGCAAAGGGTTATTTGGGGTTACAAAATTCTGTTTCTTGATGTCCTTTTTCCTCTGGCAGTGGACAAAATCATTTTTGTTGATGCCGACCAGGTAATAAGATTAACCATTGTTTTTATTAGTACATAAATTTTTTTTATACTTCTGAGTGTAGGGACTCTATTTATGTTGCTGGTATTTATTATCATCTTTGTTGCCTTGCTGCATACACATTTGAGACATGATTGTGATATAAAAGCAAAGCATCTTTTTAAAAAACTATCAGGATTCCAGGGGAAAATTAAACATTTTGCAAGAAGTGGCATTTGTTATTTAGGACACAGCAGTTTTCTCTCTGAAGTAGTTTCATTTTCTTAATTTTAATTAAAAATAAAAATATTAATATTAACCATAATAAGAGTTATAGGATGTCCTGTGAATAGGAGCTGATACTTGTATAAAATGAGCTGTTCTTGCTGGAGAAGTTAGCAGTTGCACACAACTTTCTTCTCTTCCACCTTCAGCAGCATTCTCTGGCGTTTAGTCAAAAACCACATCATCATTATTCTATAACAGGGAAAAAGTGTCCCAGATTTGGCCCAAAAACCATTATGGTTCTCAGCTTGCAAAATGTATATATTTAGAAATTGTGATGACTTTTCCCCTTTTCTCCTTGCAAACCTTTGTAATCATTAATGGCAAAAAAAAAAGTGTTTTCTTAAATACACAAATTTCTAAAAAAAAAAGGGTAATATGTAAATATCGATGTTATATAAATTAAATGCACAGTTAGTATTTATATTTAAGACAAAAGTATACTTTCAAATTCTGTATTAGAGTTTGCTTATATTGTAAACTTTTTGTATTTTTCAAATTGATAAATGTGAATCATTATCATAAAAAACTAAGAAAGCAGGCAAATGTAGGTGGCGAACTAAGCATTTCCAAACATATGAACAAAATTGATTTCTCCTACTTACCCACAATATACACAGTAAGACTTTTCCAGCAGGCTAGAGTCTATTAAAAAATGAAACTTAACATTATTGCAATAAAGCCATTGAAGATAATCAGATTTTTCTTTAGGATTCAAACTAATATTTGCCAACATACAATAATAGAGATGTGTCATAAACGACTTCGAGTTATTGATCCTTACCTTAAGAAACTTAGAGCTGTGCTCTTGTCTTAGTTCCTTCTCAAAATACGTTTTGTTTAAAATATTCCATATATTGATGAAAATGATGTCAAAAACTATTCTTATTAATGAGAGTAAGACCCATCATGCAGACTAGGTATATTTTAGGCTTCTTTTCACCTGTGAGAACAAGAGAAAGAAATAGAGACTTAGTAACCGCCCCCCCCCCCCACGAGCTGGGAGAGCTTAGAAGGAAGCGCGCGCACTGTGCCTTTGCAGTAGGGTGGGGTTTGGAGATTCACGTAAAAGGGGCCTGCGTTATTTTGTAGCCTTCATCAGAGAAACTGTGTTAATCATGTAGATCGTGAGGCATGACCTGAAGGAGCTGCGGGACTTCGACCTGGACGGAGCCCCTTATGGGTACACCCCGTTCTGTGATAGCCGCACTGACATGGACGGGTATCGCTTCTGGAAGAAGGGATATTGGGCATCACATCTTTTAAGAAGGAAATACCATATCAGGTAAAAAGCTGTGCATGCTTACCTTTTAGTAAATAACCAACTTACTGAGTCACCGATACTCAGTTCTCTTAGAAATTATACCGTAATGGCAGCCAGTTACATAGTTCTGGGACATGCCAGTCACTCTAGTTAGATTTTACATATATTAATTCATACAACCTCTGTGATAACCTTTGAGATGCTGTTACTCCCTGTTCTATGGATGTGGAAACAGAGGCATATAGCACTTACGTAGCATGCCCGGCTTACGTAACTAAACCAAGTTCAACCCAAGTGTTGTGTCACAAGCAATATGCTCCTAATTACATGGAAGGTTTAAACTTGGTTGGTGAAATAACAAGATGAAGACACTGTCTTCAAATGTCTTACTGTTTTGTAGGGCCATGAGTTCCATGAGATCTTGGGAAAATTTGAAGGGACTCTAAAAGGACATGTGTACCAACAGTATATAACAAACTTTAAACCCCTTAGAAACGGTATCAGACACTGGGAGCAAACGTATGAAAGGATTCATTATTATTAGCCCCATGGATCTCTAAAGTGGCTGTCATTATCGTAGACAAACACTGGGGGCAAGTAAAAATCTGTCAATAATGTAAGCTACCAAGGAGTACTCACTTTTGCAGTGCTTTATACGTAGTGGATCTCAAGAGGTTCCGGAGAATCGCTGCAGGGGACAGGCTCCGGGGCCAGTACCAGGCCCTCAGTCAGGACCCAGGAAGCCTCTCAAACCTGGATCAGGTGAGTAAAATGGTCACAGAATGATCTTCAGTCTACAGTTAGAGACCACTCCAGCTCTCTGCTTGTAAACTTCAAATTTTTGTATTTTCAACCTCTTCTATTTATAGAATTCTCTATTGGATATCTAGACCTGCATATAATTTTTTAACTTCAAGCTCAACATTTTAAAAACTAATAGTATTTTATCATCACTTTTCCATCCTAAAACCTCTTCTCCTCACTATATGCCCTGCATCATGTACCCTAGCCTTCTCTTGTTGCCATTGTCATTTAAACATCTCTCTCCAATCCTTACAGCAAACTGACTCCTGTGCTCCATCCAGCCGCTGCCTGGCATCCCTCTTAACCGATAGACAGTTTTTCTTATATCCCCCTAATTAAAACTACAGTGAGTAATTCTACGCACCCATCCATCAGAGCTATTAACATTAAAAAGGCTACACCAAGTGCATACAGGGATGCTCAGTGGCTAGAACTTGCATACGTTGCTGATGAGGATGTAAAATGGTACAGCCATTTTGGAAAATAGTTTGGTGATTGCTTATAAATTTATATTTACACCTACCATGTGACAAGTTTTTCCACTTCAAGGCATTTACCCAAGAGAAATAAAAACATGTCTACACAAAGACTTGTGCATGGATAGACACATATATAATTGTTTGACAGCATGAACATCCCCCTTAAGATTCATGTTCATGAGGTTAAAATGAAAGTAGTTAGCATGGTGTGTGTGTGTGTGTGTGTGTGTGTGTGTGTGTGTGTGTGTGTGTGAGAGAGAGAGACAGAGACAGAGACAGAGACAGAGACAGAGAGACAAGGCATGTTTAGTTGCTTGGGTGAGTGCAGAGGTTTGGATTTAGCCAGGACTGTAGTTTTGCCAAGTGGGTACAACGAAGTGAGACAACTGTAAGACGGCTGAGAGCATATTGAAGGGATGAGCTGTCCTGATTAACCGTGGAAGTTAAGCTACGTAAAGAAGGGAGCACAGACATGGAGGGGTGAGGGACAGTGAGATAGTGGTAGGATCAGCCGGCTGCAGGTTCGAATGGCGGTCAAAGGATAGTGCTTGCTATCTGAGACCCAGAGGGAGGGAGCTGGAAACCAAGAGGTGGTCAGGGTGGGATCGTGCATTTGAAACTACAGAGGACTTGACTGGGACATGACCACAGGAGAAAGTGGCTGAGATGAGGTGACAGAGCAGGTTATTTAAGGGATGGATTCCAAGGAAAAGGGTTTTGGAAGGAATAGTGAAGCTTTTTTTATTATTTAACAGACTTTCATTTTTTACAGCAGTGTTAGGTTTAAAGAAAAAAATTGAGCAATAAGTACATAGAATTCCCATATTTATGGGCTCTTCGTTCTGTCCCATTGGTCTGTTTGTCTGTTCTTTTGCCAGTACCACATTTTCTTAATTACTATAGATTTTTATATCAACAGTGCAAGTTCAGTAATATAAGCCATCTGACTGTTGTTCTTTAATATTGTGCTGGCTATTCTGGATTTTTTTTTTTTTTTTGGTCTTTCTATATAAATTTGAAAATCAGTTGGTCAATATCCACGAAATAATTTGCTGGGACTTTTGTTATGATTTCATTGAATCTGTAGATCTACTTGGGAAGAATTGATATGTGATCAATACCGAGTCTTCCTGTTCATGAACAGGGACTACCTCTCTGTTTATTCAGATCTTCCCAGATTGCATTCATCACAATTTTGTAGTTTTCTTTTTTTAATTTTTTAAAAAATATTTATTTATTCTCAGAGAGGGGGGAAGGGAGGGAGAAAGAGAGGGAGAAAAACATCAACCTGAGGTTGCCTATTGCATGCCCCCAACTGGGGACCTGGCCCACAACCCAGGCATGTGCCCTGACTGGGAAATGAACCAGCAACCCTTTGGTTTGCAGGCCAGTATTCAATCCACTGAGCCATACCAGCCAGGGCAACAATTATGTAGTTTTATTTCTTCATGTAGAGGAGCATATTTTGTTAGATTTTTACCTAGGTTGGTTGGTTATAAATGGAAAGGTATTGTGCTTTTAATTTTAAACTCCAATTGTTCATTGCTGGTATATAGCAATTGACTTCTGTAGTTTAACCTTGTACCCTCAAACCTTGCTGTAATTACTTAGTCCCAGAAATATTTTTTTATTGATCGTTGGGACTTTCTGCATAAACAGTCCTGTCATCTATGAACAAAGAGTTTTTATTGCTTCCTTTCCAATTCATATAACTTTTATTTCCTTTTCTTGTCTTGTTGCATTAGCTAGTATTTCCAGTATTGATGTTTTAATAGGAGTTTTGAGAGAAGAACCTTCAAATTATTAATCCTGACACTTAGATGGCACAGCTAACACGGGCACCCCTTGTGCCCTCTTGGTGCAGGAGGAAGCATGCCGTTTGCTCTGGAATGTAAACCAGCATCCCCTGGAGAGAGGAAGGGGAGGGCCTTATGCCCCCTGGCCTGTGAGCAGTGATTTCTGGGAAAGGGTCTCTGAACCTCTCCAGAGGTCACTGTTTAATTTACTGGGCTCATTTGCCATTTAAACATCCTTTAACTCAGATGCCAGCAGTCTTTGCTTAGAAAGCCCCGAACATGCAGAAATATGCAGATGTTCATGGCAGTGTTTTCTAACGGGAATGAAAGGTCACCTCCAAGTCTGGAGAATGTGTTGGTGACAGACACACATACTAACAACAGGCAGTGTGAGCAGTGAACCCCGGGCTTTAAGGCAGGTAGAGGAGTCTGGTAGAGGAATGCAAAGTGGTGGTTTTCTAGACCCCCTCCTTCTGCCCTGATGCTATAGGTCAAGTCCAGGGCAAGTGTGGACTTAGTTCTAGTGCTTGGGTTCATCATGACACAAGATGTTGGGGTCAAGTATTTTGCAAACTCAACACCAAAAAAAAACCAACCCAATTAAAAAATGGGCAAAGAACCTGAATAGACACTTCTCCAAAGAGGACATATAGATGGTCAATAGGCACGTGAAAAGATGCTCAACATCACTAATCATTAGAGAGATGCAAATTAAAACCACAATGAGATATCTCTTCACATCTGTCAGAATGACTATCATCCATAAATCAGCAAACAACAAGTGCAGGCAAGGATGTGGAGAAAGGGAAGCCCTAGAGCACTGTTGGTGGGGGTGCAGACTCATGCAGCCACTGTGGGAAGCAGTATGGAGACAGCTCAAAAAACTAAAAGTGGATCTGCCTTTTGACCCAGTGATCCCACTTCTGGAAATTTATCCGAAGGAACCCAAAACGCTTAATTTGAAAGAACATAAGTACCTCCCTATGGTCACTGAAGCATTATTTACAATCGCCAAAATATGGAAGTGGCCCACGTGGCCGTCAGTAAATGAGTGGATAAAACAGCTATGAACATTTACACAATGGAATACTAATCAGCCGTAAAAAAAGAAAATTTTACCCTTTGCAACAATATGGATGGGCCTGGAGAACATTGTGCTAAGTGAAATAAGCCAGTCAGAGGAAGACAAATACCATATGATTTCACTCGTGTGTGGAAACTAACGAACTGAACTAACAAGCAAAATAGCAAGAGACTTATACATGCAGAGTAGGCTGAGAGCTAGTGGGGTGGGGAAGGTTAGGGGGTGCGGGGACTGAGAAAAAGGACTCATGGACCTGGACAGCAGTGTGGTGATTGCGGGGGCAGGTAAGGGGACTAAATGGTAATTGAAAAAGTACAATAAAAAAATTTTAAAGTGTTTAAAGCTTAAATATACATGTCTCAGGTTTGCATGTTTCTTAGAATCTATTTATAATCTAGACATCTTCAACTTCTTTTGCTCTGACTCTCATCTCTCTGCCTCTTTGTTTAAATCATTGTTTTCTGTAGGATCTTCCCAATAATATGATTTACCAAGTTGCCATCAAGTCCCTTCCTCAGGACTGGCTGTGGTGCGAGACCTGGTGTGACGACGAATCCAAGCAGAGAGCCAAGACCATTGACCTGGTAAGGCCCCTGGGGGTTCTCCTCTGCATAGGCGGACGTGAAAATGCCCAGTAGAAATCTTTGACGGTTAATGAATGGGGCGGCGCACACCGGGCGCCCTGCTGCTCAGTCTGCAGCCACTGTTGTATTTGCTGAGGGTGGCGCGTGCAGGGCTCTGTCCGGGCATCCCTGCGTCCACCCCCAGGTTGACGATCCGCCGGGGGATTCACAGGACTGAGACTAGAGTCATACTCGTGGCTGTGATTTATTGCAGTGAAAGGATACAACGCAAAGGCAGCAAAGGCGAAGGGTGCACAGTAAAATCCAGAGGCAACCAGGTGTGGGTGTGCAGGAGCCCCCACCTGTGAAGTTAATCAGGACGGGCTGACTTCCCCAGGCTGTAAAGTTCTCATGACACACATGACATGTCTGCCAGGGAAGCTGTTAGCACCCCGACGCCCAGGGTTCTTGCTGGGGCCTGCTCACATGACACCCTGTCTAACTCGCACACACCAGAATCCCCAGCATCCGCAAGGAAGGTAGGCACTCAGCATAAACCATATCGTTTATGCACAGCAGACACGGGGAGCCATTCTCGTCAGGGGCTGGGGGGAACACTCCTGACGTACTTGTGCCCAGACGCCCGCCGGGGCCGCCTCGTGAGCAGGCCCTTCCAAGGCCAGCAGGCCCGGCCTTGCCGTGGAAGCCCTTTCCTGCGCAAGGGCTCTTGGAAGAAAGGCCGAGAGCTGGCTGCCATGTCTGTGAGTTAGCTGCCATTCTGACATATCACCAGTTCAATTCTGCCCGTATTTCCCCCAAATAAAGATAATCAAAATAATTATCTCTACTCACACTATTCTATACATGTCTGTTCCTTATTTTTGAAAAGTGTTTTTATTAGTTTCATTTTAAGCAGTTTATGCTACACAGTTTAACTCTCCTAGACATGAAATATTTCAAAAATATTTGTCTGGAATTCACATTAGAATACTATATTGTCTTTAACAGTTACAAGATATTATCGATCTATTTCTGACTGTATTGTTTTTATGTGCTAATTGCAGTGTAAAATAATTGTGTACAAGATCTTCACTGAAGAATAAGCTGTTTAAATACTAGAATCCATACAGTTTTAAACAAAATAAGACAGAACAATAAAATATAGGGGTGTTTTTCCAGCTATGTATAGAAATGTGTAGAAAAAAGTAGCATGCCAGCATGTTAGAATGCAATTGTGGATGATAAAAGGTAGAAAAACAAGTAAGATGGCATTATTAAGAGAGAAGCAAGGGAATTTTCTTTGTATTAAATCTATTGAGGTGACATTGGTTAGCAAAACTATACGGGGTTCAAGTGTACAACTCAAGACAAACACCGCATCCGCACACAGCATTGTGCGCCCATCTCCCAAAGCCAAGCCTCTCTCCGTCTCCGTGTGCCCCCCTTTAGTCTCCTCCACTCCCCCCAGCCCCCACCCCCCGTGCTTTGTGGCCGTCACCACCCTTGCCTGGGTCTGCGTGTGTGAGACAGACAGGCAGGTAGGTAGGTAGATGATTGATAGATAGATGGGTAATCTTAATCCCTTCACCTTTCTTTTTACCCAGTGCTTCCCCCCACCCCCGCCAAACGCCCCCATCCACCCCGATCCACCCCGACAGCTACCAGTCTGTTTTGTATCTGTGAGTCCGTTTCTGTTTTGTTTGTTAAATTATTTTGTTCATTAGATTCCACATGTAAGTGAGATCATATGGTATTTGTCTTTCTCTGACTGGCTTATTTCACTAAGCACATTGCTCTCTAGGTCCACCCATGCTGTCGCAGAGGGTAAGAGTTCCTCCTTTTTTATGGCGGAGCAGCATTCCATTGTGTAGATGACCCTTAGTTGTTTCATCCACTCATCTACTGGTGGACACTTGGGCGGCTTCCAGATCTTGGCGATTGTAAATAAGGCTGCTGTGAACACGGGGGTGTATATATTCTTTCGAATTGGTGTTTTGGGTTTAGAAGCAAGGTAACTCTCTAAAGAGAGATCAAGAACATGACTGAACACAGCTAAGAAGTTGTTTGAGGTTGTGTTGTAACATAAAACGTTGTGACTCATACCTGGGGTCTTTAGGAGAACTCGGGGTTAATCTGAGCTGCTGTACCAAACCCCCCAACTTCAGTGGTTTCACGCTCACGCAGGCAGATCCGAGTGAGCGCCCTGTCAGTGCATGAGCCCCGCTGTGTCTCATAACTCGGGGGCCAGTCTGCATCCAGCCTGTGGCTTGCTCATCCTCTGGGCCCTGTCGTCGCGTGTCCATCTGTCAGTACGGCAGTCATGGGTCACATGTGGCCACCGGGCACGTGCGTGTTGCTAGTCTGAAGCGAGAGGTGCTGCAAAATGTAAAATACACAGATTTGGAAGGCTCAGTGCAATAACAAAATGTAAAAATATCTCATTAGTAATTGTTATATGGATTACATGTTGACTGTTAACATTTTGGACATACTGGGTTAAATAAAATGCGGTATTAACATTTATTTCACTAGTTCCTTTTACGTTTTTACATGCAGCTACTAGAAAAGTTTAAATTACACATGCAGTTTACATGCTATCCCAGTTGAGAAGCGTGGCCTGGAGTGAAGGAGAAGGGGCCGCGGCGAGTGCACCCTGACTCCGGAGGCCCTGGCCTCTGGGTGGGACTGGGTCGTGTGGCCCCAGCAGATGCGGGACTGGGAAGTGTCATTCCTGGGTGGGCAGTGACTTCCTAGCGAGAGGTCTGCATAGGAGAAGGATGGGTGGCATCAACTGGGGTGGACAGCCTGGCCACCTCTTCCACAGAAACACATGGACAATGAGAGAAACTGCCACTGAGATAGCTTCTTGGGGGAAGGCAGGGAAGGCAGAAAAATCCCAGGGAAACGGCTCAGGGGAAGGAAAAAGCATGACTAATGGTATTGAAGGTGAGACCCTGTTTCAATAAGGATTTCTCAATCTGGCCGTTACTGACACTTGGGACCACGCAGTCCTGTGTGTGGCGCCTCCCTGGCCTCTGACCACTAGGTGGCAGTAGCACCCCACCACCCCCGGTATTGACAGCCGGCAATGTCTCCAGACCTGGCTGAAGTTCCCGCGCGGGGCCTGGCAGCCCATTTAGGCAACACGGATATAGATGTAGGGGGAAAAATATTACAGCACACACAAAAACTAAGGAAAACATAGTAGTTTTATTTTAATCATTTCTGACACAAAAAGAGGGAAAATAGGTCCATTACCTTCACTTTATAAAAACATATTGCCTATAAAGTTAATACCTGCAAAGAAAACCCTATTTTCCACTACTTCTGGAATATATTAATGTAGGAAAAAAGTCCACAAGGGAACAAACTGAAAAGATCTGGTGAGGGAAGTATGAAGACAAGAGGCTCTGGCTCAGAATGAATAGCTCTCCCATAAGGCATGGGGGGGCCACGTCAAATTTCCGCAGCGACCACAGAAAAACGTCACGTAGAAGTAGAAGTGAGCTTCAGGGTGCGTTTTCGTTAATGCTGCGTGAGGAGGGAGCGACGGGCGGCGTGACTTCATGAGGCTTGTGCTCCTGTGTCAGTCAGGGGCGTCCCCGCTCTTCACTTGCCCCACTGGAGGCGCCAGGCCCCTCTCAGACCCTCAGCCGTCTCCCAGACTTTCTGCCTTTGGAATTTTATTTAATTTCCCAAGAAACTCTGTAGTAGGGCCAATTGCAAAGTAGTTTAAATGGATCGTATACTAGTGGAGTTGTGGGGATGGTCTTGTTTTAATGTCCTCCCTTGTAGAGAAGAAACTAAGGTCCCACCCCCTCCCCCCACAACACAGACACACGGTTACGTGACGTGTTCTGGTCTTACTCCACCAGTCAGTTTGAGCCATGACGACGGGGACGTATAACTGTGCGAATGTCACAGCCTTTAGTATAGTGACAAACGAGTTCCAGTCAGCTGATTTTTAATATAATCACAATTGCTAATTAGAACTGAAGCATGTGTAAGGAGAATGAAGGCTTTTGCTAAAGAAACTAAAGACATTTCTAAAGGCTGACAACTGATTTTGTCTGTGGGAAATGTAAAGCATATTAAACCAGATTTTCAGTCCCAACGTAAGGCAAGAAAATATTTATTAATATAGTCTGCTATGTTCTTGGTCCAAATGGGCACATATTTAGATCTCTTGTTAAAACATTTTACAGACACATTTGAGAGACTTCTTAGGAACCACAAGAAGGTCTTTAAACAGTTTTTGTTTAAATTTCTGATGAAGGTATTTGTGTTGAATATTTATTGCTTACAAAAACTACAATTTATCATTGCACCTGATCCTGTCTCTGTTGAACTAATTTCAGCATTTCAGGCACTTAGGACTCTGCTTTTTATAAAATGTATTTCTTTGCTCTAGTGACCCAGCAGCGTCCTCAAGTATCTCCTCTGTGTTTCTGGAGTGGGTTTTTTATTAACAAAACTTTATTTAAACTTTTAGTGCAATAATCCCAAAACAAAAGAACCCAAACTAAAAGCTGCTGCCAGGATTGTCCCAGAATGGGTGGAATATGACAGAGAGATCCGGCAACTGTTGGACCACCTGGAAAACAAGAAGAAAAATGCAAGTAAGTCCTTGTTCTGCCATGGTGGGTGACGCTCACATTGCATTAAATGAAATCAGAGTCAGTTGCAAACTGATTTCTTATTGAGGCTGTCCAATAATTAGGTTAGAATTTCTCTAGGAAAGTCTATGACGTTAAGAATATTTTCTGCATTTATTGAGATGATCATATGATCTTTATCCTTATTTTCTTAATGTGGTGTACTGTATTTTGCAGATGTTGAACCATCCTTGCCTCCCTGGAATAAGTCCCACTTGATCATTGTGATCCTTTCAGTGTAGTGTTGAATTTCATTTGCTGATACCTTGTTGAGGATTTTTACATCTATGTTCATCAGGGATATTGGCCTATAATTTACTTTTCTGATGGCATTATTGTCCAGTTTTGGTATCAGCGTAATGCTGACCTTGTAAAGTCTGTTTGGAAGTATTCCTTTCTCTTTCTGTTTTTGGTAGTGTGTGAAAGGATTGGTATTAATTCTTATTTAAAATATTTGGTAGAATGCACCAGTGAAGCCATCTGTTCCTGGGCTTTGCTTTGTTGGGAGGTTTTTATTACTGATTCAGTCCCCTCACTAGTTAGTAATTGGTCTGTTCTGGTTTTTGCTTTCTTCCAGATTCAATATTGGTAAGTTGTGTGTCTCTGGGAATGCGTCCTTTCTTTCAGGTTGTCTGGTTTTTGGCATATAGGCATTCATAGCAGTCTCTCATGGTCCTTTGTTTTTCTGTGGTGATACCATCTTTTTATATCCCCTTATCTCCCTTCTGTGTCCTGGGAAAATTTTCCTTTATCTTCTACCCTTCTACTCGTCTTTATTTTTGAGAGGGGCACATACGTCTCAACTTCCAACAGACCTTTCTTTCTTTGAGGTTCAGTTTGTTCTTGTTTTATGGCCTCACTGACTTTTCAGAAATCGCAGGAAAATATGAATTAGAGTCATTGTAAGTATCTCTTTGGTTTTCTCGGTTATCTTTCCGTTGGGCAGGTGGTTCTGCGTGGTCATCTTGGTCCTTGTTTCTTTTGCTTCTGGTCTTCCTCAGATATTTACGCATTTAAGAATGGCAGGGTAGGTGGGCCGGCACGGACAGCTGGTGCAGGTCCCCAGCTGTAAGCACGCCTGTTTCTCCAGGAGGCCTCCTCCCTGAACAGGGTGGTTAGTTGACGGCTCCAGGCACGTCGTCGGCAGGCTGGCCAAGGGCTCACAGGCTCCCATCTTGGGGGGCGGGGGGGTGTGGAAATTGGAGCGAAGCTTGTCCCACACAGCTCCCTCCCCAAAGGCCAGATGAGGGCATTTTCCTCAAGAGCATCGCTCCCCATTCAAAAACGTCTACATGTCTGTCTACCTGCCTCTCTGTTCCCCCGTCTTCCCGCCCCAGTAGATTTTTCCATTTATTTTCAAGAATAGTCTCCTACTTTTTCTCTTGGGACAGACAGATTGTCAGATCTCTGCTGGCAAGCAGAAGAACGGGAGGAGGAGGGGATGGGCCCAGGTTTTCAAATCCAGGCCTCAGGTCGCTGCCTCTCCATCCCACTCACCCGACCCGTGTTGTCTGTTGGGCTCCCCGCTCCCCCAGCTGCCCATTACCCCCCGCCCTCCGCAGGAACATCTGCACAGCTCAGCTCTGCGTCCTTGTCTTCAGCTGCAGTTTCTCTTTTCCATTTTTAGAAATTCATTGACAACTCTGCTCCAGTGATGTATCGTAGCCCCTCACCATTCTCACTGTTATTTCCTTCTGTATTTCTGCATTTCTGTGTTGTCTTTAAATGGGAATTTAGTGAAGAGAGAAACATCGTCTGCCATCTTGAATTGTGATACAGGATGCATTGGTTTATTTTCATTAATTTTTACCTGCAAAATATTTTGAATTCTCAGTGTTCTTCAATCAATAGCATGTGACAAATTAATAATGCAGGAGGAAAAGAAGCCATTTTTTTCTCTGAAGATTGTTCACTATTATTGAATCTCCCATTTGTTTACTGTAACTCTGTCCGTGTTTGAGTGATCCCTCTTCCACCATGGATCACCATGGGTCTGCCGCTCTTTGTTGTTCCATCACACTCACGGTAGGGTGCTTTGTGCATGGTGAGTGCTCTATTAGCGTTTTTCAAGGCCTTCGTTGCCAGGCAGGGTGCTAGGTCCTAGAGGTAACAAAAATAAATAAGGTGTGGTCCTTGTCCTCATAGGCTCATGGGAGCCCACCGCTCGGAGGGCACAAAGGTGAGCCGTTCGCTGTGGCACAGTGAGGCGCCCTAATGTATAGAGGCTGTTCTCACGTCACGTGAAAAGCAAGTTGGTACCACACTAACAAAAGGATCCTCAGTCAGCACCTGTGCCTTTTCTATATCCCATACATGAGTGAGGTTTAAGCTCTTTGGACATTTACGGTTTCAAGAACTAAATAAACTTTCCTCCCCTACAGTTTTGGCACATGATGAACTCTAGCATTGGCTTTTATGAGAAAGAAGATAAACGTATGACAAGAAATCTGCCACCTGCTGGGAAAGTGTGGAACTACTGCTAAGACTTCTGGAAGTTTCATTAAAGATCAGTGACATATTCTTCAATTTTAAAAATATTATTTAAAAAATACATGTACTTAATGTATTAAGTTATACAAGAATGACCGTTGAGTATTTAAAACTAGATGATTCCTTTCTCCTGATTGCTTAACACACTGTGTTTTCCCAAGTTAAAGTGATATTCTGCCAGGTAACCCAGTAAAAACCGTATCTGACTCATGGGGTTTACCAAACTGTACATCCTTGCATATTCCAGCTCTGTATGCACTTATGTTTTCTTACTTACGAAGTGCATTTAAAATTAGAGAAACATATTTTTTCTTTTAAAAAAGGAAAAGGACTCATGGTTATCTCTGAATAATAAAAAAATTAAGCCCATTTATATCTTAATTGTTGTAAATGGAAGGTACTATAATCTTATAATGTTATTTTATCTTACTGTTGCACTATAATGTTATTTTATCTTAAGTCATATGATGTTTTAATCTTATGCTGTTTGTATTTTTTTAATATTTCTAATTTCTATTTCATAAAATGATATTTGTGGGCTTATGGGGTATGCTTTTTTTTTTTTAACTGGCTACTTTTATAGAAACTGAGTTAAGAAGGCAAACTTTATTTTCTGCTGTGTGTGAGTAAGAGATGGATAGGAATAGTCAGTGTTTAAAAACCACCCAGGTATTCTGGAATCATAGCACCTGGGGACCTGAAGCGACTGCTGTCGTTGGGACCCCACCCCCGGAAGAAGCTGCTGTTAGAGGGCTGAGGGGGTTGTGAAAGCCCCCCGATGATGCTGTGGGTGAGGTTTGGGAAACATCCAGTAGAGTTTGGCCCCCGCCAGTGGGCCAGCCCCCTTACAAGGCCCTGTCACGGGGAGCCTCCGGCCGTCCTGGACCCTCCAGGGCGATGGAGAACTGTCTGCCTGCAGTGGCCGGCTGGTCCACCTTCGGACAGCTCCGTGGGTAGGTCCCGGGGAGCCTGAAGCCGTCTGCCGACAGTCTCTCCTCTGGCTCCTTGGAGCTCACCTGAACGAGTCCAGGCCTCTGGCTGACAGCACAGCCCGGGGTTTTTGTGAATAAGGACTCCGTTCCCAGCAGCTTCATTCACTGCTAACAAAGACCCCAGAACCTCCCCCTCGCCTCCTTGCCCTCCTTCATTACGTGTGTTTGTCTGTGATTAAGTGGAGAGCCCCAGGTGTGGCCTACCCCGGTGGAATGACGTCGCCATGGTGTCCAGGGACACTAAGGGACGCTTGCAACGGCTGCAGTGGCACCTGGGCCTGAGGTGACCATCTCCTCCATGCTGCCTGGCTCACTTCTCTTTGGAGTCTGGTGCAACAGCTGGGCCGGGAGAGGTAAGAGATTCTGGGAGCTCGCGGCTCAGGCCAAACGCACCCACACACCTCGCCTGGGCTTTCTGGAGGTATCTTGGGCAGGACGGACCACGTGACGGTGCTCTGCTGTCCTTGTCATCAGCCTCTGTTTCCACTTCTGTAAGAGTCCTGTGGGAATAAGCATCGGTTGCACAAAGGCACCCAAGTCCCATGCTCATTACCATCACATCCAATTCGCTAGATTCTGTTTCTACTGAAGCTAAAATTGCAGAATAAAAACCGAGTCTTGATGGCTGCCTCCCCAGTTTCTGTGTTGGGATTTGGGTGGCTGAACTTACATGTCTCCCTTCTACATGGCTGATAGCTTGTACCAAAAAATCTAGGTTATTTTATAGGGAGCTTCCTCTCTGCGTTCATCTAGCAGCCATTATGCTTGTGGCAGGTGTTTTCATTGTCTTCAGACTAAGGCCCGTTGCTCATATGTTGCAAAGATATGATTATTAAGAATTTGCAAACTTTCAACTTTGTGGGTAAGGTCTATATAAGCGTTCTAGCTGCCCTTTAGTTTTAAGATGTGCAGAGTATAAAACTGAGAAGAAAACTGCTTTTGTTGGTGGTTGAAAGCTTGGTTGAGGTCGGCAGTCCCGGGTCTCCCGCCACCCCTTTGAAGACTTGAACGGAAATGTACAAAGCACAGTGTAAAAGGGAACCAGTCTTCAAGCAAAGCCAATGTAAGTATTAGATTTTAATTGTATTGAAACTGAATAACTATCCACAGTGGCACCCAGCTGTCCTGGGACTTGTGGGAGGTGGGAGACGAGCCACCTCTGCGTTGGGTGCTGTGCCCTCCCTTCGGCTCGCAGAACGGGGCTTGTCACCCAGTCACTGAGAGGGGTATAGCACTGCTGGAAAACATACTTCCCCGGAAGACTACAAATGAATCAAAAGCAAAAAAGTACTGATTTTGACCATAAATATTTTTATTAAATGTGAAAATACAAGGGCATAAAAATAGTGCCCAGATGTGCAGACATGTCTGAGACCCATTTTAATTTTCAGTTCCTTTGATTATTAAAACACTAAATTGAGAGGGATTAAGTTACGTAGTCTTGTCTCATTCAAAACCAGCTACACAGCCTTCATGTAGGAGTCGTATTTGAACTTCTCGAATGTCCCCAGTTCTTACATTCTCCGCGCTCTGCTTTCGCTGCAGGTGAGAGGCTCCACCACAGACGACTGCAACAAAACCGGTCACGACACACAAAGCCACGCAGTGGCTAATTTTACTCTTAAATCATTCAGCAAATGAGATCATCCATAAAAAAAATGTCCCCACCTATTAACAGTATTTGCAGTTACAGAATAAACTCTGCTACTTTAAAAGGAATGATCTGATTTAGAATAAAGGTATTATGGGTTGACAAGTTAGCATTTGCCTTCTTCCTTCCTTTATTAATTTGGAAAAGTAAATTACCTCCAGCAAAGCTGCATGAACCTCCATGTTATGCTGCTGTGTCCTGGGAGAAAACCTGCTGCAAGGCCTGTAGCCGGCGTCCTGTGCCTTCTGGGGAACGGGCTCCAAAACCCCGACTGAGGACCATCTGTACCTTAAGCATCTCATGCATTTTTTTTTCTTCCTCACAGTAAACCTCATATGCCACTTCTGACAAATTTCATGTCTTTAAAAGCGGAATCTTTCATTTTCTAACATGAATAGAAAATGGTACCAATTTCCAATTGTGAGCCTATTAACTTTTTCCCTGCTCGGTTATCGGCACTTTTCTCTTTAAAAATTTGTGGGTAGTTTACATTCCATTACCAGAGTGCCAAAAAAGTTCTGTTTGCATGTTGATATTTAAAAGAAACTTTTAATACTGACTAAAGAGTGAGACAGTTCAAAATTAGCATTAGATTACATCCAATTCTCGTCAACAAACTGTTAAAGTTGCTTTCGAGTTTTCATTTATGTGTGGTAAAACACAAACTTTCAGAGGTGAGTAATAAATTAATTTATTCTCTCTTTTTAGAATATTTTCCCATTTACAGGCTGATGGGTCTAACACTTGCTGCCATGGCAAACGCCCACGATGAGCAGACCTGAGATGCTTCGCTCTGGAGCTCACCGGAGGGACGGCCTTGAGAAGGGAACGCACCTCAGGTAAGGGCACTGCCCCTCTGAATTTGCTTTTCCACAAAGAGCCGTGAAGGGCACTACCATCTCCACAGAGGGACTAGAGAATGGTCAGTGACAGCAGCCCAAAGAGGCCGAGCGCTTGCCCTGTCGCCGCTTCCGTCACAGGCTGACCACCTCCCCCTCCACGGCCCTGTTGTTCTCCATACTGTGGGGAGACGGGTTACTGTCTGTCCATGCAGGTGGCTCCCAGGAGGCTGCCGATGCCCATCAAGGTGGGAACTTAAAGGACGCTGTTTTCTTCAAGAACCAGCAAAGTGACAAATTCTGAAGAATTTCTCTCGGTGGTGTTGGCACTTGGCATCAAAGCATTTACTGTCTCTTCACTGAAAACAGGCAAGTAGCTGCACGTTTCAGTGAAGACTGAATTAAACCCATGGTAAGATTCCACGAGCAGGAATTATGGTTATTACAAGTGGAGAAAACCAGAAGTGTAAACCACCCTCGGAGCTGCAGTGGGCAGGTGGCCCCGGTGCCAGCCCCGACCCCTCCGGCTCCCACAGGCAGCTTGTCACCCTCTCCTCGGAGTGCGCAGGCGGGTGGGTGACTCGACACTTGCTTTGTTCCGATTGTGAGTGGAAATTGTTTGGAAGTAGGTGGTGGCCATGCTCCATTTCAAAGAGGTCACAGTGGCAATACAGACAAAAGAGGGTTGGAAAAAAATCTGATGCAGCTAATGAAGTAATGACTACTGAGATTAAACAAACAAAAATGAATTTCCTTTCTATTTTCACATTAGCTTGAATTTTGGGACATTAAAACAAAATGAAAGCTACAAGCTGTTCACTAGTTTTCAAAATGCATTGTTATGTTTATTGGTAAGAAATAGACTTCTAAATAGATGCAAAAGCACTTACTTGTTTTACCTAACTCAACAATGTGATTTCTCTCAGTTTGAAAAAAATGTTTCCACGTGTTTCAGGATGACTGAAGAAGAAAACAACTTGTGCTTGGCTGTTGTGGACATTACTGGTAGGATGCCCCGTAAAAGTAAAATTAAAATGATTTCATAAAAACATATTGGGCTCATACTGCTTAAAATGCTTCAACATGCTCTGAGGCAAACAGAAAAACCTTTCCAGAATAAAGGTAGTAATTCTTACCTAAAGTAATTCTCTCAGAATTTAAATGCAGTATCAGTAGTTCCATAAATATTTAATGTTCCTGATTAAAATACTCCTTTTTTAGGGAAAAATCATCGAATATACAAAGGTCGAATAGTTAACTTCTTAAAAGGCATGACAACGGTCTCCCACGGAGAGACGGCCAGGGCCGCCTCGGTGTGTAAACGTGTGTGGTTTTCAGGCTGAAGAACACAGAGTGGCGTTGCAGTCCGGGGACGGGGCAGGTCTGCTGTGTCGTGCCCCCCGAAACAGGCCCCCGCGGGAGCTTCCACAGTCCCCGAGGGTCGGCCCGGAGGTAGGGGGAGCCGCCTGCTGCCTTTATTAACAGTGAGGAGGAGGGCCTTCGGTTCATGGTAACTGAGCGACTTCACACGTTTAAGATGATCCCGGTTGAGGAAATTCTGTGGGACTCACAGTTTCAGGTGTTGAAGTAATTCACTCTGCACTTCAGCACAATTATTTGAAATAAAACCATCGTTATATTATCTGAACCATTTTTGTACATAACTTTTCAGTTAATCTGTTGTTTCATATTAAACAAAAGGGTCCATAGGTTTTACAGTTAATTTCAGTGGTATTTAGTATTCTCTTGAAGGTACTGAACAACAAAAAAATTCAAAGCATACGCCTGGCATCCATCCGAAGTCTACTCCTGGCTACGTCGACCACCACGTGGGGCAGCTTCTCTGAAACATGAGTTCTGCCCTCCTCCGGCGACAGCCACCTGCGTGCCAGCAGGGAAGTGCACATGTGTGTGGGTGAACGGAGGCTCTGTAACTTAACATTTGCAAGTGACTGGACCGACCGAAGTCTAAACATCGTCCCTAAGAACATACAGCTCAAATGTTACCATTCTCTTTAAGAACACTGGACTATAATGCATTCCCGTGAAGATACACACAGCTCCTCCTGCACGCAGGCACTGACCTGCTCCGTAAGGCTGTGAGGAAAACGACTCCTCCAGGCCCCGCGTGGGGGCCCAGCGAGCACCGGGCACGGCCCACGCGGGCAGCTCTGCCGGACACTCCTCACTTCCCTGCCAGAAAACCCATCAACCTCAAGTCTAAGGTGGGTGAAAACTGATTTTTCTTATTAAAACAATTCTTTGGTCATCGACAAACTAAAAGATTTGGATTTTTTTTTTTCATTAGGATCCTGGAACGTTTCCTTTTTTTAATCTTTAAAAAAATTAAGGAAAAAGAGAAAAAAAAAAACACCAAAAAAACCCTCCAGCTGGCTTAATTGAAGTGGAATTTAAATCGAAAAGGTCCGCCTGAGCTGAAGGGATTGAACCCCTGCCATGAGTTCCAGCTTCTGTGGAAAGGGTTGCCACCGCCTTGTTGACTCTCGGCGTCCAGGGGGTCTTCTCCGTCGTCGAACTTCTTCCTCATTTCTGTGAGAGAAACAGCCAGGTCAGCCTCAGGGACGAGAGGAAGGGACAGGTGGGGGTGGGCGCTCACTTCTTAGCAGTGAAACCAGCTGGGCCCCGCACTCGGTGCTCAGCTGTCCTGTCCCGCCTCTGCCAGGGGTTCAGCCTCAGGGAGACAGACCTGAGAAACACCAGTCACAGAGAAGGGGGTAAGGGGCCAGGGTGGAGAACGGCACCGCTGGAATCGAGGCCCCTACATCTTCTCTCCAAACACAGTAAGTAACTGCAGAGGGAGGCCTCCCAAAGTCTCTCTTCCCCCATCCAGTGGCCCGGGCCCCTCCCAACCCCAGCGTGAAGTCAGCCAGGCTGAGCCCCGCAGGCCTCAGGCTTCCTGGCGCCTCGCCATTAAGTCTGGATAGAACTGAGGGTCTCCATTCCCGTGGGCAGAGAGGCCGCCTCTGTGGCTGGGCCTGTCCGTCGAAGGACAGTCCCTGATGAGCCAGAGCCCTGGGCAGGCACACGTGAGGAAGGAGCCAGCTCACATCCTCAGAGGTGAGAAAAGGCTGTTTTCATCCTTCAAATAAGAACAGGGGTAAGAAAAAGGAACCGAGAACAGGAAGAAGGCCTTAGTAATTAACAGTGTGTTGCTTTTCTCAAGGCAGGCCTTTGTAAGGGCCGGCCCCAAGTCCCTGGCCAGCTCCCGGCTGCCCTCCTCACTCAGCCCCCGGGTCCCCCAGCGGTGCGCAGTGTGAGCTAAGAGGATGGAACCATTCGAGGGCCGCAGTGGACCCTCCTCTGCTGAATAGAAGAACATCCTGCTTTACTCACTGAGTACGCTGTCTCCCTTACAGGGTTTTAAGTTACCTGAAAGCAAAGGATCATTTCACTTCAACTGCACAGCATAGTAGGAGTTAAAAATAAGATTTGTCCAATGGGCATAAAACTTGATTTCCTTCTATTTTATTGAAATTTGTTCTGCTCCCACTGACGTGGAAAGGCACAAAAAGCAGCAGATGTTAGGTTAACATTAAACAAGTATTGTTAAATAGTCCCTGAATTCCTAGCTGCCTCACTCTGACTTCCCAGGCCATTTTCGCGTGGGAGAAGACAGCGTCTGTAGTACCCAGTGCCCGCGTCTGGTTCCCTAGACGAGACCCTGCAAGTTCAGTGGGAAGGGCTCATCGCTGTCTATGAAGTTGGAAGGAAGCTAAGAGATCCCCCTCACTGTTGTGTTTTCCTGTCACAGGTGGGGGAAAAAAATGGGGAGAACTGTCGATCTCAGGCCTTTTGATTCCACATCTGTCCGCCTTTCGCTCTACGGCAGGCACAAACCGGACTCCAGAGACTGCAGGCCCGGGACCAGTCCCCAGCCCTGCCTACTGTCCGCTCTGACACGGCCTCCACCCCGGGCTCAGTCGCCAGGCCAGGAGAGCAGAAGGCCCCAAAGGGGAGCGGTACCTGGGTCGGAGAGGACCTCCTTCGCAGCCGCGATGTCAATGAATTTCTTCTCAGCTTTTTTCTTTTCTTCTTCATTCTGGAAGTTATCTGGGTGCCACTGCATCGCTAATTTTCTATATGCTTTAATGATTTCTTGCTTTTTGGCATTTCTGAGGGGTATTAAAATTAATAATCTTTAGTTAAGAATTCCTCAACACTTCCGGATTAGCTTACTTAATAAGAACAATTCCTTAAAACACAGATGTTTGTTCAGGGAAGGTGGTCTTGTACATAAAGTACATGTTGAGTAAACTGCGTATCTCTTAGTATCTGCAAGTTGACTCTGGAAATGCCACTTTATTAATAGGCCTAGAGGAGTTTTCTTTCCCCCATCCCCTCTCCCGCCTAACCTCTTACCTCTTTACCCTTAAGAAATCTAGGCCTAGAACCTAGTCATGCTGCCGTGTCAGATCTTTGTCACCCACTACTAATTCTCCATGATCGCATTACTAGTCTTTCTCTATCAAATAAAACTAACAATCAAAATACCATGATGATGTTAGACTGTTAGGTAATTACAGTCATAGATTAAACCCTAAGGAAAGGAAAGGAATCCAAAAGAGAAAGAAAGAAGCAATGATTAGTTTTAAAACAGTTGATTAAAAATAGCAATGCAAATTTTAATTAATTATTCACCTTTTTACTCCCAAGATCTTATAATAATCCCTTTTCTGTGACTGTTTCAGTAGTCTTTGTGCTTTCTCCAGACCTTCCCGAATCTGCTGGTCATTTTCATTGTGTTCCTGAGCGGTTTCGTAATCCTGAATAGCTGTCAAAATATGTTTCAGATAATGCTGTTAAAAGGAATTATCATTAATAACCTTTACTTATCCTGCAACGTAACACTGACGCCATCATCCCCAGCCCCTTCGCTCTTCTGCTGTTAGCTGCTAAGAGCCCAAGAAGTAACGCCACAATTAAGGCTGAGTTTAGTCACTTATTACTCCCAGTCAATAAAATGCACTGCTGTTGTAACCTTACCCTGCCGCATTATCCTCCCCACACCTTTTGGCCTTTCAGGTGTTTTAACATTACGTTATACAAAGAAATCTTATCGTCAGTCAGACTAAAGTGATTGTGACACAGGAAAAGAAAACAGTGGCAAAGACAATCTGCAGGGTCAGCGACTGGGTCCGCAGCCTGGAAGGACCAGAGGCATAGACAGAGGGGCCATGAGCCATCAGGAGCACTGCCTCATGCACAGGCTTCCGCACAAACTGCTACACCTTGGTTTCTGTACATGTCGGTCAAAATAGAAAACCACATGCACCTGACTGACCCGGGAAGTCTGGTAACAGCCCACACTGTGGCCTTCATTTCAGGCTCTAGAAGGCATCTATGTGGGTGCCTCATGTGGTGCAGAAGGCAGGAAACACAGCAGGCCGGACACTGTCGCCCTTACAAAGGGACGTGGCAAGGCTGGCCCCCAGCAGGCATCTGGAAAGTGAATTTCAGTTTTGGCCGGAAGTGTGCCCAGCATCCCGCATACGACTGGCTCAGCGTGCCAAGACTGTCGGTACCTACAATGCGGGTCACGCTGCATGGTGCCTTTCCCTCTGGAAGTCTGGAATCCTGGCGTGAGTCAGGCAGAAGGCACCTGCCTCCCCGGCCCCAGCAATAGTCCTGGGCACTCGGTCTCTGGCGGGCTTCCCGGGGGGAGAACACTTGACACTCGCTTTGAGAGAAACACCTGGACTCTCTCACCTGGTGTCCTCTGAACTATGCCCCGTGAGCCTTTTCCCCGCTGCCCGGTCCCTGGAATAAACCTTAGCGCTGAGTGCAGCTCTGCTGCGTCCCATGTGCCCACCTCCTGAACCGCTGAATCCGGGGCGGGAGGCTCCCACACAGACCCCCCCAAACAATAGACCGAGGATTCCAGCTTCCATCTTTTATGGAAACGTATCTCGCTGGATAACGTGCCTGAACATTCATCTTGGCAACTGCTAATCCTGGAAGGGGCTGACCTCGGGCAAGGTTAACATGAGAAAGACGAGAGAATAAGATCTACAACCGTGTGAGCCTGCACCACACAGAAAAAGAGCAACCCTGCCTCGGGCCCAGGGCTACTTTACCTGCCTCAGTGCGTTAATAGTGAACGTTATCACCCCATCCGCAGTGGCACCCTAAAATAACTTCCAATTTAGCACACGAATCCATCATAAATAGTAGTGAGCTTTACCTTTGCAATTAATACCCACAGCACTTGACATCACAACCTAGTAAGGATTTCTACTTTCCTGGAGTTTAATACAAGGGGAAATGTTTCAACATATGCTGTTTTGCTGCTTATGCAAACTGTACATTAAACATGTTTGCATTCTTAAATTTTCACAGTATCCCTCCCCCCCCAAAGCAGTCTTCTATACCCTACCTTTTAGTAAAACTTAAGGTAGATACATTTTTTGCCAACATGGGAAAAAATATATAACATTACAGATTGTTTCCTAAATTCATGATTATAGGTAGCTAATCAGAAACTTAATAGGGATGAAGCAAGACTTCCCATGGACATAAACTTAGATCATTTTTAATTACATTTCAGATTCTACTCCCCAAGAGAATCTTAACAAACAAAACCAAACCAAGTGCCACCCAGTGATGTTTACCCCATACCATAATAAGCTGTGAGAAGAGAATAAGCCAGAAATAGTAAGGTCCCAAATGAACAGCATATCACAGTACGTATTAGCCAATTCACTTTCTAACCTCTGCATCTAAAAAATCCCCTCCCCAAACCCCTGCTTTTCATGTTCCCCTCATTCAGTTCTCAAGGAGCCACGCGCACAGCAGGCGCCTGCCCGCCGCCGCCCCCCCCCCCAGGCGGCAAGAATACAGCAGCAGTATAGCCGTGGCCGCGCTGACGACAGCAGACCAGAAATTCTGCTACGTTTCTAGAAGAGAGAAAGCAAATGGGTCCTATTACTAATGAATAAACCTAAGGAGAAAGAACCACAACCCAAAATACACGCGGCAACAGGTCCTAGCGCATTTGGCCGAGGACCCTCGGTTCCGGGAGCGACAGCAGCGTTAGGGCGCCTCTTAGGATGGTTCGCGGGGTGAGTCCGGGGAGGCTCGGCAGGCTCGCCCCCCTCACGGGGCGCAGCGACAGCGTTGCCCCCCGCCCAGGGCCCAGGAAGCAGCCTCCCAGGGTGCGGAGGACCTGCGCCTGGAGGGCCCCTCGGAGGGCTGCTGGGACCGCGAGGAGGTGCGGGAGGGAGCCGCCCAGACAGACCCCTGCGACTGACGGGCGTGGGGCGGGCGTGGCGCGAGCCCGGGGACCAGCTCCACCCAGAACTGACAGAGGCCGAAGGGCTGCGGCTGGTGAGGGCGAGCGAGACGAGTGGGCCCTGCGCGCGGCCGCCCCGCCGGCAGACGGCAAGCACCGTCGGGGCCGCCTTCCTGTGACCAGCCGCTAGCGCCTCCGAGTCTGCAGGGGGGGCCCCACCACACAGAAGCCTCTGGGAGACGAGCAGGGGCAGTTGCAAACGACCCCTCTCTCATTCCCCCGATCCATTAGCAAATCCCAAGTCAGCGGCTCTTCCAACAGCATTTACCCACTTCTCACCATTTCCAGTTACAGGTATAATGAAGTGCGTCATTAACACACCCGAGCGGCCGTAACAGTTTCACAACAGCGCCCCGCAGCCGCCTCCGCCCTCCCCTGAAAGTCTGTCCTCAGCGCCTGGGCTCCGGAGAGCCTGCTGAAGATCACGCCGCCCCTCCGGGGACCTCGGCCCAGGGAACTCCCACTTCCTCACCCTGGATACCGCGCACATCAAAGAAGGTAACCGCGGTGGGGCAGAGCTGCGCCTTCAGCCAGACGGTTCGCAGGGGCTGGAGGAGGGCTGCTAGTACCGGCCGCGAAGCCAAAATGGGGGACGGAGGGGAGCAAACAGTGAGCAAGGCCTGGGGGCCAGAGATCACAGAAAATGCCAACGAAGGACCCTTCCTGTGACTATGGGCTCGCCCTGGAGGGACAACCTGTGCCCTCTGCGTGTCACAAGAGCCATCTCAGGCAGCCGTGGTGGAGGTGAGGCAGATACCTCACGGGGAGCAGGCAGGTAAAGAACGGACTGCAATGAGCAAGAACGGCAGAGAGCCCTGGGCAGCACGTCGCAGGGAACTTGGCAGCTACGTGCCCTCTTAAGGTGGGGGGCTCACCCTGACTTGCCAAAGAGATGCCCGCTTTGTTGTAGCAAAGGAAGTGGGCAGAAGGGCAGCAGGTCCGGCAGCAGACGACCTCCTAGACACGGCTTGGCTCACAGGAGCAGAGAGGGCAGGGCTATAGAGAAAGGCCATTCTAGCAGGAAGCAGAGGGCACTGGGATGGTTCACTACAAAAGGCCGCACGGGACCAGGAAAGGCTAATTAATGCTAGTAGTTCTGTGAGGAGGAGTATTTTTTAATGGTACAGCATCAATTCAAAGATATTTTAAATTAAAACAGAAAAAGAGCACCAAAACTTACCTAATGAACATGCATCAGAACAACAGCCAAAGAATACATGAAAATTCTGAGCAAACATTAAGTACAATACAATAAAAACTCTCATTGCCCCGGCCTGTGTGGCTCAGTTGGTTAGAGTGTTGGCCCATAACCAAAAGGTTACAGGTTCAATTCCCAGCCAGGGCACATACCCAGGTTGCGGGTTCGATCCCTGTTCTGGGCACATACAATTCCCTGTCTGGGTGCATTCAATTCCAGTCCTGGTGCATATGATCACTGGTCTGGGTGTACCTGAGAGGCAACCAATCGATTTTTCTCTCTCCCTTCCTCTCTCTAAAAGTAATGAAAAAATGTCCTCAGCTGAGGATTAAAAATAAACTCATAGAAGTGAAGATGAAATGAGAAGGCACACAGTGAGAATAACGGGGGGGGGGGGGGGGGGGCACGACCCAACAAATGACAAAATGAAGTGTAGATAGTTTAAAAAGACTAGAGGGAAAAAATTCTAGCATTAGATGACAAGCAAAGGGAATACAGCCTACACATAACTGGATCATTAAAGCAGAAAATCAATAGAGCAGAACAAAACAATTCAGATTAAATTTAAGAAAACTTTTCTAAAATAAAAGATAAATATATTCAAAAGGTAGCTGGTACCTGGGCAAACAGGATGAGGATGATCAACACTGAGATACGTCCTAGTGTAGGTAACACACTTGAAAGACAAGGGCTCTTTGGGTGGCCAGACCAAAACCAACATCCTAGCCCCAGATTTTCCACAGCAATATTCAGTGCCCAAAAAGAATGGAATGGTAAGTAAAATATACAGCAAATTTGTGAACCAAGGATTGTACTATCTGGCCAAGCCACCCTTCAAAAACGAAAGGGAGAAAGAGCTTTGAACATAGAAGAAATCTGGAAAAAAACTTTCCCAGGAGCCCCTCGAGGGAACTCCTATGGATGAACCCACCAAAAGTAGTCTGGAGAATCCATAGCCAAAGGAGACGGTGCACACTGAGTATATTCAACAGAGAACAAAGACTAAGCAAAACACCTACGTTTAGTGTTGGAGTAGAACAGCTGCCCTGACAAGGCAGAAGGGCAGAAAGGTAGTTCACTAATTCCCCCGATTACAGCTGAAGCAATCAGGAAGCATCACCCACTGGAGAAGCCAAAGGCCAACACTAGGGAGAAATTCTCTAACAAGTACTGAGTGGTAGAGGAAAAGGAAGGGAGGAACATGCTAATATTCTTCTTCACTGTAGGAAACTAACAGATACTCCCCAAAGGAAGAGGGCTAAGTTAACAAAACTATAAAAATAAC